ATGTGTCAGTGGTTAATCCGTTCGTAGGCCTAGTGGTCAACTTGAACGTGGTCACCCGAGCACACAGAGACAGTAAGGACGACAGTGTTTGCCTCGTCTTGCCCATTGGAGATTTTTCAGGTGGTGAGTTATGCCTGTTCGAGGCGGGAATAGTCATTCCGCTTCGACATGGAGATCTAGTCGTTTTTCCATCCTGCAAACTCACCCATTTCAATTTACACTATACTGGATGTCGTTCCTCCATTGTTTTACACACAGACAGAGAGATGTCGAAGTGGACGGCTGATGATCGCAATGGCTGGGTTTCCAATGATCATTTCAGATAGAACGAACCGAACCTATTGACCATTATCATTGTAGTAGTACTACGTTAATGAAACCAAGTCTACGATGCTACATATTACAATCAAGTACAGGATAAGTAACGAAACCCGAAACACTTGAACAGCTCGAGAACTCTATCAGCTCGGCGCGACCAATATGGTCCCACGACTCTTCCAGAACCTCGAACAGTCCCATGCGTGCAGTCTCTATCATCGGAAGAATCTCGCCCTACCACGACCGCCGGCGGAAGCCTTCCCGAACCTCCCCAGCGGCGATTCGGACTTGGGAGTCTACTCACGCGGCGTGTTATCTGATGCATATCCTTGCTGGCTAACATTCACCCATCACTCGCTGTAATCGTTCAGTACTTCAACATGCCTCCTCGTCAGTCCGCACGCAACGCCGCACGCCAGTCAACAAGCCAGCAGACTGCGAAGCCCAAGGCTAGGAAGGCTGCGCCCAAGTCAACCACGACATCCAAAAAGTCAAGCGCCACGAAAGGCTTGAAGGAAGTCGCCACGGGCTCCAAACGTCCCAGGCAAGAGACACTGGTAGGGGATGGCAAGGCCTCTCAGGGCGACGTCCTGTCGCCTTCCGAGAAGAAGATGTACGACCTCCTGAGAGCAAAAATGGAGCAAGCGCAGAAGCAGGCGGTCGCAGACCGCAGGTCGAGTAAGCTTTTCACTCTCACTGTCAAACTAATTCGAACTTATTTCACGTATACGTAGACATACAGAAGACGAGTACAGCCATGGTGCTGGCGGAAGATGCGTCTCGCGGAGATGCAGAGGAGGACAGCGAGGAGGAAGAAGGAGCGGCAGACGGCGTGGAAGACGGCGTGGAAGACGACGTGGAAGACGACGTGGAAGGCGGCGGCGCGGAAGGCGGCGCGGAAGACAGCGCGAACCAGGAGGATGACGACGAGCAGCCGAGACGCAAGAAGCTGAAGAAGAGCATCGTGATCAATAGCAGCGACGACGAAGACCGTGACCAGCTTATCGAGGAGGACGGGGAGGTGGAGGCGAAGATAGTCGAGCCAGATGAACGCCCTCCGCGCGGTGAGTGCTATCAAATGGTTATAGCTATGCAACTGATATAGGTTGATTGCAAGCTAAACCTAAACCCAAGCCTGCGTACGGCAAGAGAAAGACGAGGGACGTTGAGAGTGACCACGAAGACAGGACCATGAACGATACTCAGCCTATGCTCGACCAAGACGAGCTGAGCCTGGCTGGGACTCTAGGTACGCCGGTCTATCATTAACTCATATACTAATCTGTTTTTGGTTTTATAGGTGCTGGATCGGCAGCTGCACAGGACAAGGAAACTAGGAAGTCAACGCGCGCGTCGAAGAAGATCCCTGATGACGGTCGCACCGCTCTCACGCAGCCTGCCAAAAGCAAGAAGGTCTGGCGTATGGACGCGGTTGTCATTGATTCGCCTCCAAGGAAGATAAGTAATATTCTCATCTCATTTGTTCATCTTGATCTGACGTAGAATGAGCACAAGGTGGTCGACAGGAAGAAGGACAAGGGCAAGGCGATCGACCAGAAGAAGAAGGCGATCGACTGGCTGGACAGCGACACCGGTTCGGAGAGTGAGATGGGGAGGGAGGATGACGACGATGATGATGATGACGATGCCGCAAGCTACGAGTCGGGCAGTGACGGCGACCAGGAGGAAGGCAGTGAGGGCAAAGAGATGGAAAATGACAGTGATGATGAAGTGATCGTAAGTCACCGTCCCACGTTTACTACTTGAAAATACCACGATTTGCAGGTTGTCAAGGCTCCGAAGCACAAGAGCCAGCGTTCCAAAGGCAAGGGGGGTCGTCGTGGTCGCGGCAACTCGAACGAAGGGAAGTCCGTAGGACGACGCCGCCGAGCACAAGCCAGAGATCTGCCCGAGACCGTCAAGCCCATCGTCACCTGCTCACAGATGTACCTCCGACTCCGCCTCTCTCTAGAACACGCATGGACGTCCGAGAAAATGCAGAACAGTAGCCAGCTGCCCGTCAAACACACGCTCATCAAGCGTGCAATAAGGGATGCTCGAGCTCATCGCGCCGAAAATGGGAAGAAGATATCATACCTCTCGAGTGGCTTCAAGGTTCTGGGCGCCCGAGGAACCAACCGTCTTCGCGGCGATGTCGCCAACGTGGTAAGCACATTGATTCATTGTTTTGATCAATTCATAGCAGCTGTGTCTGGCGGTGTAGGTGTGGACGGGCGCATGTCAGCTCCGTAACGAGGTCAAGAAGAAGGCGACGACCGTGGTTGAGAATGCCTATGCCCTCGGCGGCCTCTCGACACAGCGCAGAGTTGCCGCGGCAACGTTCCTTCTCAAATGCAACATGCAGGGGAAGTTCTCACTGCCGAACTTCATCTTTGGTGACATCGACATTGCCTGGCAGGCGAACGACGCTTATGAGGTCGACACAAAGGTAAGCGAATCAAATATAAGGGCTCATGTACGTTCTTGATGGCACACAGGCGAGCTTTGTGAATCGCAAGAAACCCTTCCACCACAGAGCGATCTCCGACGTCATGGTTCAGCATTGGTTCCATGGCTCCAGGGATTCTGCCTCTGTAGCGGCTTACGACCGGTTTGCCGAGGTTCCTAACAACCTCATTGCTCTCGTCTGCAATGCGTAAGCACTCTGCAACTAAACAAGTGATTTATGCTGATCAATATAGCTTGAGGCCGGTTGGTAGACATAGTGACTGGGAAGCATCACTTCACAAACAAGACGTATGCGCCCAAGCGAGTGTTTTATCACTGCTATCTAGGCATGACTTATTGCTGACATATTGATAGGTGGGCCAATATCATGGGCGTACTAGATCAATTCGAGCGGAATGCCCCGGAGGCTTATGAGTCCATGAAGACGTTAATCTGGACTAACATCAGGTAAGTTGCCTACCATGGCTGTCAGTCGATCAGGGTTTATTGTCAATGCAGCGCACTGGTCGATGAACAGAAGGCCTCGAAGTTGAAGGATGAGGCAGACGAAGGTGACGGTAATAGCGGTGCAGAAGAACAGTTCATATCCTGGAGTGACGTCGAGGTCGTCGAGGTTACCCCTAGCAACGCAGCAGCGTCTGTGAAGAAGCCGTCCGCGTCGAAGCCGTCCGCGTCGAAGCCGTCGCGTCGAAGCCGTCTGCGTCGAAGCCGTCCACGTCGAAGCCGTCCGCGTCGAACGAATCCGCGTCGAACGAATCCGCGTCGAACCCGTCTGCGTCGAACCCGTCTGCGTCGAACCCGTCTGCTCGAACCCGTCTGCGTCGAACCCGTCTGCGTCGAACCCGTCCGCGTCGAACCCGTCCGCGTCGACGTCGTCCGGTTTGAAGCCATCTGCGTCAAAGCCTCCATCGTCGAAGCCTCCATCGTCGAAGCCGTCCGGGTCGAAGCTGTCTCGGACCGGGTCCAAGCCGTCGTTCTCGAAGCAGCTGTCGTCGAAGCCGTCTCCATTGGCTGGGAAACCCGGAGGTAAGTTGATCTGTTCACCTTAACTACACATTTTAACACAGTATGTATGAAGTTCAGCTGAACAGGAAACTGCTGAGCTTGACCCACAAGACTTGTCGGCTGAAAACGATGACGATGGTGAGCTGATTTTATTTTATATTATTTATATACTTGGACACTGACCAAAGCCGTGTATGCGTTCTACTTACCACTCCAGAAGAAGTACAGTAGGTGATGTGAACAACCACTAAGATCTCATGCACATTGCGTGAGTATTGTCTCATCATTTTCCAGACAATTTTTCTCGACCTCATATTTCAACAGAATCACACAACTACCATCTACTTCAACACTTGGAGGAATCTGAGGTTGGCTACGGCTTCTTCTGTTCTGTTCTCGGCGTCTCCGGGTCTCCGACGCCATTGCTTTGTAGTTGCTTTGTACGCTTTCGTTTTCACACTGTGTGTATGTGTACGATAGTTGGTGATCCGTGTCTCTGGTTATGTGTTTGGTAATGCAATGCATAGCCAAGCGATTATCTGGAATACCAACCAATGAGTGAATTAGTCAAACCAAGCAACAAGAATACTTGAAAGGCTTGGGTAGACGGACGGAACTTGAAAAGACCATCAAGAATTGAGTCAGCCAGTTGCTTGAATACAAGAAGAGCATGCAACCAGTATCAGAACAATGTTGATTTCTGCTTGGTCACGCAGCTCAAGCATTTGACTTACCTTGCCCAAGACCTATTGACTATGCAAGTCTTGCAGTGCTTGTCAGGCTTGGCAAGCCATGTGAGTTTTTCCTGATGGAGCAGGTATGTTGTCGAACATATTCTTTGACTGTAAGGTGTGAGCAGCGGCCACGTACAAGAACGAAGACACATACCTTCTTCCTTGGAGGCGGTTGCTCGTCCTCACTCTGCTCAGTCTCGCTGCCTGTCACCTCGCTATCCTTCTTGCCATGGCGTGACAGCCAGTCTGCGTATTCATCGCGAACAAGCTGTTCGGCTGTCTTGATCCAGCCACCCTCCCACCGCGCAGACTCGAAGTATTTCAACTTGTGACGCGGATGCAAGACTACGAGAAATTAGTATAATGAAGAGGCCGGCAGTGGCAGTGCGGCATGTACTGACCCATTGCAATACGGTACGCATTCGACTCGTCAGTCTTACTGTAGTAACGGTTCAACGTTTTCTTGGCGAGACCAACTGCGGCGCGGATTGACGGGAGCACAGTTGCTTTGAGCGAGTAGTCTGTAAGATGTTCATCAAGGAGGTCCATGGCCGGGATGACCATGGCGAGGTTGGGGCTGTCGCGTGAGAAGAACTCCGTCCCGTCGACGAATATCTGAGGTGCCGGCAGTTAGCGGAGACTCGTGTTGAGTGACAAAACGTGACGAACCTTGAGAACGTCACACAGTTGAGTCACGATCTCCCACTCGTCGTCGTTCAACTCCAACCGCCGCAGGTCCATCGTCCGGTCACTGGTAAGTCCGTTGACCGCATCACGGTACTCTAACGTGAATGCTAACATCCCATGGGTCGAGTTCCAGCGCGTGCGAACATCGCGTGGCATATTCTCTATTGCCAGCTCGAGCTCTTCAAGCATCGCGTGCCAGGCTGGAAGGAGCTTGGTCGTGGAGTTGATGATGGATTGCGAGAGCCGGCGAAGCTATCCTAAGGTGAGTCGCTGATCTGATATCATTACAGCCAGTATTAACCAACTTTTGCGAGCACGAGCTTGACAGGGCGCGTTGTGGCATCTAGGGCCTTGATCTCCTCCTCCGTCATGCCCTGCCGTTCATCCACCCATCCCTCGACATTGTCATCATCGTCATCGTTGAGTCCACTGACATCCCATTCCCCAACAACGTCGTCATCATCCTCTGGTCCTTCAAGATCATCTGCCAGCTCGCGCAAGACGGCCTCTGCTGCGTCGAGGGCTGCAGCCTCGGCACCCTTCTTGCTTCGCGTGGTGTCGAACTGCCGCAGCAACGTCTTCACCACAAGATTGAGGATGTGATCGAAGCAGCGAACGCGCGCCGCCTGGCCTCGAAACGACCCAACAAGCTGGCAGAGCTCGTCGATCATGGTATCGTTCGACGATGCATTGTCTGCAGTGACAGAGAGAATCTGTTTGGAGCCCTTGGTGAGTCCATGCTTGAGAGCTCGTGTTTTGCCTGTACCTTATTGCTAATACCGAAGTCTTCGAGCATGTCTGCAAACACGCCCGCGAGGTTCAAGCCTGAATGAGACTTCGCAAGCTCAATGAGATCGAGGTTCAGCCGAACGGGAACACCGTTGTGCTCGAAATGGACGGAGAAGGCTACCATAGCCTTGTGATTGGGTGAGGTCCAGCAATCGGTAGCGAAGTTCAGCTCGCCGTCGTAATCCTAAGGTATGTTATAAGATAGTTTTATGTATTGATTTCGCGTACTGACCTGAAGCATCTTCGCAATACGAGCACGCGTGCGGATGAAGACACGCTGAACGTCGCGCGCGACCGTCCAGCGAGATGGAATATAGTATTCTGGCCTCCCTGTTTTCATGAGGCTCAGAAATGCGCGGTCCTCGACGATCGTGAAGGGCCGCAGGCTTTCGGCAACCCAGCGCACGATCTCAGCACTGATAACTCGTGTAAGTAAGTACTCGTCTCCTATCCATCAATGTCAATGCTTACCGAGTCTCGTTCTTCGTATGCTGACGCACTGAGTAGGTTACCTTTCCCTTGCCTGTGCGAGTGAATGACACCGTGAGATCACCGGATCGTAGGTAAGTCTTCACGTCATCGCGGGCCTTCTTGATTGTCCCGATCGCATCCGCAGCATCCAGAGCTTCCTCGCTGAAGCATCTTTTGACGTGTCTGCGTAGATTGCTCGTGGACGAGCGGTCTTTCTTGTCAAGCCACCGTTTGATGGTGACATTGCAGCCATGGTTCATGCACATCAGGAAACCCCCCCTACGCGAATGTGGCGCAAATCGGCGGCAAATCGCTGCGGCGCGCTTGTCGCTGCGAATGGCTTGTAAATCATTGCGAACGCCTCTCGAATAGACTGAAATGCTCTCATGTACATACACGTCGAGAAATGTTATATACATTGGGTGCCTCGATCAGCTGTGACTACAATACACAACAGTACATGTACAGACAGTTCATCTCGTCCGGCTGTGCCCATCCGGGCCGTACTGACTGTCTCGCCGACCCGTTTGTTGGTGCACCTGCTCGCCTCCTCACCTACCTGCCTGCGCGTTCCTCGGCTGTATCTGCACACTGGACATTCGGCCAGCGCGCCTGCGGTCGCCGTGCGCGTGGTGCTCGTCCGCGCCCTGTGCCCGTCCCCTTGCACTCTCGCCCGCTCGCTCGCGCACCCGCCTTCCCACTGGCCAGCCTCGGGCTACCAGCACGCCCGTTGGTCCGCTTTCCTGCCTGCTTGCTGGTTTGCCCGCCCGCCTGTTCGGTTTCTCGTCAACTCACTTGCTCACCAGCCCGCTTGTTCACCCACTCACCTGCTCGCCCTGCCGCCCACCCGCGCGTTCGTCCACCCGTCCACCCGTCTGCCTGTCCGCCCGTCCGCCTGTCCGCCCGTTCGCCCGTCCGCCCGTCCGCCCACTCGCCCGTCCGCCCGCTCGCCCGTCCGCCCACTCGCCCGCTCATTCTCGTGCCCGCTTGCCCGCCTGGTTGCTCGTCTGTCTGCTCATCCACCCGCCGCCCATTCGTCGGCTACGTCTGCACACAGGGCATTGGCCCTGCGTGCTCGTGGATGACGTATGCGTTGCTGCGCCCTGTGCTCGCCGTTAGCTTACAGGCTCGTGCGCGTCTCGACTCACCCTGCACCGCTCGCTCGTGGGCGGGTTGCGTGGCCAGTACAACAGTGCATCGTCAACCTAGTCACTAGGGTCGTCCAGCACTGCGCGAGAGCTGCTCGTCGTAACAGAGTTTGACAGGGAGAGGGCGGGAATCGAGTTGGGCGAGCCTCGGGGACGATCAGCGCGTGATGTCAAGTCAAAATTTTCGAAGTGTGCACTTCCAGTTGAAGCACCCGCCTCGGAGTTCCCGATGTGGGCGTCTTGGGGGCCGGTACAAGTCTCTACGAGAGGGTCACAGATGGAAAGGAGACCGACTCATGGTCCGTTACCGTGACCCTCGAAGTCACCGCCGACAATCTCGTAAGCGCGGGCGATCGCACGTAGGCCACGCGCAGAAAACGGGCCACGGCGGGTCCACGCAGTGTCCACGGTTCCATGAGCAAGAAAGCGGCGCCGTCGGCAAGTGGGTGCACGGACCAGTGAGCGATCGCGTGGATGAGTGGCTGGCCGGCCGGCCGAGCACAGAGGAGAGCTCGGGCGAGAGGTGCATGTGAGAATGCGGGCGAGAGGGTGTGGGCGAGAGGGCGCGAGCAAGAGGGCGCGGGCAAGAAGGGCGGCGAGTGCACGGGCGAAACGGCGCGCGGGCGAGACAGCGGGTGAGACGACGGGCGAGACGGCACGCGGGCGAGACGACGGGCGAGACGACGGGCGAGCGAGGCGGCGGGCGGGCGAGACGGCGGGCAGACAACAGGTGTACGAGATGGTAGGCAAGAGGGACGGCAGGCGGGAGATGGCGGACCTGCGAGATGGCGAACCCGCGAGATGGCGAACCCGCGAGATGGCGAACCCGCGAGATGACGGGCGCAGGAGACAGCGGGCTTGCGAGACGGTGGGGCGTGCGATGGAGATAGCACGACGGTGGGCAAGCGAGACGGCGGGCGAGAACGGTGGCTGGGTGAGACAGCAGGTGAACGCGTGGTATCGCTCTCACCTGTCTCCCAGCAGCGCGAGACGAAGAAGTCAGACAAGTTGCAAGTAAGTAATAGTATGCCTGCCCTGAGTGTGATCGGTCACATGACTCACCTCGCCACGTCGCACATCCGGTCGTCGAGTGCACTCTATCCAGAGCGCTCGCGTTGGGCCCCGCAGAAACTCGATGAGAAGACAAAACGAAGGGGCAAGCAACTCCAAAGAGGGCAGAAAGGCTCGCAGGTGAGTTCGTCACCCGTGCTTATCTGACTACCCCTTTACAGGCCTGCGTTTCCACCCGCGCGTCCGCCCGCCCAGCCGTCTGTCTGCTCTGGCACCAGCTCTATGGCACACCCGCTCGCGACTGTGGGCGGGGCGGGGGCGCGCAGAACACACAATGAGGGGACGGCAGGCACGTTAGCGAGGGACGAGCGAACAGAGGTGAGCGTAGACGCACGCGAGCGAGGGAGCTGAATGCAGTCACAGGGCGCGGCGACCTGAAGCACGATGCGGACGTCGACCGCGAGCGGGCTCGGCGACTGCCCAGCACGCAAACACGGTCAACGAACGGACCACAGGCGCTTGATTGAAGGCGTCGGAAGGGGCAGGGACAGGGTGCAAGGCCGCAGGCGCGTGAGGGAGTACCGGGTGACCGCGACGGTAGGCAGGGCCAGGCCGCGCTCAACACATGCCAACCGCGACTGACGCACGGACCGTACGCATCGGCATAGGGCATAGTAGCGGGCGAGCAGGTGGGCGGGCGACGACACAAGCCGGCGAGACACGCACGGCGACCGCGAGTGCACAGGGCGGATGCCTCGTACGCAAGCACGGCCGACGAACGGGCTGCACGCAAGAGCAGGAGAAGGAAGCCGGCGATGGAGAGTAGAGCCAGGACGCGCCCAACACACGCCGACCGCGAGCGCGCTGGGCAAATGCCCAGCGCGCAGGCACAGCCGACGAATGCGCGCAACGCGAGCGGGAAAGCAGGCGAGCGGGTGGACAGGTGAGCAGGCAGGGACTGACAAGTACACGGGTGAGGGCGAGCAGGTGACCAGGCGGGCGGGCGGGTACACGAGCGAACAGGCGGGTCGGCGGGGACACGAGCGCGGGACGACACATGCCAACCGCGAGCGTACTGGGCGAATGCCCAGTACACAAGCACGGCCGATGAACGCGCGCACAAACGAGCGTCGAGCGGGCAGATGGATGAGCGGGCGTGCAGGCGGATAGGGACGAAAGCGGGCAGATGAGCGGGGAAGCAGGCAGACAGGTGGGGAAGCGAGCAGACGGGCAGACGGGCAGACGGGCGAGGAGTTGCCGAGGACGAGTCGGTGGACCGGGTGTGGCAACACGGCACGGCACCGCGTACAGCACACCGACCGCAAGCGCATTGGGCGAACGCCCAGCACGCAAGCACGGCCGACAAATGGGCTGTGCGTGCGTGAGCGGGAGATAGGAGATGGCGACGGTGGGCAGTGCCAGAACGTGCCCAACACACGCTGACCGCGAGCGCGTAGGGCCAGTGCCCCGCGTGCAAACGCAGCCGACGAGTGCGCCGTGGGTACGGGCACAGCGTCCAGGCGGAAGGCGTGCGGACGGTACGTACAGATGGGAAACAAGCGGACGCGAGCGAGCTGATGCTCTTGTCAACAGGTGAAGGGCTGGTGAGGGATGGTGGGAATATTAATGCGCAAGTGGGAGCATGGGCGAGCGGGGAGGACCGTGAGTGGGGAGGACTGTGAGTGGGAAGGACCGTGAGTGGGGAGCATGACGAGCAGGGAGGATCATGGTGAGTGGGGAGCATGAGGATAATGAGGACGGCCGGTGCGGGTGCAGGCAACAAGCCTGAACCCGTGCTGGTACCACCGAGGGAAGCCAACCCGTGGTGCACCGCCGATACCGGCGGTGAACCCGGGTATGGTACGGGTACACGGGAAAGGGTGGAAGAAAGTATTAGTGGTTCGAATTATGCATGTAAATACAGCTGGCCAATCGATGTGAATTGAAGTATCCAATTGATATGATTGAGCATGCATTTACTCGCAATTCACAACTGTTGGACATCAATTCGTGCGAATTTGTGCGAGGAAATCGGGGGGGTCAAGTAAATGGGGTGTCCAGGAAGTTTATGCAAATTTATGTGAATTTGCACAAATTCACATGGGGTGGGTTTCCTGATGCACTCGAAGACGTGCGCACGCTTGCCGTCATCAGCGATGTGTATGGTAACTTCGCGCTTGTAAAAGGCATAGATGGGTGCAACCCAGTCTTTGCTAAGACGCTCTGTGCAAATGAGAGGTCATGGTGAGCACAGGTTCTTCGGACACAGCATACACTCACCGAGCTCCTCTTCAGGAGTTTCTTCCTTCGCGGGTGCCGTTTGCTTGCGGCGCCCAGAGCTATCAACCTCGACAATATCGTCGTCATCATCGCTCGACTCAGTGTCATCTTCGTCGACGATGTCAGCGACTTGTGGACCAGGCTTGGCGGGCGCGGGTGCCATGCTCTTCACGGGCACTGGCTTGAGAACTTTCCTTGCCACGGCCAATTGCTTCTTCGATGTCGTCGGAGGCTCCTTCGGCGCCGCAGTGGTGAGTACCTTCTTCGATTTGGTCTTTTCTGCTGCTGCTGCTGCTAACACTGCGCCCTTCTCCGAAGGAATTCGAGCGCGCTTCCCCGATGATTCGGTGCTTCGAGAAGGCGGGGTAGAGGTGGACTTAGGCATCGTGGCAGTGGAACCTTGTGTTTCAGCCTAAAGGTAGACCCGAGAGACCGCTCTGGCTTGCGAACTTGTGTATAGCAGTTCATTGATAAGGTTTCCAAGCCACTCGGTGTTCGCCGTCGAAAGTCTGAGTCGCCCAGCTGTCCAATGAAGGAACTTAGCCCACGGGTATGGCTACGGGTGCGAGGGTTGGCCGAAGCTGACCCCCACCCTTACCCTTGGTGACCCTTACCCGTGACCCGCGCGGGTTCGGCGGACCCTTGCTCTGCACTAGATGTTGAAGAGTTGCCGGATTTGGACGAGGATCGCGCCGCCGTACGTGTACGCCTTACCTTCGCACCTAAGGGTCGCCCGTCGGAGCTCGCATGAGCATGGATGCTCGGCTGGATGTCGGAGTGTTGGAAATGGTGTCGGAGCTGGATGACCGCGAGATGGACGAGGATTTGAGCTTGGGGGAGTGCCGGATGTCGAACTGCGGGGAGTGCGCGTGAGCACTCGCTTGCTTCGCTCGGGGGAGTGTGTTGGAACATGCGTTTAGGCACGAGCTCGCAAGCTCGGCCGAGATAGTTCCTGAATGAAGATAAGGGAGGTCAGGGTATATAAACCGTAGTTTTCGATGTACCTACCTCACGCGATTGCCCTTCGGGCATCGTCCGCGCCCGGGACACTCGCGCCCGTCGACCGTCGTTCCGCTTGTTCTCACATGCTCTTCGGGCGTCGCGTCTCCGCTTTGTTCTTTTGCTAAATCGGTGTAGCATGTTTCTAACAATAGTAATTTATCGTACAGCCCGGAATGCCATGCCGACCATCGAGGGATATTTCTTCAGAAGATTCGCACGTCATGCTTCGTCCACCATTTGCAATGAACCTGACAGGTGAGGCAAAAAGCCACTAGTCACACCATATCTCCCCGGTCCCAACAGAGGATTAGAGGACGCAGACTCTGTGGCTGGCCGGTGAGAATCTGATCACTCTACGGCAGCATTCGCTGAACAGAAGACGATCCTCCAGAGCAACAGCATCCATTGAGTACGATGTATAGGGATTAGGCATACGAACTTCACAATCCGAATCCGATTCAAGTGCTTCGTTCGAACACTCGCATTGGGCGCCGGGCACAAGGTAAACTAATCCTAGCCTAACCATTGAACCATCACTTCACCGCGCCTGTCACATACAGTAACGTTCGCATTACGCCTATGTGCATCCCTGCCATCCATGTCTCATACTCAGTGTTCGCACAACGATCCGTCTGAGCCATTAGCCCCAATTGTATGGTCCTCAATTGCCGCCCGGTCTCCGCGTTCGAGACATCAGCACCTGTAGTACAGAATACACAGACTCGTACAAATCATGAGAGGTTGCGGTTTTGTGGACGAGGTCCTCCGATTAGTACCTGTACACGCCTTCAATATTAAGGATAGCGAGCCCCTGTCCCTACAAGGCAATGGGATGCGGAGTGCGTCGGGACTGATTTTTGGTCAGTTAATACAAGACAGACGTCACTTGTATAGCACTAAAGAGAGTACACCAATATATCATCAGGATAGTCGTCGTTCACGCACAGCATCTACGCATTTATATCAGTGTTTTCCGGACAGGGAACACGCTCGATACTCACCCTACAGCTGTATCATCTCCGCGAAAGCTTCGCTGCGCATGTACACATCGATCTTTGATCCCTCCGCTTTGTCATAGCCTCGGCGCGTCTTCGTCAACGCCCGCCAGCCTGGAGCCTGCGTTCGATCCGCAACACACTACCACCATAGCTGTCCAACAAATGTCACCTCTTCGAATGCAAGTGGTCCTGTACCATGTCCCAGGGGATCACGGCGAGGTAACGGAGTAACGGGATTGTGTTCGCAAACAACGCGGGGACCACTCGCTGTCCGCGAACCAGTTGTCAGAGTTGGCCCCGAGTGCTCTCCGCCCATGTTCGTTGCGGGTGTTCCCGACGGATTCGACGAACCTGAGCCGCACGCAGAGGATACTACTGCACTCAGAAGACAGCAAGAGACACTCGTCCTGTGGCAGTGACGAGGCGCGTGGGATGGGTGGTAAGAAGGGAGACTCGAAGAGGCATACAGAATGAGGCATACCCAGGCCAGTCTTTTCTGAGCGAGCGGGATGTCATCGTGCAGCGGCACGTTGCGCTAACGCAGTCATGTCGCAGTAACGCAGTCAAGCATCAGGACGCTTGGCCAGCTCCGCAATCCGCACCCTAGATCGACGTTGCCACGCTGGACATAAACCGAGAGTCTCCGAGAGTACCTAGGCCGTGTCGCACAGACAGTGGTGACAATCGTTTCGCTCAGACCGGGCACTTCGTGAAAGCTACTCAGCAGATCGAGGCTACGTAGTAGGTTCGAACTTACCGAGTGTATGAAGCGCCCGCCCGCCCGGTCCTCAGAAAGCACTCTGTCTGGCTCTTCCCGTCTAGAATGAACGTTCACGACCCGGCCAGTTTGCAAGCCACAATATAAAAATGGATTTTGGCCATTTTTGAGAGTACCTCGGTGTGGCGGTCTGAGCAAAACATACGCGCAGTTGTTGTGGCCTGTCACCGAGGGATCACGTTAAGGCGCCTATTCTGTACCATTCACTGTGGCTGCACGCTGGTGCCTCCGAGTCGCTTTCCTCTGCGCGCGGCGTGGTCCCGTCCTCTACCTCCGTCTCCTCTCTTGTCTTCCATCCTCGGTCGGTAGGCCTACCCCGGGGCTTCTTGCGCTGACCGACACCGGCTGATGGCCTGTGTTATTGCAATTGTTACTTGGAGACGAGGCGACCTGGAAACAGACATTTAGACGAACTTTCCCTAGAGTAACGGTCACTGACGTCCGGCTGGCTTTCACGCAACATGGCTACCGCAAAAGTCTCTCTCCGCCGTCTATCAGCGCACGTTGTCGAGGTGAGGCCAATCCGCATTATCCACTATCCTAGGCTAGATGCCTATCGTACTTTCCTCTCTATATCGCTAGGAGCCTTATTGTTACTTCTCTTCGCTCGCCTTCCGTTGCAACTTATCGTGCAAGTCGTCCGTCGACTCGTCATGGCCTCTGTTGTAAGTCGCGAATGACAAAATTGTGATATCAGTTGTGAGATTCGCTGGCTTGAATTGATCGAATAGACTTACCCGGCCGGTGACGTTCCGGAGTGAGCGTCGAAGCTGCTCAGTTGACTTGCGATCAGGTCGCCTCTGCCAGATCGTGCGTTCAACCTGGTGGATGGTCAGAACAATCAGATGCGTATATCCACGTGTGGTCGCAGAGAAACGTACGTAGCGAGGGCGCAGTTGACGTTCACTGGCGAGGTCGGTATCAATGGAAGCTACATGTTCGGACTACGGCTGACGACGTACGAGTGCCGGCAAAGCAGTAAACCCCGTCGAGTGCTTGAGTGCCGTTAGGCCTGTACTGTTGCATGACATCAGCAGCGATACTAGAAGTACAAACCTGCCGGTGAATACACGAACCGTGACTATCACTAACAGCTGGATCACACTGCGATGATACGGTGAGCGCACAACCCGACACAAACCGACGACACTCTTACAAGAGTAGGATACCTCGGTTGATGGTGAACGCCATGAGCCTGAAGATGAGGTTCTCCGTCCTGTTGTGTAGTCTGGTTATATGTTGCCCGTGTCATAAAAGGAGGTAGGCACTCACGGTTCGTACCCCGTCCGAGCGCGGTGGAAAATGAAACAAAGGACGGCCGTTATGTAAACATCGACTGCAACAGCCGTGTAACCCTCGATCCTACCCGATACCTGACAAAATACGGAATGTAAGCCAAGGCTAGCGCTAGACACCGAAACACTACCTCGACGCGTTGAATGGCTTCGACGTCGCTTATGCTCGTAAGACTGACCGAAACGCAGGATTGTCATCATCATGTGGGTTCACCATGGGCTAAAGGACGTACATGTCGTGAGCTGCGACTATTGCCTCGCAGAATTATGTCAGAGAGTACTCGCTCGGATCTAAGTCGTACGGAGAATGCCTCACCGAGCCCGCATGCTTCGACCGGCGATTGAGTAGAGCTTCAGCGCGTCGCAGATCAAAAACGTACCCAAAGATATAGTGGCCAGAGCAACCTACGCACCGTCAGCAATACGTATTTCGGTCAAAGAGGAGAGTGACCTACCCCCACTCCCGTAACATAGTTCTGGTACCACCGGCCTCGCAGTACTATCTAGTAGTCAGGTTCAGAGTACATCAGATTATTATTACTACTCACAAGCCCATATGTTACGGATATAGAGACTATTGAGGATCAATCACAAGAAGAACATTGAGAGGGGCGTAGCTCACCCTTGCACGAGAAACACACATGTTGTCTACTATACATGAAGACCTGTACGCATATACGGAGATGGATGACTTACGGATATGATGAAGTGGACCTGAAAGGCGCCTTAGTTCGACGAGTACAAGACATACGGTTGTACATACCGTGTACGACCTGTGCGATGGGTCATCTCACATGTCAAGAATATATATCGGTCGCGTACTCACAACGGAAGTAACAATAGTATAGAAGCGTCGGAATGGTGGTTGACAAACCAGTACGAAAGCAACTATGAATTGTGATGAGACAAGCAGCGAACTGAGACGAATGCGAGTAACCTGTGCGTGGAGAAATGCCTTCACAGTGTCTAAAAGGCTGTCGTAGTCCAACTGTGTTATTGTGCTCCGTGTTTATAGGTCCACTCGAGACTCACAAAAGACTGACAACCTATGACGGCAAAAATAATGAGTGAGTGACATAGAAGATAGCTTGAAGACTTACCAGGCCCTTCAGAGTGAGCCCGTCACGAGTGAACTGACGGAAGTAGTAGATGCTTTGCCCTAGAGTGCCTCCGAAGAAACTGCCAGCAATGCCAGACGGGTGAGTACAATCAATGAGCGAGCGAGTTACACACTTACATGAAGCAAAGGAGCATCCCACCACGGTAGACGTGAACGCATCTGACGCGTTCATGTCTTCGCTCGTAATCATGTTGAACTGGGGAATCTAGACAAGCAGGTCAGTACTCACCACCGTGTTTATACCCTAATAGCGTGTTCGACCGTGCGGTAGATGCGAACAGCTCTCCGTACGTGAGACACAACAATTCGAGCGTATCGCGGCGGCCTCGCTCCAAGCAATGCGCGGATTGGTTGAGAGATGGAGAGGACACTGGGTGCCCGCACGATGAGTGCAACAAATAGATACTTTGAGCTACCGCATGCCCCGGCCACCGAGCATGCCTGATTCCGAGAACGAAAGATGCTGCGCTTCCCTTCTTCTAATCAAGATGGAGTGTTGCGCTCCTCCGGGACCATTCGAACGCGAGGTACAAACTGGTGGCCAAGGGTGACAAATGCGCGTATGCAGGTCACGAGAGTGGCTCGCTGGAGCGGTGAGCTTGTATAAGCTGCCTTGCGGACCGAACAGCTGGACGTCAAACGGAACAGCATACCGACAAAGAAGGTGTTCCTTCGTACTTCCCGGGACCCGTGTTGTGTGAGAACGAGCGACAGACATGCCATGCGGAGGCCGTGGCTCTAGATCCCCAAGGAAGTATCCCAGATCGTTGCTCATCGTGATCGCGTGGGGCCTTCGGCTACCCTGCTTGTGGATTGTGGATCTGGCTGTACGTTAACCTGCCACAGGAGTTAGCTGACGATGAGCAAGAAGCCGTCATGTAATCAGAGGACTCTGACACGCACGTAAGGAGCGCTAGATCGTCGCTATGAGCGCCGCCATGTTTTCTGTGAATATCCCATGCCGAGGCAAGACCCCAAAGGCCAAAGGCGTCGCTCAAGTGAGCTGCGGACACTGGAGACAAGCACTGGAAGGAAGCGGAGAATGTCAAATCTCGAGGTAGATGCATTCCCATCGTACATACTCGGACGCTTCGCTCGATCAGCCCGAGGATATTCCAGATGATAAGGACCGTCCGAGACGTTACGGGGATGTCAACATCATCCAATGAAAGGCGAATAGCCTTCAGCGGGTGCTCGGTGTTCAGCTCCGAATGGGGGTACGACACAGGTCGACTATCTCTCCGTTCTCCATTCGCATCGAGTGCACAGGCTTACGCCTTGCAGACGCGCAGGTCAGTAATGTCCACGCTGTCAGACAGCCAATGATCAGCGCTCAGCACTGACAGCAGGCATAAAAAGTGTGACCAACGTACATAAGTAGTGTTCTGCACATCTTCGTCTCAAAGCAACTTTGCTACTGCCGTCGATGGAATTGTAACTGAACGTTCAGCAGCTTGCCTCAGGCTCGCGCGCTAGGGCTTTTTTGTGGAGCTTTGCGTTTCTCGACTCCCCTGGGCCTGGCAACCGACAAAACCGTCTACAGGTGGTCCGCTGGCGGTTCTGCGAGTCTAAAATCCAAGATAGAGCGGGCGGGCTAGACTTCGAGGTATTCAATAGCAAGTGGCATGCTGCCAGTGGAGGTCAGCGCGAGGCAAGCGTTGGAGTCATAGGGTCCGTAAACAGTAGTCAATCACGCTGTATTGAAGGTGATATGTACCAGATATGTCTCAAGTGCAAGTGTAATGGCAATGACCCGTTCGTACTTACGACAGAACTTGCCCGTCGTCACCCCAGTCGGCCGATGCCGGTAGTTCTAGCGGAGCCTGGATCTGCGATTGCAACTGTACTGAACGCTCGTTGCCTTCGTATCATCATCGTCTCGGATCCTGGGCTACTGAAAAAGGTTCGCTGACCAGCCATGGCTGGGATAGTAGTATAATAGTCATATACGAGTCTATTCTGCGTAATCGTCGAAGGGTGACTGCCAAACACTATAAGGAACGCTCCGAGTCTCCCGGTCTTCAATATCTACTCACTGGTACCGCACGCATGCTTGAGCGTGTTGCGAATCTTGAAATCAGATTTACTCCTCATGCACAAACTTATATATTATTTCTACTATAACATTGAACCATTGAAGGAAGGTCATGAAATGTGATATTGTTGTTGCAATCCCAGTACTACTAGACTACTACTTACTAGTACATCACGCTCATTGATGCCTATTCAAGTTTGGCGATTGACACGTTTGTTACGCATAAATTGATAGTGGTTTGATTGCCGACTGACATTATTCGACATGGATGCACCAAAATCAGTACAAGTTGGTTCAGTACCAGCGTATAATACACGTACCGCCGTTTGGTACGATCTGAATCTAAACAGCCACCGGAGAGTGCCGACATAGCCGCCACCGCCACCGCACGCGTGTCCGCCTCCGACGAGATCGTTGGCTTGACCAAGGCTTGACTCGGGACATGCGTCGCAGTACTGTGCACTGCTGTACGTAGCAGCAATCACTTCGACAGGTGTCATGTGACAGCTCCGTTTGCTCGTTCATAGCCACTCTGCTGCCTACCGTCGCAAAATGCTGATGACGCGCCACGGCACGGATAGTTCAAGTTTGATTGTGACTTGTTGCCGCAAACTCCGAGACGAACCACTCAGCGGCCAGGAAACCTCGCACAGAATCAAGACTGTATAAGCTTCGTTCGGTTTCCCCCCGGATATCTATGGGCCTAGACTACATCATTCTTCATTCCACGAACAAGGCTCACTAGAGGATGTTGTCGGGGCTCGGACTACGTGGTAGGTGGGCAGTGCGTTGACCTTTCGTGACATTCGCATTATCTCATCTGCCGCACGATGATCAGTGTCTGTGACGCCTAGTGTCGTGGCGTGAACGATCTCGTGGCTGAAAGTACGTAATGTGAATAATCGCACCGCGGATACAAATGGCGTAGTCGGTGTATGTGCTATCTTTGCGAAGAGGTACGCACGACTTACTTTCATTCATACGTGCAAATTATGACTCGTCTAAACCTAGAAATGGGCTCCGGAAGTCAAGAGGCAAGCGAGGTATGTCAATGCCATTTGCACGTATGATACAAACCTCTTAAGGCCGACAGTACTGGCTCACTGCTGTACACTGCGCTCTCACGACGTCTACGGCCATGTCTGTCCATGGCCAGTAATCGCACGGACATTCCGGGGTGCGTGTAACCTGTGAGAAACAGATGCCATGGCTATGCGTCAATGCGATCATACTCCCACCAGGTGCAATCACAAGTTCGCCCAGAGCATCCCCTTCGACGCAAACTCCTTTGGGCAAATGTGGTTCGCGCAAAACATGGAACATCTGACCTGACTCCAAATCCATTTGGCAGGAGTAGCAGAAGAATCTCTGTGCAGCGACTCGAGAAACGTGGGCATCTTTCGCAGAGGCCGAGATCAGTCACCGAAGTGACCGTATCAGAGTGCGTTTGCGTTTGAACGTCAGCGCCGCACTCGCGTGTCTGTGGCCGATCAGTCGCCGACCGAGCAACGTTGCACTCGTGCTATGCAGCTCGTACGACCTTGCTTTTCACAATGTCAAGGTCCCTCGGACAACTGAGGGCTGTGGTACAGCACGGCGTCGTATCTAGCGCCGTGAAACTCCAGGACTACTGCGACGCGTACTCTGTTCGCTCCAATTTCATACATCATCCGAGTCTGCGTCTGCGTGAAATGGAGACCCATGTTCGAAGTTGCCCTTTAAACGGGCTCTGGGGGATCACTTCAAGATGTTCGTAAGCCGTCTACGACTCGATCCGTAAGTGACATATCACGGTCATCGCTTCATTCCACCCTTCTATTTGATTGATCTGTTACTGACAGTTGTAGGACCACTTCAAGTCGTGCGCAAGATAACACGGTTGCTCATGGCTACGAGACGTCCTTTCATCTCAACCGGAGGCAACAACCACTTGGAGTTCCTGAATGACAGGGTTGATCAACAAGGCTGCACCAGTATATATCTGACGCCTCCATCCCCGCGCTGCCAACGCCCGTTCAAGTTCTCTGCTTCCCATTTTATCTTCGGCATGGGTGATAGTCATGGATATCCCGATACGGCCCCCATAGGAGGAGTGTTCGTCGAGATCGTCTTCTCTATGCTGTACGTTCAGCCGTTCCCTTGCTCCCTGTACCGCGAACTGATTGAGATTGAATCAGTGTATACGGGTGTACACTCGCTCAGACTTTGTATTATTTTTGGAACTACCCAGGCGACAGCGTCGTGCTGAAGATTCTGGTGTGTAAGGCTCTGCGACGAGGACACGTGCGCTACTGCGGCTTATGCGGATACCGATGATCACAGGTGGGGGTATTATGGTTCGTAGTTGCTATGCTGTCTTCATATAATAGTTGATAATCTGACACCGATACAGGGCACTGGATACAACGAGAGCCGTACTGGTGACGAATGTCAGTTGCGCGACCTTTGTAAGGGAAACTCTGACCACCCAACAACGATAGAACGAATGGTGGTATCTGGTACGGAATCACGCCAACGCGATGTCCCTAGAAGAACAGCAAGGGTGAGACACTACTCCGTTATTGCCTATAGAGATGGTAGGTCTATCTTTGCACTGATGAACGTCTGTCAGGAAAAGCACGGCACGTCACTTGTAATCTCTCATCGCCCTTTCCGGATTCACTGAACGTCTGACAGATAGCCCATTGCGTGGTCTCAGTAAGCAGTCCGAATTCGCGCACAGGCACAGCATGCCCACGCTGACATGTAATCTTCAGATTGTCGTGATCTTCATTGTGCAGTTGTGAGTAGGTTATGTTACCTCAAGGTCGTTACTGACACTCCGTGTAGCTTCTTCATCCATAACATCTGGAAGCGTAAGTAAACTGCCACCGGCGGCAGAGGCGGCTGACAGCTTCATTGTTCACTTCTCCAGTCATGGCCCACAAGAGTGGCCGCGTTGTGTTGACATTCGTTGCCGTGAGTACGTCATTTAACGCGGTCAGCGTGAACTCACATTTCCGTGTGTGTAGGCCACATTTGCAATTCTCTCCGCAGGTTCGTGTTCAGTCATAATGTCTAGTCATATTGCGCGTACCTCAACCGCCTGCTATGCGACTTTAGCGGCAGGCTTCGGTGCGTAGAAGATGCTCTCGCGCGAACATCGTCGCAGCTGACAGCATTCACGCGTGTAGTCTTCGTTTATGAAACTACGTAAGCGTCTTTCAGAGTGCCTTCTGCTTTTGTCGACGATAGTCATCCTGTCTTCAGCGCAGACGCGAGCGTGCCCATCATACTCTCGGACGTCATCGTACGTATCTCAACTCTCATGTGGGTAAAGCATATTAAACGATCGTGACCACTGCAGCCATCAGGAAGCGTACAAGCTGTCACCGCGCTCTTTACTGATCTGTACATCACTGTCTCTTTATGTCTTATCTTGCAGGGTGCAAAGACCTACACGGTCGACGGGTATTGTCTTCACGATCCATTCATGAACTCATACTCAAGCGGTCACAGGGCCCATGCTATTCTATCCAAGCTAATCATATACACTGTCAACCGTGGGCTTCTCATCGTGTACGTGCTTCACTGTGGAATAGGTGTCGCGCTCAAGATCTCCTCGTCACAGCGTCGTCCAGTTTGTTCAATACATTACGGTGAGTCCAGTTACGAACCATGCAGAGGCACCTGCGCTGATCGATCTGACTCAACTAGTATGTCCCACAATGGCACGACGTCCATATGATTGTGGACCTGTTCCACTTACATGAGCCGTCATGCACGGGTAAGTCGATACAATAAATATGTGCAGTAAACTGGTTCTGATCGACTGCTTGCCCCAGTATACGTCAATGCATTACTTGCAGTGTACGTTTGACTCATTCTTCTACTGAGAGAAGCCCTGAGTTTATACTAGATTGAACGTCCGTCAGCATCTGAGGGAGAAACGACGAGCTATCTCGATGATGTGGGAGAAACCGCCCGATATGAGCATCGACGAACTACTCAACAATAGCGACGCCGTAGACGTGGGCTCCCCGGAATCCAGGTACGGTTTTGAGGTCAGTACGTCGATATGGGAGGAGCGCTGAGTGATACTGTTTCCTGATTGAATAGCTTCTTCTCACTGCTCGGAAGGAAACCTAAACACAGACGCACCTCTGTTGTTGTCGATATTCTGGTTACCAGGGAAGTTCTCGTGGACGGCCAGTGGAGTACATTTGATAGCGGGCCAATGTCTGCCGTGGACGGTGCGCATCTGTTCCCGAGTTTGTTGACGGACAAGCCCCTCAGTCGGAGCAACACTGTGTAAGACCTCCTCAGTATTACGGACATATTGCTGTCGTTTCGTGATGAGTCACACATGTCTATATGGGCTCGCGTACACGTTCCACATGCCAGTGGTATATGACTCCGATGTCGCTGCCGAGAAGGTCTGCGACCTGGCAGTCAAAATGACGAGGTATGCATGACTAGGACAAATCACAGCAAATGAATAGAATAACTGGCATGTGTTATATATTGTCAGCTCGCGCCATATCCACCTTGCTCACGGTGTAGATAGTGCTGCCTGAGCTCTGTTCTTGGGCGACCTGAGGCTCACGAGAAGGGGATGCCGTTCCTCGCTCGAGAACTGTTTGATGGCTTCACTACAGAGGATAAGGCGACATGACATGTTACATGTCGTACGTGGAACTCTGGTGTAATGGCAACCTATCATGCTCTGAGTTCGTGCTCGGCGAAGTCCATGCCCTTCTCCTGCGCCTCGGCCGCACCATCTGCCAGTACCGCTAAGTTTGCCGTACTCAGCAGGATGTGGTCCGCATTCGGGACCATGATCAATTCCACCCTAACGCCAAGCTCGCTCAACCGGTCGTAGGTCGCCTGCGACTCCGACGGCAACACCACACCGTCGGCCAGGCCATGCACGAGGAACGTCGGCGGGAACGTCGCGTCGAGCTGCGCCTCCAGAAGCGCAGGACGCAGGTGCTCAGGGACCGCCGCGAGCCTCTCGGACGCAGGCAGGTCGCGCAGCCCCGCAGACATGGGTTCGCCGAGGAGGTTGTCCAGGAAATCCCCTGTCCTGAACCAGTACGGGCAGAAGTACCATCGCCCGTCGGGATCAAGTAGAGACCCGTTTCCCCGCAGCTGGAACGGCGCGTCAGCGATGGGAGGCAGCCCACCTGCGAGCTGGGCGCGCATCTCTGGGTCGGGAGGGACTGCGGCACCGTAGACGGGCATGGGGTGGTCCTTGACTGCGACCCACTGGTCGCTGAGCATGTCGCCTCCTTGTGCGAAGTACAAGAGGGCGGCTTTTGGTTTGGGGCTCGCGTAGATGCCCGTAGCGCGAGCGGGGTAGCCTCCGCCTGAGAATCCCGCGACCGCGATGCGGGCCGTGTCGAGCGACATACCGTCGGGGAGATGCCTCGTCGAGAAAGACTCGTCCCCGAGGAATCTGAAGAGCATCTTCACATCCTCGACGATGTCGAAGCCGGTGCACGGATGAACGAGTCGATAATCAGCCGCCACGAAGATGAAGCCGCGCTTTAGCACCGACTCTGCATAGGCAGAGCAAGGTTGAGAACGTCCGGCTTACTGCACAGTGCCTGCACGTACCTCTGAACCACTCCGGGAACAGAGCGTCTCTGCGAGAGCCTGCGACCATCCCACCGCCATGGAAATATATGACTGCTGGTAGGGCACCAGAGTTCGGATGCGCTGGTACTTCGATGTCGAGCTTTATGTCAAGTGAACCGACACGAGAGTAAGTGACAGTCAGCATTGCGTGCGGTACTGAGAGGAGAGGCAAATCATATTGATCTCAGTGAATTCGCTGTCATGTATGAACAGTCACTCACCTGTGGATGGTAAGACCTGGACGACCTGTTGGGGAATGATGTGTTAGCTGTCGAGGATGTAGTACATGCAATTCTTATATGCGGCATCCTGAGATACTATTGACGCGGACGCTTGAGCCCGTATGAGTGAGCATAATGAGATCAGACCGATGGCGCGATGCGACCCCTTGTCAGCAGCGACGCAGTCGCTTATCGGCAGGAGCACTATCAGAGTCATGGTGACTCGGACGAGGGTTGGGTGAAGGATTCTTGCCACTCGGGCATTGATGGACCGACAGCCGCGCGGCACTGGCGTCGGTCATGACCACTCAAAACTAGTCTTCTACTACAGCACTCACCTTGCATAAGTAACTCAACCAACAACTTCATATGCTAGTCACGGCAAGTGATATCTACATAGTTTGAGCGCATTGTGGGTCCATGCGTAACGGGTGTTGCCGAGGCGCGGACCTATAGATTCGACGACAACCCTCTCCGGAGCCAAAGATCAGGTCCGCGTTGCATCGGGTGAGGCGTACCGTCGTTGATTATGCCTGCGCATGAGTCGACAGACAGTCAGTATACGTCTGCGTTCGAGTGCCAACTGGGAACGTCTCACATTGACGATGGCTATCCATTTCCAGCGCACTGGAGCGGGACGCTGAGACGGCACGCGTGGCACAGATCTCTCGGAGGCTCGGGCGAGACGCGTAAAGACCATAGAGGTTCCACGAAATGTGGTCGTCGGAGCGACAGCGCTCCAGGTATTCGTACCTCAGCGGCCACGGGCTGGAGAAGAGCGCGGTGGCTCAACGGGCTGTCGGCTATGTCAGTGAGACGTCTTGCAGCGTGAATCCGTGATCCCGCCCTCCTCGTCTGTCTCGGGCAAGTTGTGCAAACTAGTTCATTCGTCATGGGCAGGGTTCGAAGCATACGACATGAAAATCTCTTCGTCCGTAGTTGTGGACGCCGGTCCGCCGTGTCGCCTATCAGACGCTACCCCCTCGGCCTTCGGATCATAGGTCTTGAGCTTGAGTGCGGAACTCAACTTCTCCTGGAGTACCGTCCTCAGCTCCTCCAAGACCGCAGACGGCACGCCGGTTGGCGGCGCCCAAGGGCCGATCCTGCCATGAGATCCCGCGACGTGGAACTTGAACGTGAACGTCTGGTGCGGATCCGTGTGGCGAGCGAGATGCTCTGCGAGCCAGGCGCAGCACCAGCAACACTTCACCGCGGAGCCGATGACGCCCGTAGTTCCCTCGTGGCAGAGAGCTCGCTCAGTCGCGCAAATAGAAAGATACACGAGAACCTACCTGGAGAGCGTCGTCGAGGTCGTGAGCGGCGGGGCTGGAGACGAGCGATCCTTCGCCCCGGTCCCGGGCGCGATGGATGAACGCCATCAACGCGGCCTCCGAGTGCACCGCACCCCTGACCTGCTCCGGAATCCCCAGCTCCTCCATAATGACACGCGCCTTTGCTCGGGTGTGTCCTTCCGGTGCGGCGGGCAGATTCCTCGCGATTACGTCGAGTGGCGACACCGACGAAGGCACGGGAGGCGGGCTGTTCACCACGTGGATCGTCGCGGGTATGCTGCTCCGCACCAACTTGGACAGATTGCTGTGGACGGACCTCGAGGCGGGAACCCACGCCACGATGGAGCGCATATAGCGAAGGGCGAAACTTGCTGTGGTGTCTTCACTCTCCTCACCGCTGTCGGTGCTGACTTCATCCATAGCTTCCAAGACTTGTACAGAAGAGGCGCGATCGTCGTTCAGCAGATTGACGCGGGGGTGCGATTGTGCTGCATCAGGCCGGGTTAAGGAGCGACGGAAAGACGACAGACCGACGGGCGACATACCAAAGTAGGATGGTAACCGTACATCAGGTACGGTCGCCGATGCAATCCTCTCTTTGAGAGAAGGTAAGGTGAACAGGTACTGCGTACCTTCGTTGCAGAGCATGGCATTGAGCCTCGACATGTTGACCGCCGCGGCCATGGTGGCGGTATCCTCCAGCTTCGCTCCAACCGCGTCCTCAACGTCACGGACGGTCTTTACAAAGGCGTTTCGTATCATCCTGAGCCAGTTTGCGGCACCTGCGGCATCACAGAGCCATTCCTTGCGGTGACAACCTTCATCGGATGTTCGGATCTGCAACGGACACGGGACTGTTTGTTCGAACACTTCTGCTAAGGTGAGGACAAGGGGAAACCAGAGGCCGTCGATTAAAGAGTCGCCTGGCTGGGGTCCCCAACCATGGAGGATCGCTCCAAGTGAATCCTTCTTCCAGAAAGTGCGCTCGAGCTTGACACGATGGCGAATTTTGGGAAGAGAACGATGTATGACAAAGAGCTGGAATTCCTGCCCGGATAATGGCAACGCCTCCAACAACTCTGTAACGTTGTCACAGAGGTCTCTCGCAGCGCCCCTTGAATTGCAGCAACTCTCTATCACACAACGGCGTGACAAAGTGTCAATTTGAACGCACTCACTCAGCTGGGCCGTGTCCCCTCGGATTCGAGAGGCTTATAGCGATTGCCCCCTGCGGGTTATTAGAGCGATGTGCACCCTTGGCTGCGGGCCGAGGATTCTGAGACGTCTCTGTCTCATCCTCGTCGGAGGACACTACGATTGAGGCTCCATGGCTTTTCGAGACAGCCCCAGTCAGAGAGATGGCTCGCACTGCAGCACCCCCACAATCCCTTTTCTCTCGTCCAGTGGTAAGGACGGTGGCGATGTGGTTGTACAGCCGGGCGGTGCTCTGCAGCGACTTGGGCAGAACAAGGGTCTGTGCGGTGGCGGGACTGGCTAGATGAGGGCGAATGCGATGCAAGATGGTGGTAAGGGTGCGAATGTCGTCGGCGACGCTGTCTTGCCTGGGATCCGGAGGAGTGGCCATGATGTCCGAGCTTGAACGCAACACGAACATGCGGTAGTCTCGATCAACGTTCCACGTGCCACTGTGCAGCACTCGCTGAGCGTGCACCGTCTTGTTTCCCATTTCCTGACAAGTACTCTCCGCGGTCTCATACGTATGGATAAGACCCAGCGCCAGCTCCAAGATGAATATCTGAGGAAGGTATTTCAGTACATGCGTCTCGTCCCACCTCAGGGCGCAGACTCTGACGGCCGCGGTGGTCAAATGCTGCACGATTTGCTTCACATCTCCGACTCCTCGCTTCCACACCACTTTCACTACTCACACGAAACGAAGAACACCCTCTACTTGCACAAGCTGAGGTCTGATGCAAGCAAGGTCGTCTGTAAGATGGCCGTGGGGAGCAGCGGAGGGGAGAGACTGCGCCATGAGGCTAAGTTCTACGAAGCCCAAGCGACCGCCGTGCTTCGAGGCAGCGAGATGCCGAACTACTATGGACTCTTTCAAAGAGGTTCGGAAGACGATGCAGCGACGTGCCTGGTGCTGGAGTACTGTGGGGATGCGTTGCCGAGTGCGCTGCGGAACCAGAAGAGATCGTTCAGGTACGAGACCGTCCTCTCCCAGTCCAACGCCCGAGCCTCATCATCTCTTCGTCGCTGTGGCGATGACTCGACAGAGAGGCAGCCGTGAGGGCCTTCGAGAAGCTGCACTCGCGGCCGGTCAATATCATAAAGGGCGGATTCTACGAGTCCAAGGATATAATACGTCGGCCGACTGGCCAGCCTTGCATAGTCGACTTCTCCAGCGCACGCTACCACTTCGAGTCATGCAGGAGCCCGAAAATCGAGTTTGACATCCCGTCTCCTCCTCGAGGCCTTTATCCATTATGTGGAGAGCTGCGGGCCGTCGCTGAAGATGCATGGGCGTGGTACAACAGTCAGTCTACATCTGCACTCGAGCGCCTGGGACCATCTCATATTGACGATGTCTATCCGTTTTCAGCGATGCTCCAGGTCCCGAAGCTGGGGACGCCGTTGTACTACACTGGAGAGCCGTTGGAGAGTTACTGGGAGAGTGTCGACGACATCATGAAGACCACTAGGGAAGAAGGTCTCGCGCTGATAGCAAAAGCTATCGAGGAGTACGAGACGATGATGAACGACAGAAAAGAGTTATTCGATGCAGTGGAGCGCGATGAATAAGGCAACCTTCCAGCTGCCCAGGAGTCCTGTTTTGAGGCGCATATAGCTCACTTCCCTGAACAGCCACACACGCCGGCGCTGGAAGCGTTCGTAATGAGTACACGGAGGCTCTTATGATCAGATCAGGTGATATACGATAGGTTCGACGCGTCTCGAGATGCGGGAAACAACCTTGGCTGAGCCCGCGGCACATATCTCGTCACATCTATTCGCATCTATACGTGCACTCAAAGCAACGTGAAGCAATCGATACAGGGTATAGCAAACATACATGTGGGCGAACGTTACACTGCGACGGGTATGAGTACAACACTGACTTACATTCCGACCAGCCTTCTTCGCATTCCGTCGTTATCATTGACATGAGATCCATCAAAAGTCGTCCTCGCCCTCATCCTCGTCCCACCCGACAGCCTCGAGCGCCGCCTCGCCCTCATCATACAGCTTGTCGAGCCCCGTCAAGGTCTCGAGGAAGCCCTGTTCGTTGAACGCCTTCAGGAGCATCCCGAAGCCCTCCGTCTCGTACGCCTTGATGACCTACACGCCCATGTCAGCTCGAATCTAGCCGCACGCTGTGCCGCACGGGCTCACCGTCTCGCTGCACCCCGTGCACCTGTCGTACGCGGCGCCTGTGATGGGCATGTTCCGGAACTGCGCGAGGAAGCCGCGGAGCTGGTGCGGGACGATGCCCAACACGCCTTCCGTCCCCGGCGCGGGTTCGCCGCCTTGGTTCTGCGGCGGCGGGGCGGGCGCGTTGATGCTGTAAGCCCGAGCAGTGAGATGAGATCACGACTGCAGTGCGCGAACGTACCCGTCAGGGTGCTGCAGGAGCGAGACGAGCACCTCCACCGCGGTCGACGCGGCGATCGACGCTAGGCCAGGCCTAGTGACGGTACACATCTGGTCGAGCGTCCTGTCAGTCAACGACTGCACACAATCAGGTCAGCAGGTTTCCTCGACGCATGCAGCCACCCGACACGCACATCCGCAGGCGCGACGATGTCGTTGCAGTAGTAGCACCCGAGGCGGTCCCCCTTCGCGAGCGTCGCGCGGACGCCGTGGCGCATGACGAGGAAGGTGTCGAACCCGAGCGCGGCGTTCATGACGACCTTACCCTTGGCCGCGCCCATCACGGTCGGGAGCCACCGGCTCTCGCGCGAGTCCATGAGCAGGAAGACGACGTCGTGCTCGTCCACGAGCTTCTCGAGCGTCGCCACGTCCTTCTTCGCCTGCTCGACGGACGCGGGCGGGATCGGGTGGCCCGGCATCGGGATGCTTAGGTTGTGGCCGGAGGAGTTCTGTCGCGGGGGTAGTGTGAGACTCGACAAGGCAGGCAGATGGACAGGGTTGTACGTACGACGCCGGGGAAGATCTTCTTGAGCCGCTCGGCCGCGCACGCCGCCTTGGGCTTCCCGCCGTTCAGGCAGTCCTCGAACTCGAACAGCGGCTGGCGGACGGGGTTCGAGAACGAGACGCGGGCGGAGTCGACGAAGGTGATGGTGCGAACGCCCCAGCCCTGTCGCAGATGAACGATGTCAGAAGGATACCAGATGCCCGATGGTGGGCGACGAACCATGAGCGTGCGCGCCACATAGCACCCGAGCGTGCCGGCACCCAAGAGGAGACACCGCGTGTTCGCGACCTTCTCAAGGTCGAGCGCGGGCAGGATGCGCCACCGCATGAGCTTCAGGTTCAGGTCTACGGCCTGGTCCGCAAGCCTTGCGCATACACGCATGAGCATATAACTCACCCCACATCTGAGTGGATAGCTCACCTCGTTGGGTCCATCATCGGCGCCAAGTCGGCCACGCGCGGGCCCAGCTTGCCCTGGACGTTCTTCTCCCAGCCCACCGCTGCGGGCTTCTCCGTCTTCACCGCAACGTCGCCGGTACCCTGGGAGACGACGCCGAAGCGGCTCTTGAACGGTGCGCTAGAGGGGCGCTCGGAGTCGCGCCAGCATAGGATGCGGTACGACGGTGCTGGGTGGAGGGTATGGAGGTAGGTCAGGAGGTTGCGCAGTGGCCAGCCAGGGTTGGAGGGCGTCGCGGAGGGGTCGAGGAAGGCGATGGTGCGTTGCTCGGGGGCGACGTTGGCGAAGAATTGGTCGTACTCTTCCACGGGGGCGATCTCGGGCGCGTCGCTGCCTGCCTTCGGCCGGACGAGGAAGAAAGCTCGTGGAGCAGCCAGTTGTGTCGCTTCAATCGCAGATAGCTGAATGCGTGGTTCGTCAATGCGCACATGAGAAATGACATGAGCCAACAGTCGACGTACGAAGGAGTCGCTGAACTCTTCTGACGCGGCCTTCCAGTCTTCCTGGATCTCCCACGCAGGCTTGACTACGAAGGCGGGGAAGGCAAACCAGTAGTAGTACTTGTACTTCTTGAGATCCGCGAAGGTGATGAGCAGAAAGTGGTTGAGCCGCGCCGTCGTCCGGTCTGCCGTTATGGTCTTCCAGATCTATGAAGAGCAGTTGTCAGGCAGAGATCGTCGGTTGGGCGTGCACATGTGAGGTTACTGAATCATTCACATGCAGGGACTAGCCTGCAGCTGCTCACTCGCCTTCCTCGCCAACATGTCAACAACGGAAACAAGGAAGCATTACTGACACTGCCGCTGTCTCACCCGGGCTGGCGAACAGTACGAACCAGTGCTCAGGTTGTTATCAAGGTAGCGGACACTAACGCTGCAGAAGACACAAGGAGTACGACGTCCGTAGTCTCCTTGGTAGTGCTCGCGCTCCAAGTCTTGCTGGCCCGGCGACGCCACGAGAACTGCGAATTTGTGACTGGTACAAACTCATTGCGGTGGTTCCGTGCGTCCAGACATGAGAGCGAGGATCCATGCGCTCATCGCCGTGATGCTACCCGAAAACCCAGGGGATCTAGCTCATCGCGATCCTCAACTCATTGGATGACGCAGCGATTGACGACGCAGTACAATCCCACATACATCATATATGCGCGTAGGTCCATTGGCAGTGGGAGAGACTCAGAGTGGAACGAACACGTACCTCGTCCGACACTTGTGCAAACAGCGCGGTCTTGTCTGCTGCTTTGAACTCTTCGACGGTATTGTAGTTCTTGAACACGCCAGTCACCAACGCTGAATGAGCTGGTGGTCTGCAAAACACAGGTCATGCGTCCACTCGAGGGATACAGTTCCGCCACTCACTTATCCGCCTTCGAGAACGACTCGCCCCCGACTGTGAGATTACATCCGAGCGCTATTTCGGCGCCAGACTCGCGATCCTTGACGGATCGACCGGCGGCATACGAGCCATGGATCGTTATGGCATCGTCAGAGAGCCGGAGCACATCGATCTTGAAGTCCGTGAGCGCGTGCCAGAATGCCGGTTGGACGAGAGACGAGAACGGCGCAAATTGTACTATGGGCATGAGCTCTGAGTGGGGATTCCGCCCCGGCAGTCTCGACGGGGAGAGGGTTGGCGTGCAGTCGCGCGACGAAGGATGAAAGGTGAGGGTGAGGATGGACTAAGGCTGAATGGAGCAGGCTCAGGCCGCGGAACCCACGCGTCGAGAAACGCTCACGTGATGGCTAACACACCCGCGTCGCGAATGTCGAGCAAGATCAGAGTCGATTACTTGCAGTCTTTACCGTCGATTCTACGCAGCAGTAGGTAAGGAGCCCTACCACGCTGGCATCGCTCACGCTTGGAAATGAAGCCCGTATTTGTTTGATTCGCCCTTTACAGCTTTAGTGTCTATACACAGCATGCGACGTGACCTCAGGCTAAACTGCCCTACTCATCGCGCAGTTCAGCCAGATGATCTAACCTGCATTTGAGATCCTCTTCCCACTCCTTGAGGGCCTTCTCTATCTGTGCCACGCCCTCCTCGTCGGGTACCTTCCGGTGTAACACAGGTCGTTTATGTTGGGACCAATATTGCTCCGCCGTCCTATCCTTGTCATACTTCATCGAAATCCCAAGAGCTGGTACGGAGACCTTATCTGAAAACATAGAAGTCCCGATATGAGGAAGGTTAACAGTCACTGAGAGAACATGCCACACTGACGAAATACCCATGCCCATGCATCCTCGGCGACCTCTTCCAGCTCTTGACAGCTTTCGTACGGAGCTGCCTGCACGTAGTCACAGTCAATTGGCTCGGTTGAACATTTGTGCCCTCGACGTGCATGTGCGAAGTCCACAAGGCAAGGCTGTCCATTCGGCCTGCGTATGACATTCTCGTGCTCGTATTCACTTCCTCTCGACACGCCGGCGTTCTTGTGCAACTTCTCAACGGCCCTAACGGTTGCCTTCCTGTCGACGCCGTCACAGCAGCCAAATTGTCGTCAGCTCAATTCGTGTACTCGTAGTTGATGCCCTCATACCTGAATGATAGTGTCTGCTTATGCAGCTCGCTCGACAACGCAACCCCGCAGTGCTCCAGCACCAGACATGTTATCTTGCCGCCGGCACCCCACTCTCCTTCAAAGAATCCGAAGTAGTTGGGGATCTCCTTGCCACGAAACGGGGCGAGAACTTTGTCCTCGTAAAATCCAGCCTCATGTCGCAACAACTTCTCTCCGTCACAGTCTGTCGCGATCTTACACACCACTTTGCTGCCGTCGGACTTCAGCTTGTGCAAGTAGAGGACATTATACGAGTCCCGCGAAGTATGAAATCGTTGCGGCAACGATTCATCGGAGAGGTCGAGTAGATCGTGCAGCATTTGAACGCTGTCCGAGTCGACGTGCATGTCGTCAGGACCCGCTCTCGGAGTCTGGACAAGACTCATACACTGGAGAGCCATTCTTACGTCCTCATCTTCCGTGGCTGTATTCATGATAGCAGACAGAGTGTTCGGGATGAGGGCTTCGTCAGGCGAGTAGTACACCGCCAAAATTTCGACAGGTGGTGGCCAGGTATTAGTCATGACTCGAGATACCAGGACTTTGGGAAGCCAGTGATAGCAAAGTAAGCACTTAGCGGAGGAGACCAATATGTATGAGGAGACACTGTTTTGTTTGGTATCGAGGGATGAATCCGCGGATCCGTTCAGATCCGTTCTAGATCTGAATCTACGGTCACTGCCGCGTTGCAAACGGGCGCTTGCTGCCGCGTCAGTACTTGTCTACGAACACCGCCTACTGTCCAACTTGAGCTGTGTTGTATATGCGACTGTTCTACGGCGGCGCATTCCACTGGTCTGCCGTGAGTGTCGCTTCCGGGAAAACTCGTCGGAACTATGTCAATGGATGACCGTCACATACTTGACGTCGGTGAGCATAACTGCTCACACTTGAAACAGCATCGTGGTGTTGACCGTAAAATCCCAATACCAGCTTACGATCATGCACAGGCTACATGGAATGGAAACTATGTAGGAGAATACCATATGAATCTCTTGCATGAGCTGCAGGGATACTGTACATGGCGCGGGTCAACTTGTGAACCATTTCTAACAGTTGTACAATCCGCCGGGACGGGGAAGTCATCCATGATACGTGCACTTTCCGATAACATGTTCGTCATCCCTGTCTCCCTAGGATATAAGCATGTAGATCGACTGGGAAAGACCTACTTGTCCTCAGGTAGAGATACTCTCCCGCAGCCACCACGGTCCCACTGCACACCTGATGTTCCGTCCAGATCTGCATCCTCCTCCGGACTATTGCGTCCTTCGATGGCTCAAAGATGACACCAGATACGGGACTGCCTTTGACCGCTGTAGTGCGTTCCTCCAGGCTCTGTTTCAGCATACTCTTCTTGTACTGGGACGTGATTTTACGGAAGAATGTGCCTCGGGGATGGACGCGCTGCTGAGATCCTTCAACAAGAAGATGCACGATGTTCCGCCGGACGATCGATTCAACGACTATCGAGAACGCTTCTATGCTGATGTGATTGAATACGCCAAAGCGCTTTTAAAGGTACGTACTGCCACTGCGTATGTGCTCCGCATTATCGACAGTCGTTTGTGCAGCAAGAACGCTACCCGGAACTGTTGGGCCGTTATCCATACCTCGGTCCAAGGAGCACCAAAGAAAAGCGGCTTCTCGAGCGTTATCCCCCATAGTAGCGTGTTGCCAACTGGAAGGGTATCTTACAGATGTCTCCATGCGCGGTACAACTGGCGTGACCGGAAGCGCAGGCTCTCGGAGACAGCCGCCGCTGTTTCTCGTTGCCATCGACAACGCAGAACCCATACTACAGGACGCGGGTACAGAACACGAAGACGGGTACGTATACAGAAGAATCGACAAGTCATCATGCGTCGGGATTGAAGTTATCTGCCGTTTGACGCGTATGTCCGTCTTTTTCGTACTTTTATCGAGTACACCCGGAGACGTGTTGCGCCCCGTGCGGCCTAAGTCCATTGGAGAGGATCTGTCACGCACACGACCTTTCACAAATCTTGGGTTTGATATCTTGGCACAGAGGATATCCGTTGCCGGCTTCTCCCTTCGACGCGTGGTTAGTAACGAGTACATGGCACATCTAGGCCGACCCGCGTGCGTATCTCATGATTCCATGCATCCCGTAGTTGACAGAACCATCACGTCTCACAGGTTCGGTCGTCTCTGGGATGTCGGGGTGCGGGAGGAACTGATCGACATCGCGGCTCGCCTACTGCTGAATTCCGACCACCTTGACGGCCCGTCGACCGACGCGCAGACGTTTGCGTGCCTGTCGCACCGCCTGGCTCTACCGCTGGTCTCCGTAACGCCGTCGGAACAACGCGCAGAGCAGGAACAGATCCAGCACCACCTGCGTATATGCCTCGCGTTCGACCCGACGTCCGGCGATTTAGTCTCGGTAGCTCCGTCAGAGCCTCTACTCGCCGAGGCTGCCTACTATGCGATGCGCATACGGTCCATGGACACTCCGCAGGCTCTTAGAGCCATCTTTGATGCTTTCTCGATCGGAGTGGGACAACAGGGCGACGTGGTCCTGCAGGCGCTTTTGATCGCGGCGCGCGACGCTGCGGTTGGAGACCCGCTCCCTAATGGCCTTCCCCGCTGCCCGGTTGACGAAAAAGAGAACCGCCGCTTGATGTCGTCAACGGCTTTCTTTCGAAAGCTCTTCAAGCCATTCGAAGTTGCGTTCGACCACGAGGGACACTCCTATGCGACTGCGAGCGAACGTCATCAGGCGGAAACCATCCGTCGCTTTCACGCAGACTTCCAGAACTGCAACGTGCACTTCAATCACTTCATCTCCGTACAGCCTGACGTCCTCCGAGCGAAGTACCTCCTCGCACTCCTGGCCCGCGGCGCTGCGCCCCAATGCGCGAGTCACGGATGTGGCGTAGACGCTGTCTTGACGATGACAGATGGGTTCGACGCGACGTCTGAGGCCCTTCATCTCGTACTCTTCAAGACGACTCAGAGCAGACGGACAGAGGATCTCGACGGGATGTTTGCTGCCATGGATCCATACGACCTCGGGATCTGGGATGCAGGTCGGGTTGCGTCAAAACCCCTTGTGCGCATCCTGTTTGCACCGTTTGTGGAGCATGACGAAGGGAGTTTCAGTATCGAGAGGCGGACCAGCCTACACGGAGCACGTCGTGATGACGAGTCCACCACCGTTGATCCTGGGTGCTACGATATCGTGGTCACTGGTCTGTCGTCGACGATCCTTGGACCTATCGAAACGAAGGATGTGGATAGCTGGGATGCGCTCCTCCATGTCGGCTCACGCCATGCCGATGTCGGGAGTACCATTTCTAACAAGTCCGCTATGTCCCATGCTGCACAACCTGGTATGGGTAGCGAGGCAGGACATTGGAGGTCTTGGGTCGACGGTGTGGTATAGGACATTCATACGTGCTTCATCATGTCAATTCTGTTTTGTCCAAGTAGAGCGTGATGTCACGGTTACCGTATGTGCTGAGAGCTGAGGAAACAGGCCAAGTACAGTGATTACGGCGCTTGCACATGTTCTGTCGGGATAGTTTGAATCTCTCCGCCAACATGCAAAATGATCACTGCAAGACGAGTCGCTTGAACCATATTTCCGCGTTGAGCTCATGTTACTTATCGTCAGTCCACTGGCAAGTACATTGGAATGAGCGGGGCCTGGGGCAATGTGTTTTCGTGCAAACAAGTGCAAGCAACGCGTGGTGGACGACTCTGCCGTCGAAGCCTCTGGTACGCGTCCTATTCGCGCCCTTCGTGGAAAGAAAAAACGAGACGGCGTATCTCAGCATCAACAAGCATAGTATGGCTACACCCGGGCCTCTAGAAGACTGCAAGGCGTACGAGTCGACGCTGACATAGAACAATGATTTCTTGAACGGTCACGTGTAACGTGCCACTCACAGTTGAACATGACGGTGGCGTCTGCGGCGTGCGCATTGAACGTCTGCGTGAAGGCCTCCGGTTTGTCCGCCCCATCCTGTTCTCCACTGACGACCTGCTCGTCTCAACGCTGTCCGTCAGAAATGACTGCTAAACTGGACCCGAACTGGCACACAGTACGCGTGCGTCCGAGACGGCTCATCGAGTTCAGGTCCTCCCTCGAACTCGTGCGCACCATGGCTGATGCTATTACCGGTACATCGTAATGCACGCGGATACCCGTTTTCTTGCTGAGAAGGCTCCAGCGCACAAAGGGTACTAGAGGCTGGGTTCATCCACAGGAATATCTACCCGGAGGCCATCATGACATTCGAGGAAACGACACCCACGGGAGCGAGCCGCACCTACGGCGTCCTCCTGGATCTCGACAACGGGGCGACCCGCAGACACTTTATATGTGGAAACAACGTCGATTCTCTTGGCCATCGTCACGCTTCGAAGAGCAATGTCTCTGAGAACCTCGGACTCGATGGCCAAGTTTCGGAACTGTAGTGGCAGGTACGCCCTTTGTCTCTCGACCGTCTTCAACTGACAAGCGGAGCCTCGCAGTGCCACAGTATTATACAAGACTTCTGCACATATGATCCACGAACGTCACCCTAGTTATGTACTTATATGCTTCAATGATTAGGCATCAGCCGTTTCTTCAACCAGATGAGTGCGTCACGACGCGTCGAATTATGACGGGCCATGACCCTGAATTGACTTCACGATGGCGTTGACGACACAGTTTTCTTTGCATACATTGCAGGAGTGGGGAGTTCTTGAGTATCGGCCAATCCCGCTGCGTCGATCGCCTTGATGTCTTCAGGCGAAAGCTCTTGAAGGATACATCCAGACAAGTGAGTGGTTAACAATGCTGTCGACGGATCGCGACGCGAGGGTGAAGACGTACCGAGTTCTCCTGCGGAGAATATATCCTCCAAGCGCTCCTTCTTCGTGCTCGAACTACGAACACCTCCTGGTGAGTGGTCGACGATCATACGTACGATGATACGATACACACGTCACTACCACGACGCCCTTCGACTTTGACCATGCAATCAAGACTTGCTCCGGTTTGACGCCCAGGCGTTGCGCTATCTCATGTGCGAGTCTGGCGACTAGGCCATCGGAGTAGTGTATCAGAGGACTGTATGTTGGAATCAGCTCCCAGCCAACGTTCTCAAGGGTGTCACGCACAGAAGCGGACATTATCCCTCGACCACGATCCCTTCCTTCTTGCAAAACTCGATGACAGGCCCTTGTATATGCATAACTTGCGGGTGAACCATGATCTGTTGCTTCCCATTCAGTACGCATAGATCAAGAACATGGCGTTCGCACGACGACTGACCTGATTGACCGCAGGTCTGATATTTGCGCTCTCCAACAGTATCTCCAGGTGGCTGACCATGAACTTGCTCACGCCGATACTCCTGCAACCGGGAACAGTTCCTCACAAGAGCGCCGATGAAGTACGTCTACTCACTTCGCCAACCCTGCCTCATTGATGCCCTCCATCTTCTTCCAGATTGTCGGTATGTCCGGTTTGGCATGGTTGGGTCCGTGAATCAGGTAGAGGTCCACGGAATCGACGCCGAACTGTCCAAGGTACGTAAGTTTTCTTCAACCACTTCTTGACAGCTTCGATAGCGATCTTACCCAGTCACAGCTGTTCCGTATGGACGTGTCGATGTCCGCAAGGCTAGAGTACTTCGTGGTGATGAATATGTCTTCGCGCTTCAGTCCACTCGCACGAATAGCCGCTCCGGCCTCCGCTTCGTTCTTGTATACTTGGGCGGAATCTTTGGTGTAAAACACGGTGAGCAATGATCCAAGTGCATGCCAGCATCAAACGACCCACCGATGTGAGTGAAACCGACAGAGAGCGCGTTGCTGACGTACGCGATTGCCTCCTCTCCGTTGCCGCGCCTCCAGGTGCCGTAGGCGATCCTGGGGATGCGATTCCCTACACATCATGATATATCGTTAACGCGCAGCCGGAAAATCATCAAGGACACTATACAACCATCGTTCATAGTGAGAGGAGCCCACAACATCGTTGCGTCTACGAGTGTTGTGGCCAAAAATTGATCAGAGGCGGGAGTCGGATGATACGCTCCAGCACTCCCTCGGTTTTAAAGCCATGTTGTCTCCATGGACTCACGGCGTGTCTACCTCTGACAGTTGGCATCATGAACCGTCTCCATTTTCCGCGTCTACATGATACTAGCTGCAGCAGTGAGAGCTTCGGGGCAAACGACACAATAAACGACACGACAATGCCCGAATAAGCAAATTTGTAGGCTGGCCACTGATGCCAGTTCACTGACCAAGATGATAAGTACGGCATTGCACTCACGCTAGCAGACAATCTACTGGATACTTCACACTTCTTTTCTCGTTTCACGCGGTCCTGGCTCGAGTGGTCGTCCTCTCCGGAGTCCCTGGACCCAGGTTAGATCAGTGCCACAGGCAGGAATTTGGTCGGAAGAGCGAGCGCTGCTAAGATTACATAAGCAGGTGTAAAGCGCCCGTACGCGTGTGGCCAACGTGTGGCCAACTTGAACTTGGTCTAGTCTCCGTAGGCAGACCCTAAACACGACCTTATTGAGTGGGGAGGCGGTCGTATATGGAACTTGGTCACTGGCACAGTGTGGCCCGCCACCCCTCCTCGCTCTCCTCCTCGTCTCTTGCATCGTTGTCTTTCCACCTCTTTCGGCAGGCACAGCTTGAGCTCTCGCGCGCTGATCTGGGGCGGGTGGGTTTCCACATTGTACATAGGTACGTATCCTCCGTTGGCCCGCTCTAAACCGCCGGCCTGCGACTACACTAGTACTGGGCCACGTACTGTATCGTGATACTCGCATTGAGCGTACTGCGACTTCCTCAATTCTCGATTCTACCACTGCATCTGCGCAGCACCCTTCTACTGTCCAGGGCTCCGAGAGGATATGCTCACCTAGAGGGCATCTCAGCTCGTACAATGCCATTTCGTCCCTTTTGCCAGTGTCCTGTTGCTTGAAAATGCGATGACCTGCAAACATGCAATAAACGAACTTCCTGTATAGTAACGACGACCGACCTCTGACATCTTGGGCTCTTGCTGATTCGCCTACAACATGAGCATTCCCCTCCGCCGACTATCACCGCACATCATCAAAGTGAAGCCGCGGCGCCTTAGCGAGTTCCGCAGCTCATGGGAGATGGTCGCCGCAATGCTCTGCGCGATACTTGGTGCGTATGCCAGTACTCCGCATTGTCAGACTCGCTCTAATTCGTTGTTCTATCATCGTTTCAGCGCACGAAGGATACTACAAAGCGGGTATCCTCCACGGGAATGTATCCGAGGATAACATCAAGATTCTCGAAGGGAAGGCTGAAGATGGAGGAGAGAATGTCGTGTTTGGCGTGCTGCTGGACATCGATCGCTCAGACGACTGCAAGCCGTTCAGGCGCACCGACAAGCTACCCGCGAAGAGCACTTACAATGAAGAGGAGGAGGTCGATTGATCGATTTGTACGAGCCACTGGTACGTATGGACTGTTGGTGATCTATGTCGCAGAATGTCACGTTGCTGAGATCATCGTGTAATATCGAAGGACTTGAATGCATTATTGTTTTGCAGTGTTGCTCGTCACGCATCCAGTTGCGCCAGGACTATGGTACATGTTAGCGTCGCCGGTCCCACTCAACGCCTGGAACTTAGTGCGTGACTTGTGTGAGTATATGCATGACAAGTAGCCGGTCCACGTCTGTGGAATACCCGACGCGGTAAACAATCCTCTGTAGTCTGAGACACGCTTGCCCATTGGGTACGAAAATCAGGCCCGTCCCGCATCCGGGCGGGCTACAAATCGCTTACACTCCATGGCCGAAAGATCCGAGTAGACACTGAGGTATGTGATCCCGCCCGAGGCGCCTCTTTCGTTCGGACGTTTTGACAGCAACCCGCAGAGCAACCGCAGAGCATCTACGTTCCCCGATCTCTGCTGGCGCAATGCTGGCAGTGCCCACTGTTTTGGTGAATCAGGAGACTTACGGTTGGTTTGGACTTCACCTAGTGCGAGTGCCGATCGACAGTACTGCTATGTCGGGCTAGAATTCCTACAATTTATCGCAACTTAACCAGGTACTTTCGGTGTGTCCTGCCCAAGAGTCGCGCCTGTGGTACTCAACTCACCGCTAAGAAACCTAACCCGACCGAGATCCCGACCGGGCACAGTACGGGGCGCTCTCCGTATGCTTACTATGTAAGTCACGTAGATCAGCACCGCATTCACACTGTCAATAATCATGCACTGTCACTCATGCGCGCTATAGCATGTAGATCTGCGGGAATCCGATGCTGGAAGACCACCACGAAGCGCCTTGAGCGCCTGCGTTCGGACGTTGCAGCGATGGGAACGGTTCTATATGATATCTATCACAGACGGGACTTCAAGCTTTGTGAAGGGCTTGCACTACTGACACCATAGCGCAGGCATGAAGCAGCCAGTAATGTTCGTCTTGTTCTCTGCAGCTAAGTAACGGGCTCCTAAAGTTTGCATTGAAGTTGTGCTGATACGTCTTTCGCTCAAGCTTTCATCCGCTCGCGAGCCGCCGTGCGTCTCGTCTCCGACGTCTCGCCGTACCCATCGGGTCGCGTGTGGGTGCACCCGGGCCAGGTGCGTCAATCTGAGACAGTCCGCACCTTGTTGTTTCGGCTACCAGTGTAGAGGATGCGTGTAACCCGGATCTTCTACAGCCGCCAGCTAAGCTGGCAATACTCGGACAAACAACATGTGATCCTCACGCCGCACGGTATATTCTCCTTCAGCTCACAATGTTCACGGCATACGCTAATGTCGCAAAGATCTCGTAGGGACTCAAATGCCTGTTGAATATTAAGGTGGACCTACGGTTGTTACGGAGCCCATTCACTCCATAGATGCGAGTATTATGACTTTGCAGCGGGAAGGCATGCGGTGTACTGTTGGTGTGTGGTACACGAACGCCGCAGATTCCCGTGTTCGTTGCCCGTCTGCTTCTCTAGACTCTTGGGACATTCCCGATAGCCGCTTGTGCAGCGCTGGGAGCTCTACGTATAAAAGAAGTCCGCCCTCTCCCCCATTCCTCAGCTCACTCTTCTCATTCGAGCTCATCCCAAGTGAGGGTACTGGTTGGTGAGTACTGTAACACTCCTGACTGTTTGGAATTTTACACATCAGCCCCAGAAGCCGATCATAAGGATAGTGTTTGCGCTTGCCGTCCCCGATATCAAGAGCAAGGTTCGCATAACGAAGACCGAGAAGATCGTCAGCAAATCCGAAGATGGCAAACATGCGGGAAAAACAAAAACCTTCGACGCATACGACATATGGATCGCGGGATTGTCTCCAAGAGTACTTGGGCCCATAACCCCCCAGACGCAGGACGTCTGGAAATCACTTCTTGATGCCTCATATGGATGGGATAAGCTATACGCAAGTGTAAGCGATGCCGAAGCCGATCAGATGAGGTCTATGACCCCAGGTGCAGGCACAGGACTCCGGCATTGGAATGGCTTCATTGAGGATTATGATGCGAGTAGAGCAGCCTAGGATCAATCTGGAGAGGGGATGGCTTACACGATCTTCGGCAGAGTGACATGGACACGTCGCATCGGCCGCCATGTACACTCTCCGCAGTAGGCTGTGGCGTGATTGATACTAAGTACTATGACTCATGTAATGTATTGCTTGATGGCTACATACCAATGGCATATGAAAGCATTGGGAACGATCCTGAAAAGCGCATACACGGGCCCTGATCATGGTACGGACGTACCGTGGCGGACTTTAAGTACTAAGTAAATTCACGTCGGTATTGAGTTGGGCGTTCGTAATCGTATCGTCACGCAACATCCAAGTCATAATTTGTCGCGGAACTAGCGTAACAAGAGACTGACCTCGTGAAGAGCCGAGTACTGAGTACTGAGTGCGTGCGTTCCGAGACAGTGAGATAAAGCCGGATCACGTTGGGCCACAATTTGCTGTATCGCCGTCGATGATACTTAATCGTAGCGGCGCAAGCGCCATCCCCCGACTCCTGGATGGAACTCAGTCTACCGCAATTGCATTATAGTACATATTACTTATGTACTGTAATATTTTACCATTCGAACAGTATCGAGACTCAATGGAGGCCCTCACGCCCGCGGCGGCTTCGCCGCCCGGGCGTCTCGGGCTTCCACACCAACACAGGAAATATACGTTGAATGGGCGAATGAACAGGCTATATTGCACAAATTTACCTTTCAAAGTGTCTGTAGCGATTGACAAAATTAGTGATAATTATGAAGATCCGAGCCGACGGACGACAAAGCCCTCCCTCCTTCCGGTCGGAGTCGGGGATCAAGTATATACTTAGACAAGTCACCGCGTCCTGCAGTTAGTTTAGGTTAGTTTGCGCTGCAAACGGGCGCTCATTGCCACGTCGCGCGTCAGCGCTTCAGCGAGCTTCAGCGGTCAACCGGTCAAGCTTTCACTGAGAGGTCAGAACCGCGCCGCTTCCGAGTCCGCTCCTATTCGACTTGAGCTGTACTATACTAAGTACTGACGTCCTACGGTCACGGTCCAAGTACTGGTACCTGGTGAATATCACTGTCGGAACTACACCAATGGATGATTGCCACATAATCAACGTCGGTGAGCAGAACTGCTCACACATCTTAAACAACATTGCAGTGGTGTTGACTGTCAATCTCCCCATACCAGCTCGCCAGTATGCACGGGCTACATGGAGTGAGAACTATGTGCCAGGAGATCTCCATATGGATCTCGTGCATGAGCTGCAAGAATACTCTACAAGGCGCGGGTTTTGTGAGCCATTCATAACAGTTGTTCAATCCGCCGGGACGGGAAAATCAACCGTGATACGTGCACTTGCAGAGAGCATGTTCGTCATCCCTGTGTCCCTGGGATACAAAAATGTGCGTCGTCTCGGAAAGACCAAGTTGTCCTCAGGTAGAGATGCTCCACACCCACCATCGTTTCACACCTGATATTCCGTCCAGTTCTGCATCCTCCTCCGGACGACTATGTTCTTTCATGGCTCAAAGATTGGTCCGAATATGGAACTGCCTTTGACCGTTGCAGTGCCTTCATCCAGGCTCTATTCCAGCACACTCTTCTTGTACTGGAGCGCGACTTTCCGGAAGAATGTGCCTCGGGAATGGACGCGCTGCTGAGATCCTTCAACAAGAAGATGCACGAAGTGCCAGACGATCACTTCGACAATTATCGAGCAGACTTCTATGATGATGTGATTGTATATGCCAAGGCGCTTATACAGGTACGTTTTGCGCTACATATGCGCCCAGCGTTGTTGATAGTTGTTCGTGTAGCAAGAACGCTACCCGGAAGTGTTGAGTCGTTATACATATTTTGGTCCAAGGGGCACCAAAGAAAAGCCCGTTCCCGAGCCCTACTCACCCAGGGCAGCGTGCCGCCAACTGAGGGAGCACCTCACACGTGTCTCCATGTGCGGTACGACTGGTACGAACGAAACCGGTCTCTCGACCACAGGCCCTGAGCGGCAGCTCCCGCTGTTTCTAGTCGCTATTGACAACGCAGAACCCATACTGCAGGACGCGGGCACAGAACACGAAAACGGGTACATATCCAGAACGATCAACAAGTCATTGTGCGTCGCGATGCGTGAAGCTCTCTGTCGTTTGGCGCGTATGTCCGTCTTTTTCGTATTTCTATCGAGTGCACCCGGAGACGTGTTGCGCCCTATGCGACCTGTATCCATTGGAGGACACTTGCGCCCCACACGTCCTTTCACAGAACTTGGGTTTGACGTCTTGGCGCAGAGGATATCCGTTGCCAGCTTCTCCCTTCGACGCGTGGTTAGTAACGAGTACATGGCACATCTAGGCCGACCCGCGTGCGTATCTCATGATTCCATGCATCCCGTAGTTGACAGAACCATCACGTCTCACAGGTTTGGTCGTCTCTGGGATGTCGGGGTGCGGGAGGAACTGATCGACATCGCGGCTCGCCTACTGCTGAACTCCGACCACCTTGACGGCCCTTTGACCGACGCGCAGACGTTTGCGTGCCTGTCGCACCGCCTGGCTCTACCGCTGGTCTCCGCAACGCCGTCGGAACAACGCGCAGAGCAGGAACAGATCCAGCACCACCTGCGTATATGCCTCGCGTTCGACCCAACGTCCGGCGATATAGTCTCGGTAGCTCCGTCAGAGCCTCTGCTCGCCGAGGCTGCGTACTTCGCGATGCGCATACGGTCCATGAATACTCCGCAGGCTCTCAGAGCTGTCTTTGATGCTTTCTCGATCGGAGTGGGACAACAAGGCGACGTGGTCCTGCAAGCGCTCCTGATCGCGGCGCGCGACGCTGCGGTCGGAGACCCGCTCCCTAATGGCCTTCCCCGCTGCCCGGTTGACGAAAAAGAGAACCGCCGCTTGATGTCGTCAACGGCTTTCTTTCGAAAGCTCTTCAAGCCATTCGAAGTTGCGTTCGACCACGAGGGACACTCCTATGCGACTGCGAGCGAACGTCATCAGGCGGAAACCATCCGTTGCTTTCACGCAGACTTCCAGAGCTGCAACATGCACTTCAATCACTTCATCTCCGTACAGCCTGACGTCCTCCGAGCGAAGTACCTCCTCGCACTCCTGGCCCGCGGCGCTGCCCCTCTATGCGCGAATGACGGATCTGGCGTAGACACTGTCTTGATGATGACGGATGGGTCCGACGCGAGGTCCGAAACGCTTCATCTCGTACTCCTCAAGACGACTCAGAGCAGGCGGACAGAGGATCTCGACGGGATGTTTGCTGCCATGGATCCATACGCCCTCGGGATCTGGGATGCAGGTCGGGTTGCGTCAAAACCACTTGTTCGCATCCTGTTTGCACCGTTTGTGGAGCGTGACGAAGGGAGTTTCAGTATCGAGAGGCGGACCAGCCTACACGGGGCACGTCGTGACGACGAGTCCACCGTTGATCCTGGGTGCTACGATATCGTGGTCATTGGTCTGTCGTCGACGATCCTTGGACCTATCGCAACGAAGGATGTGGATAGTTGGGATGCGCTCCTCCATGTCGGCTCACGCCATGCCGATGTCGGGAGTACCATTTCGGACAAGTCCGTTATGTTCAAAGCTGCACACCCTGGTATGGGTAGCGATGCGGGGCATTGGAGGTCTTGGGTCGACGGTGTGGTATAGGACATTCATACGTGCTTCATCATGTCAATCCAGTTTTGTGTCCAAGTAGAGCGTGACGTTACCGTATGCGCTGAGAGCTGAGGGAGCAGGCCAACTTACAGTAGTTACGGCGCCTGCGCATGTTCTGTCGGAATAGTTTTAATCTCTCCGCCAGCATGCAAAATGATCACTGCAAGGCGAGTGTCATGGACCATATGTTCTCGTTGAGCTCATGTTACTTATCGTCAGTCCACTGGCAAGTTTGGAATGAGCGGGGCCTGGGGCAATGTGTTTTCGTGCAAACAAGTGCAAGCAACGCGTGGTGGACTAGTGGCAGGTTAACCGTCCCTCCTTCCGATTATTGCACCAGCTTGCAGCAGTAAATGTCATCGCGCTCTGCGAGCTCGTTCTCATCACGCATTCTGTTGCTCGTAGGAGCACTACGATCGCGCAACCACGAGATACGATTCACGACTCCCGTTGCGGCGACATTTGGTCCGATATATCTCTCGACTGTCAATATTTCAACACTGAAGACACGCGGAATCGTTCCCTCGTCTTCCGAGGATTCTCAGGCTGTAGAACTGCTCGGCGCAACGACGTATTGCGCGCAGAGATGTTTCAATCAATCCAAGTTCTGAAGGTATGTTCCGACATTGTAGAGGAACCTCATCGCTACTGGCGTTGACTGCGTGAGCTCCGCATACACTATTGCGCCTTGCGCGACGATTGGTGTGACTGTACCGTGGTGCGTACGTCGCTCCCTGTTGAGTTGGCGAGTCTCCTCAATCGTAATGCGGCGCAGGGCCTACGTGTATTACTATTAAGTCGCTACAAGCAGAACCAAGCATTGGTGGCGCTCTCATCTCTGGAGCGGCTCCATCTAGTCGAGCCTTTTGGCGTACTTTCCCGCGCGCTGAATATTATCGAGTCGCCCAAGATGAACCTCGACCGTTTTGGATTAATTTCGCTGAGCACCTCTTCACTTTCAGCCGCTCCTGTCCTCATCTAGCGATGCTCGCACTGCAGAAATAGCTAATTGTTACTCATACGAGCATCCCGACTTAATGCTCTCGCAACTCGGCCGACATCCTACGGAGCGTGAGCTCGGCCTGAAACTTGGTGGTGAGCTTTTGTTCCACTTCCTTCCAAATACGCGGTCGAGTGCTTTGTGCACAGTGAAGAACTTCGGCACGCAAGTCTGGCTGGCGTGGAGGAAATGCTTAGCGTCGGACCCCCTAGTCGACATTACCGCTGCTGTCAACGATCTCGCGCACTTGATACGAGTGCGGGCCGTCAGCTGCACCTACGGCGGGCGTACGTCTCGTTGTCCTCGCGCTCTTTCGACGTTCTCTGTTCGTTGAAGCCTACATGCTCATCCATCATCCCAGGGAAACAGGACGCCGACACTGGGAATGACCTCCGTACATGAGCAGCCTTTCTACTGGCTACCACAGGCCCAAGAGACTGGCCGCGGCATTTCGACGTGACCCGCCCCATGTCGTCAGGGACATGAAAACATTCTTTCTTGGGTGCATTTCCGCGTACATTGTCATCGACAGATCTGTGTTGACTCGTTGATGCAGCTAGAGATAATTCATCCCTGAAATCGTGCACTTCGCAGGGTCTGTATGGCACTTACGACTCGACATCGATGCGCCGACCCTGGGTCATCTGGCGAATCAGAGCATACTGGACGCGTCTCGACCCGCACTTGCAAACCTTGTCCTTTCGCTCGAGTACATATACACGCGCGGCTGAGCTCGAGAGATTAGGTGTAGGGTGCGTGGATTTCGGTCTTATCCCATGACATTCGAACTGCTCACAGCCTCGTACATCTTGGTACCGCTCGTACCGAAGCTTCAATTTGTATTCGTTGGGTGCTACCTGTCGAAAGCAGGCGCACGTGCGCCTTCGTTGTTCATGATCCAGAGTACGTCGTGTCTTTGGTATTGGTGTTGCCTAGTTCTCTGCAGTACGCCCACCTGAACTTCAAACCTTGATAACAGCATCGCCCCAGGTCGTCCATTCACTCCACTGTGTTCACACGTGTTCCAACGTCGCTCTCACGATATGCTTCCAGCTATTAGTGTCGTCAAACAGCGTTCGAGCGACCATAGAGGTGCGAGTGCGGGGATGACCTACTATGCGAGTCGGCGCACGATAGCTAACCCAACGCGACAGGTCTTCCGCATGGGAAGTCGAAAATACGATCGCGTTCTACTTGTATCGAGGTAGGTGCATCCTTATACGGTGTGTCAAGGTGACTCAATCACTTTGATAGTACAGTGTTGTGCGTGGTCTAGTTCACCTGATGAACTTGCCATTCTTGCCTGTGCCCTCAACCCAAACCCTATCGCTGTGCCGCCGATGAAACACTATCTCAAGTCTTCCGCGCTGTTCATTCATCGATAAGCCAAATCGTAGGGCGCCTTCTTCGTCGTCTGGGGTATATGTACGCTTATCATGTTCATCGAACAGTCAACCCGCGGACAACAGCTTTCGAACCGCCCGTCTTACCGCCATGGAGGTCTTCATGCGAGGGATTCCGTTCAGTATGGAGCAGCCCCAGCTGAAAGAAGTCCTCGCTCGCATCTTCCATAGCTCTGACTACACACAGCACTCCTCGCGACCGCTGAACTTCGAAGTTCGTATTCTCCGCAAGGCGAACAAGCGGGGTGCGAGGAGCGGGATCATCACAGTCCCGACCCAAGCGATTGGTGAGCAGTTCCTCCGGCAGAATGGAGACGGTTCATCTACCAGGCACGATGGTCTCGCTACTATCACGTTCGAGCGTGGTAGGAACGCGCCCAACCGCCGAGTCCTCGAGGCCATACTAGGGAAACCCTATCAATCCCCGACAACTGTTTCGCAGCCGCCACACTCACGCGATAGCGTGTCGATCGCGCGGCTCCAGTTTGGGTGGGTATGCAGGAACGAAGAGTACTCCGTGGAATGGGAGACGAGCTTCCCTACCGCAGGCTCTGCTCTATTGACGTACAAGGAAGACAGGAGGCAGTTCCAACTGAAAGTCATGGATGCGATCCGTACACGCATCATGACGGTTCGTGCCTCTCAGGTTTATTGGAATACCGCGAGCGCAGACCAATCTGGCGAGTCGTCCATCCTCCTCTGGCTACTGTATCCACCGTCATTCGAGGCTGGACCCCCTGACCCAGAGCGCGTTGACGAAGACGAGACTGATGATTTCTTGCGAGGGTTTTCCATGCGCCAACTGTTGGAAGTGCTTGGTAACCGGTCGTTCAAGATCCAACGGAAGAGACAAGGAGCTTTTGACGATACCCACCTTCCCGTCGCTCCTTACACCTCGATCGCCGTCCGTCTCGTCTGCAGCAATGCGTTTGACGTTGCGATATACAAGCGACTGTGCCGAGTTGCCCACCTTCCCGTCGACTTATCTCCCTACCCTGTCGTGCACCGCGGTCTCTTCTCTGATTCGGTGCGGGCGGCCTACCAACGATGGACAGCGACGCTGGATTTCGCGGTCGCCTTCCAACTCGAGGTGCTGCTGAGCAACTGGCTCGTGCAATGCGGGAGGTCGTGCAGCTTCTGCGTCCCAACGTCGACCATATGGTCTCACGCTACGGAGCAGACGTAGCGAGCGCGTTACTCGCGGACCTCAAGACACGACTAGAGGCGCGAGTATGGTATGGCGATGGAGTCGATATCGATGAAGATACCGTCAAAAACCTGCTCACCACTTGCATTCGACAACTTAACCGCAAAGCTCGTGTTCAGCCACTACCCCATTCCGATCTCTTTATGTGCAACCATCTCTACGTAACCGCTAGCGCGTTCGTTGCGGACGGGCCATCTCCGGAGCGATCGAACAGAGTTATTCGCCGATACTGGGATCACAGGGACTGTTTCCTTCGCGTCCACTTCACTGATGACAACCAACTCGCTTACCGCTACGACGCAGAAATCAACCTGCAAGACTTGGTCGACCGACGCGTCAAACGCTTCCTCCTCGAGGGCGTTTCCGTAGCTGGCCAGCGCTTCGAGTTCCTCGGTTATTCGCAGTCTGCCCTCAAGAGCCACTCGGTTTGGTTCGTGAAACCATTCAAGGACACCGATGGTCGAACTATCGACGCGGCGACGATCATTGATGGGCTCGGGTCCTTCGCAGACAACCCGTACGACCCCCAGCTCATCTTCTGTCCCGCTCGATATGCCGCCCGTATCTCACAGGCATTCAGCGCCACCGAATCGTCGATCGCGGTTGCAGTGGAGGACATGGAGATCATCGACGACATCAAGGACAGGACAGGCACATACTCGTTCACTGACGGGAATGGTACGATGTCGCTCCAGGTCGCACGAGACATAGCGGCCGACCAGCGGTCGAAAAGCCGAGTCAGACGTGCATGGCGAGGCTCCATTCCTCGGGTCATACAAGTGCGCATCGCTGGATCGAAAGGGATGCTCCATGTCGATCATAGAATGGAAGGGGGAAAGATACGCTTGCCCCGCTCAATGGTGAAGTTCGCGGCTCCCACCTCGAATAGCATCGAGATCGCGCAGGTGTTCGAGGAGCCATCCCCTTTCTACCTCAATCGACCGATGATCATGCTTCTGGAGGGCCTGGGAGTGCCGTACGAAGTCTTCCGGAGGCTGCAAGACGACACGGTCCGAGCGACCCATACGCTCACGGAATCGTTGGCGAACTCGGGATGGCTACTCGAGATGCACGGGCTAGGTAGCTCATTCAAGCTTCCATCTACGGTTCAACGCCTCATAAGCTCGGAATCTCAGTTGCCGAGTTGAACGCGGTTGGCTATTGGCAGCGGGCGATGACGTTCGCCGTCAACCATGTACTGCGAGAGCTCAAGTATCGTGCCCGCATCCCAGTACCTGGTGGTGGACCTGGTCGGGGTCGCAGACTTCCACGGCCAGCTACGCGAAGGCGAGATCTACGCTCGTGTAAAGCCTACAAACGGACACGAGGTGTACCTTGAGGGTCCTACGCTGATCACGCGCTCGCCCGCGATTCATCGGGCGACATACAGGTCGTACATGCGATTGGCAAGCCACCGGAGGGGTCGGATCTCGCCAAGGGAGACTTGAAGAACTGCATTGTATTCTCGACCCGAGGTGCGTCCAGCGGAGTCTACACCGGTGTGGATGAATGTAACCACGGTGGATATGCAGGTGAAAGGCCGTTGCCATCCTACCTCGGGGGTGGAGATCTCGACGGAGACATGTACAATGTCACTTGTGTACCGCAGGATCTACTCCCTCCGGTTCACCGACTTCAAAGACCCGCTCGTATAGCCCTGCCAACGCAAAATACTTCCACAACCGAGTACCATGCGCGACGTTGCTGACTTTGTGGCGGAGTTCATCATCAGTGACGTGCGTCACATTGACCTTGCTCTCGAAGTCAACTCAGGCTGACCTCCACTAGAACGTCGGCATTGTTGCATCGACGTGGCTGATCCTCGCCGACAGAGTAGGGATCTTCGACCCACACTGTCTCCGGCTCGCCGAGCTGCACAACGCCGCAGTCGACTACCCCAAGACCGGGCTGCCGGTGTCTATCAACGAAGTACGACCTATGCAAAAGCTCACCCAGGAGAAGCCAGATTGGTATATGCCGGAGACAATTACTGGCCGGCAGCCGAGATACTACCAGAGCACCAGTGCTCTCGGTCGCTTGTTCCGCGCCATTGACTTGCCCGACCAAGAAGAGCGAAACATGGAGTCGTCTTACTTCGGCTTGCCCGAGATAGACGAGGAAGGCGGGGTCACGCTGCAAGATGTTCTCATTGACATAACCGACAATCCGTTCAACCACCGCGCTGTTCTCCAATCCGTGACCACTGAGGTACGAACATACCTGGGGCGCTATCGCCCTGACGAGCCTCTGGTGACTACAACCTGGAACCTTTTCATTATTTACGCCTCTCGCCTCCGGGAGATCTGCGCCACGCATGCCGTCTCAGCGTCCCGTTCGTCCATGCTCTCGGAGGAGGAAGTCATCATTGGGACGATCTCGGCGAAGTGCGCGCAGACACGCAAGCGCACTGACATGACCGCCAAGTTGCGCGAGCAGACGGCGACGCTCGTAAACGGCATCTGTGCGGAACTGTCCGGAGACGAGGGTATCGCTCCGTCGACACACTTGAAGCAAGCCTGGACGGCGTACAGAGTGTCGTGCACGCTCTCTGGTTGGTTTGGCGGACAGAGCTTCGGCTGGATCGCGCTTGGCGAACTATTCGACGCGATCCGTGAGGTGCAGGAGGAGGACAGGGAAAGCGTTGGGGGTCTTCCGGCTTGAAATGATGTCGTCCGCGTTGCACGAGAAGCCAGGCATAGATGCTGATCAATGTACAATTATAGCGCTGTTGCGAAATAGCATACTATGATGACAGGGATGTGCAGGAAAGGTCCTACGCTAGCTTCGAGACAGGAACCAGAGCTGTGCCGTACCACCTCACCCGGGGAGCGTACACTGCCGCGCGAGCTTCACATAGTAGTGGTGACGACGTGTGCGAGCATTGCCTTCAGCTCATTCACAGCGAAGGAACGGATGGGGCTTCATCCCTTGCGTCAGCGATCCTAACCTTTGTCACAGATAAATGTGTACGCACCCTCGCCGTCGTCATCGTGGACCTTAGCAAAACGGAACGGGCGGAAGCTGTCTGAGTCCTCGTGGTTCGCGTACTCATAGTGTAAGTTGCGCGCATGCATGCAGCGATGAGCGCCCCGTTGGGGAAGAGCGTCCCATCAGAGCTACGAAGTCCTTCATAGCCTTGCATTGAAGAGAGCCTGAGGACGCAGTCAACATGCTGTGTGAGGGCGCACATAGGCTACTGTGGAGAAGGCACACTTGCGCCGAAGTTGTTCGAAGCTATCGACCTTTCGCATCTTGTTAAGCGCCGCCTTTGACCAGCCTTCCTGCCGGACGACCGCCTCGACATCTGCAAGCAGAGGTTGCGAGTACTCTAGATACGAGGTGAGGTAGTTGACGATGTGGTGAAAGGCCTGCAAATGCAACGTCAGATTGATTGTACACCGGGTTGTATGAAGAGCTGTAGTGTAATGAGATCAGGCCGTACGTACCACGGAGGTCGTGTGTATCACGCCGAAGTTGACCGTCAGCATCTTGACCGTCAGCGCGTCGGCATTCGGAGCGTCAGCGCTCGTATCGTCCGTGGCCTCCTGGACTAAGCACTACATCGTGTTGGCCTGAAACTGGATTTGTCTCTCGGGTACTTTCGATGTTAATCGGATTACGATATGCAACAGCTTCAGTCAGTAAGTACGTGGTCTCGGGACTAACCGAGTCTTCCCGGCGTCGTCCGGGGTCAGCCACAAGGCAACGTTCGGTTCTTGCCTTCGTCGCCCGCCATCCGAGTCTGCACACGTATATGCATCTTTTGAAATGTACTTCTTGCAGCTATGCTGTCCGGTGAACTCGTCTACGGGCCACCGTTCTGTCTCAGACCAGCTACAACCCTAAAGGCTCCCGAGCGTCGACCTATGCCACCCCATGCGCTCCTAAACCCCATCGAAAACATCTACATTCATCCTGTGGTATAACAGGCACTGACACTGGTTATGTCTCCCCAGCTGGTAACTGCGTCACCTGCCATCCGTCGAGGCTATGCCCTGGCATCTAGCAGTAAGGCTATTTATCTTGGTCAATAGGTCCTCTTAAGGCGATAGGCCAATCTCGTCGTCGGGAAGTAGGTAAGTCTCGTCATTTGAGCGTCTTGAATTCCCGTCTTTTGGGTGTAGCCCTTTTCATCGTTCGAGTACGCATCTGCTGTTCCCCACTTCGTTCGTGGTCTTGCTGCCTCTGACTAAAATGTGTTGACAGAGCCACACCCGCGAGTTCCGACCTCGGACATAACCTGCCCGAATGCGATTTGTGGAACTTCTGCCGTCAACGGCGCGCTCGCAATGCAAGATACTAGACCCCCGATGCGCGCGCTCAAAGATATTTGCACAGCTGTTGGGCCATTGCGATGCAGCCGATCAGCAGCGTTCGCTGGCGGGAAAGGAATCAACGGGAGCCCTCTCGCTGAGCCTGCGCAGTGCCGGCCGTAGTCGTACGTGTGCGTTGATGAGACGTGTGTGAAACTCACATTGACACAGATTGGTTCCCCGTTATGTAAATAGAACGGCCAGCCTGCTCAAAAGACGTTCAGCAATGAGCATCAACATAAGAGCACCTAGCGAGGTACAACTTCTGGTCCATCAGAGTCAAGTGGTGGCCGTTCGCTGACCGTAATTTTCTCTGCTTAGCTTCGACCAAGGTTCAGGTATGCAAGCGATTACTTACTCTCGTGTCACGGACATCAAGTTTGACCTGGACGTGCCCTCCAATGTTACTGGCGCGTTACCTGCCGTCGTCTACATCCACGGCGGCGGATTAGTAGCAGGCTCCCGAGATGAGCCTGGTTCTGCTGGGGTGGCGAGCTTCGTACGACGTAAGCGTTCCACTTCAAAGCAAGCTTTAATGTGCGGACTGACATTATTTCAGGGTTTGCTCTCGCGCGAGGGTACCTTTTTATTTCGACTGACTACCGCCTGATATGGCCGTCCACCGGCCTCGACCTCATCGACGACATGAAGACTCTTTTCGCCTTCATCGCAAAAGCTAGTTTCTCGGAGATCTACCTCCCGTCAGGCATGTCGTCGCCATCGGAGGCTCCGCCGGGGGCTACCTCGCCCGCGCTGCAGGGATCTACGCCCGGCCGAAGCCCATCGCGCTCGTATCTATATTCGGCGCGGGCGGCGCGATGCTCAGCGACTTCTGGGTGACGCCCAAGGGCGCGGACATGCACATGCCGTTCCCCGGTGCCGACCGCATCACCGCCGAGTCCCTCGCATACCTTCTGGACCGCCGCCTGCGCCGCTCGCTGGAGCCGCGATCAAGATCCGCGCGAACGGGGCCATCACCGACGATGAGGGGAGGGTGAACCTCTTGTTCTATGGTGGCGCACGGGCGAGATGGTCGACTACCTCCTTGGCGAGAGGGTCTCTGAGTCACTCCGCGCGTTGCCTGAGTCCGAGCGGTACGCCGCCATCCCTCAGCACCTGCGTCCGCGATCCTCGAGGCGCATGTGGATGAGTCATTCCCGCCGACGTACTTCGTCCACGGGGAGAAGGACGGGATCGTTCTTCCCGAGGAGTCTCGGGCTACTCACACACGTTTGCGCGAGATTGGTATCCGCACCGAGCTTGAGATCATCCCGGATGGAACACATGGCCTGATGGCGAAGACGGTCCCTCCTACACTGACACCTGACGCTCAGGAGGCTTACGAGCGCGGGAGTTCCTGGAGGACGAGATACGCCGCCACGCAGCATAAGAGACCGCCACTTGGCGTCATAATAGTGCAGTGAGATGTCCAAATATAAGAGTGTTTGTATGCCCAGCAAATGCTACATTGTTCACGAGTCACCACGGGCTCGTCACTACAAACTAATGCGCCGGCTGATGGCAAACAGGCATCATTTTATGGCCTCAAAAGTCGGGACGGCCCAATTGCGTGTACCAGGAGCCGAGAGCCAAGGTACGATGCTTTGTAACTCGTAGCGAATGGCATGCTAGTGCTGCATCTGCATCCTACCGTGTAGTGACACTATCCAACAGCTCGCGAGCGAGGAACTGCATGCCTTTCTCATGAGCCTCAGCCGCTCCAGGGCAGAACTCAGGCGGGACTGCCACCTGCATCATGAGCGCATGCCCTCCGCCGGGAACGATCTCCAGCTCAGTCTTCACACCAAGCTCACGCAGGCGATCGACCGTCTTCTGCGACTCAGACAGGGGAACCGTCACGTCCGCGTCGCCGTGGAGGAGGAACGTCGGCGGGAACGACACGTCGATCTGCGTCTCCAGCAGTGCGGGGCGAAGGCGTTCAGGGACAGCTGCGGCACGTTTGGCGGCGGGCAGGGCGCGAAGCGTCGCGGAGATGGGCTCGCCGAGGACGTAGTCGAGCAGTTCTCCGGTGTGCCCCCAGTACGGAAAGAGTGACATGCGTCCCTGCTCGTCGTGCCACTTCCCGGGACCGGGTGTCAGAGCGCTGCCTGCCGTCGGGGAAATGGGCGCGTCCAGGAGGTGCGCGACGGCCGTACGGGGGATGGGAGGGGCATTGTTAAAGATGGAGTCGCCCTTATCCGCGACCCAGTGGTCGCAGAGGAGGTCACCTCCCATGCAGTAGAGCAGGTAGACTGCCCGAGGCTTGGGCTCGCCATAGATCGCTGCCGCGCGGGCGGCATAGCCACCCCCAGACACGCCGGCCACGCCGATGCGGCTCGCGTCGAGCGAGAGACCTGCTGGGAGGTGGTTCTCGGAGAAGGACGGGTCTGCGAGGAATTTCATCAGCGCTTTGACGTCCTCGATGATGTCGAAGCCCGTGGAGGGGTGAATAAGGCGGTAATCGGCAGACATGAACATCATGCCCTTGTCTAGCGTCGAGTCTGAGGCAGAATGAGCACAGTTTCAGTCAGATTGAATGGCAGTCACGCAGGAGGGGTACTGTACCTATCAGCCACTGCCAGCAGTCATATCCCGACCGTGCACCCGTGGTCATTCCGCCACCATGAAAATGCACGACAGCCGGCAAGGCACCTGCTGTCGGAGAAGGGGGAAGCCTGATGTCTAGCTGGATTTCCAGCGAGCCTACGCGCGAATAAGTCACTGTCTGCATACCGACTACAATGATGTGGTGCACGAGTAGAAGATTGATCAGCGGAATAGTGAGTACGAGACTGGCAACGTGCTTGATTATATGTGCAAAGCGGCGCTACTTTCTGGAGAAGACGCGCACGTCGGAGTCGGACTCGGTCACTCAGCTCCTTTTTGCGTGGTCGTGATTACATACAGCTTCTTCGCACGTCTGCATAGATCACCATGTATCGCGCCCACAGACATCTGCGTAACACATCATCTGTAAATGCGCCACCCATACGTTGTTTGACAGAGACTCACTTTTACAACCACAAAGTTTTCGCAAAATCCTCGCTGCGCATGAGCGTATCAATCCTCTGCCCCTCCTCCTCACCGATCTCTACCAGTGCCGATCCACCTCCTTCAGTGCTTTCTGCCGAGATAGAGGCTGTTTCTGAGCTGTGATGGACAACTCGCCACCACCGTGTCTGCCAAACGAACGTCTTTTCCCCCAGATGGATGTCATATATGACTGCGTACCCAGACGATACGGAAGCATAACGCAGATCGGGGATCGCCTTCACGAGCAAGGTCGAGGCTGCGTCACGCATATTCTTCCACGTACTGTGCGTTAACCAATCATCTGATTTGCCTTCTTTGCAGGCTGGGCTGTCAAAAAGGATATCATTTGTGTTTTTAACGAATCTGAGGTGCACGCAGAGGAGCCTGCAGTCAACCAACAGTGGGAGACACTCTTCCTGCGAGAAAAGCAAAAATGTAAGACACTACGTCAAAGAATACAAGAGATCCGGATGGCATACCAGCCAAGTCTGCACGAGTCCGCTGTTGTCGTTCAGCAGCACATCGAGGTAGCGTAGCCTCGAGTCCGGACGCTTGGCCAATACGGCGAGTTGCGTCCACAGATCAAAGTTGGCGCCATGGAATTGTATCGAGAGAACCACAGGATATGTCAGACGGACTACTCTTCCGGGCAAGCTCGCAGTGTGTGCTGGTGCGATATTGTCGCTGAACTCATTTTCGTGACAGATTTGATACAGTTCACATCTGACTCGCGAGACACGGCGTGCTGAATCTTGGGCGAGGACGGACGAGTCGAGGTGTGCACAAATCCGCCGATATACTGATGGGACCCTGAGTACAACGTCGACATCACATCAAAAACTGAAGTGACTCACCCTACAGCTTCAAGGTCTTCGCGAAGGCCTCGCTGCGCAAATATTCATCGATCTGCTCCCCTTCATCTTCATCAATCTCGACCAACGAGTCCTCTCCTTTACCACTTTCCGCATCCCCTGAGTCCTCTTCGTCTTCATCGGCCTCCGCCAACCGTGATCCTGCAACCTCCGAGCCTTCCTCGTCGCCCACGAGCGCCACCACCGTGCCTCTCCGCGGAAGCTCGACCCTCCAGGTGCAGCATTGTTCTCAACCATGTATCCACTCGCCACAGCGACATAGCGGAGTGACGGGATCGCCATCGCGATCACCTGGTGTGCCTCGTTCTGTATGTTTTCCCAGTCGCTGCTCACAAACCCGTCGTCATCTGAATCGTCGACCATTGATTCGAACTCCGTCGCATCGATGACTCTGTCGAGCTGGTCAACGAGTCTGAGGCGGATGCAGAGGATATTGCTGTCGGAGAGTAGAGGGAGACACTCGTTCTGCAGTAGTACTCACACATCAAATGGATGGAGCAATGATGATCTGGGGTAAGCGGACGTACCAGCCATTCCTTCGCCCACAATTGTCATCATGCATGAGGACATCGAGGTAACGTAGCCGGGCATCTGGGTCCTCGAACAGCTCTGCGAGCTCCGCCCACAGCGTCGTGTCACCATAGTGGCATTGCACAGAGAGCACGACGGGGAGCGTCATGCGCACCGTGAGGGTAATGGTGTCGTAGATCTGCGATTTCTCGCAGTTCCAGTTCACTTTGATGTAGATGTCCAGGATGCGCACGCGGGAGGTGATATCGACATCATCTGTGAACTCCGCAGTGCGAGTGTAATGGTGGTCGTGGCCGTAGACCGTCCCGCGGCCATCGTCGTCTACCTCCCAGAATGCAACTTGAAGGTCTGCGAGGTTCGGGCACAATGGGGCAAGGGCAACTGGGTCCATGTTCCTTAGGCTCAAACTACGAGCGTGATTCCATTGATAGGTGTGTGGTTGCGGAAGCGGTACGTCCGAGTCGTCGTCGCATTCAAGCCGGAAGTTGTGTAGCGTGATCGCCGACGCGTTCCGCAGGATTTCGAGCTCAGCGAGAGCTACAGGCTGTACCTGGGCACGAGGATGTGTCATTGAGTACAGCGACAGCGCCTCGAGATGGACTGTACTTGGCTTGCAAGCCAGCCTCGCGCAGAGTGCCATACCCCGCGCGGCGACGCAGCGCAGCTCGAGCTCGCGCAAGCCACGCAGCGACGCGATTGCGTCGCCCAAAACATCCCCACCTCCCACCGCAAGCTGACCTCTAATTCGGACACGACAAGCACCCGTAGATTTCGTGCCCTCGCCAGGACAGTAGCAAGCGGCGAGTAGATGTCGGCAGACTCATGACGCCAAAGGTCTTCTGAGCATAGGACCGTGAGCTTGTTCAAGTACTGTATACGCTGTCCGTCATCCTCTTCGAGCACAAGTTGTGGAATTCGAGGTTCTTGACTGGGGCTTTGAGGCATAGCGAGGAGAGGACGCGCCGCCGGGCGACGGAGTTAACGGTGCGAGAAGTCAGGGCGAGGCATTGCGTGTCTCTGTGCGAGATGAGCGCGACAATCAGGATGAGTATATCGTCGTTCAATGATTGGAAGCCGACTGCCATCGCCGTTTATACAGTCTACAGCAGCCGCATCGGCGTAAGCATGGTCAGACATGTCACTCTTTCGGGCGAGCTGGCACTGTAAGACGCACCTAATCTACATGTATCAGTACAGGTCTCTTGATTCTTCGGCCTGGCTAAATGATCGGTTGATACCGGTCCCCTTCCTGAACGTCGGCAGCCTTGAGGACCACTGCTAGCATTGGTTACATTTGAGCCGACACAGCTCCACCTTCCCGCACCTACTTCGTGCGCTTGTATGCACAATTGACGATCCCACAAATTTATTGAAGGCCAAGCCTGGTGTCAGAGAACTGGATAAGTTAAAAGGAGGAGGAGGAGGAGGAGGAGGAGGAGGAGGAGGAGGTCGCGTCTGGACTGGGTGATTAGGTAAGCTAGGTGTTGTGGCGTGTGATCTAATAGTACAAGGTTCGCTCAGATGAGTTCCTTCGCGAAGCTCGAGTACTGGAAGAAGGCTCGTATTGGCATAGTAAAGTCACTGGTTTTTTGTACACGTCGCAACGACGACACATGTGTATGTCGGTATTATGTTCAATCGTCATACGTGTGACATAATACAGTAGCAAGATCATCCGACACCGTGTCTTCCAATCTCAAAGGCAAAGGCTTCTGTCTACGTTGTCTCCTCCCTCTTTTCCTTGATCTCGCGGATTGCGTCAAAAACTTCCCCTAATGCGATCCACCCAAAGCTTTGTCCACCGAACCATTTCGACAGCGTGCACGACAACCTGTACGCCGTCCAGGCTTGCTTCAAGTGCGTTGGCGCATCAGCCTGGCCATCTCCAGACAACTCCGCGCAGATGCCGTTCACGAGCGTCGCTGTCTGCTCGCGAACTTTGGCGACTATGTCGTCACGCTTGCGATTCTGCCCGCACTTCGCCGCTATCGTGCCGACGACGACTTCCTCCTCTGAGAGTATGGCCGAGCGCGATGCTGCAACAACATGCCCCGCGCAGGTCCCTCGGAGGCGAGATGCATACGCCGTGAAGAGATCCCACGTCTTCGTCACCAGGGCCTCGTCGAGGTGATGGCGGCCCAGGTACTCTTCTACTTCAGCGACAACCGGGCGGAGAAGATTGCGATGGCTGAACGGCTTGGCCCGTATGTCAGCGAGAACTTCGTCGAGCGTGATCCCTTTCCCTTCGTCTATCTCGGGCAGGTCGAAGTAAGACGACTCGGTGCTGCGCTCTTCAAGGGGCGGCAGGTCGATAGCACGGAAGAGCCGACCGAGAGCACTATTGCTCACGTAGTATCGTGGCTGCCAGCCGATGACCGTCTCCGGAATATACCAGTCTGGCTTCTCCGAGACGCGCCGTTGGATAGGGCGAATAGCATCGATATTGACTGGCAGTCCCGTCTTTGGATAGTCAACTGCAGCGTTGTATAGCTCTGCGAGCTTGAGGCAATCCAAGTGGAATATCCCTTCCTTATCCGCGACCGTGAGCCACGTCGCCGCAATGAGACCAATGTTCTAGATGAGCCATGTGAGTGAGATTCACAGATAAAACGATCGCACGCACGTCGCTGATAATGAATTCCGACACAAAATCGGCAACGTCTTGCACGGTGCTCGGACGTTGCAGTACTTTACGACGCGCAGGGCTGTACGACGCGGGCTTTTGAAGTCTACTCGTCGCCGGAAGCAAGTCCTGAGGAACGCATGTGACGTTGTACATATCGCCATCGAGGTCTCCCCCTCCAAGATACGACGCCAAAGGCCGGTCACCTGGGTTGATAGTCGAGGTCACAATCTAATACGTACGATCGCAAAGTGAACACGACACACCTCGTATAGAGAATACGACGCAGTTACTCAAACATCCCCTAGCAAGATCTGACCCTTCCGGTGGCTTGCCAATCGCATGTACGACCTGTATGTCGCCCGGATGAATCGCCGGCGAACGCGTGATCAGCGTAGGTCCCTCAAGGTACACCTCGGGACCATTTGCAGGCTTGACACAGGCGTAGATCTCGCCTTCGCGTAGCTGGCCGTGAACGTCTGCAATCCCGACCAAGGTCCATCCGCCAGGTACTGGGATACGAGCATGATACTTGAGCTCTCGCAGTACATGGTTGACGGCGAACGTCATCATGCGTTGCCACGGGCCTCTCCTAGTCAGAGAGGCGACTGAGATGCCGAGCTGGTGCAAGCGATGAACCGTGGATGCAAGCTTGAACGAGCCCCCTAGCCCGTGCATGTCGAGAAGCCATCCCGAGTTCGCCAATGAGTCCGTGAGCGTATGGGTCGCACGGACCGTGTCGTCTTGCAGCCTCTGGAAGACTTCGTACGGCACTCCGAGGCCCTCCAGAAGTATGATCATCGGCCGATTGAGGTAGAAGCGGGAGGGTTCCTCGAATAGCCCCGCGATCTCGATGCTATTCGAGGTGGGAGCCGCGAACTTCACCATTGAGCGGGGTAAGCGTATCTTCCGGCCTTCCAGTTTATGGTCGACATGGAGCATCCCCTTCGATCCAGCAATGCGCACTTGTATGACACGAGGAATGGCGCCTCGCCATGCACGTCTGACTCGGCTTTTCGACCGCTGGTCGGCCGCTATGTCTCGCGCGACCTGGAGAGACATCGTACCATTTCCATCAGTGAACGAGTACGTTCCCGTCCTGTCCTTGATGTCGTCAACGATCTCCATCTCCTCCACCGCGATCGCGATTGAGGATTCGGTGGAGCTAAACGCCTGCGAGATACGAGCACCGTATCGAGCGGGACAGTAGATGAGCTCTGGATCGTACGGGTTATCTGTGAAGGATCCGAGGCCAGCAACGATAGCGGCTGCGTTGATGGTGCGACCGTCGGCTGCTTTGAACGGCCTCACGAACCAAACAGAGTGATTCTTCAGGGCGGATTGCGAGTAGCCGAGGAACTCGAAGTGTCGCCCTGCGAGCATAAAGCCTTTGACTAGGAAGTGCTTGACACGTTGACCGATCAGCTCCCGAAGATTAATCTCGGAGTCGTAGCGATATGCGAGTCGGTTGTCGTCGGTGAAGTGAACACGAAGGAAGCTGTCCCTGTTGTCCCAGAACTGCCGAATGACTCGGTTGGATTGTTCGGGGAAGGGGCCTTCGATGACTGTTGTGGTAGGGGTAATGTAGAGGTGGGTACAAAGGAAGAGATCCGCGTGGGGTAATGGTGGTAGCGGGGTACGCAGAAGTTGCCGAGCACAAGTTATGACGAGCTCCTGTAGAGTGTCTTGGTTCACGTCGATCCCGTCGCCGTACCAGACACGCGCCTCAATTCGCGTCTTCAAGTCGGCCAGCAGAGTGCTCGTCACATATGGGCCGTGCTCAGGGACTAGGACATCGATGACGGGGCGCAGAGACTGCATAACCTCTCGCATGTCCACGAGCCGTTTGCGCGATAGCGCTATGACCTGAGAGGCCACAGCAAAGTCCAATGTCTCTATCCAAGCGTTGTAGGTATCGCGAATGGTTCTGTGGAACAGTCCGCGCTGAACAACCGTGTATGAGGACGAGTCGACAGAAAGGCGAGCGCGTCGGCACAAGCCCCGGTACACCGCGATGTCTGACGTAGATTCGCAGACGAGTCGGATAGCAATGGAGGTGTAAGGGGCGACGAGATCGTGGGTTCTGTCAAACCCGACTTTCCTCAACCGGAATATCTTCGTGACCTCGAGGAGCTCCCGCAGCGAGTAGGGGTCCCCAAACGTCAAACCATCCGGATCAACGAAGTCCGGGTCCGCGGGCCCTTCCTCGAATGACGGCGGATAGAGAAGGGAAAAGAAGATGGACGACTCGCCGAACTGGTCCGGGGTCGCAGCAGTCCAGTACACCTGCGAGGTGCGGATCGCCATGAAGCGCGTGCACTCGGTTTCCATGGCCGCCATCCGGAACTGCCGTCTGTCTTCGTTGTAGTCCAGGTACGCCGAGCCAGGCAGAGTGAATTTCCTCTCCCACTCCACAGAATACTCCTCGTCACGGCAATCCACCCGAATTGAAGTCGCTTGATGGTATCATAGATCCATTCCTGTGCGGGAGGACCACAGGAGGTTTGTATGGCGACTGTTGCACAAACCCCAAGACTTGACGATTGGGCGCCTGCTTGCTATGGGAAAAGACTATGGCCCGAAAGGATCGTGCCCGCGAGGCGAATCATCTCCGTAGTCGCGAAGGAACTGCTCACCGACCTCCGCAGTGGGAAGCGTGATTATGCCATTCCTGGTGCCCCGCTTGGTCACCTTGCGGTATATGCGAATTCGAAGTTCAGGGGCTGCGACGAGTGGTGAGCGTAGTCTGCACTGTGAAATATACTCGCGAGGAGCTCCTTCAGCTGGGGTTGTTCCGTGCTGAAGGGGATGCTCGCATGAATACCTCCATGGCGACACAGTAGACGTCGAAGGATGTCTTCCGCGCGTTTACGGTCTGCTCGGGATTCCGATGAGCGTACTTATACCAAGAAAGGAAGGTGTTGTATCTCACATAATCCTTATCAAAAGAGGCCGGTCCTATCAGTGGCGATAGTGTTCCATCAATTGCGCAGCAGAAGAGATGAGGTGATCCGATTGAAGGCGACACAGTTGGTATGTGTCATGGGGGTCCAAACCTGGTAACGCTTCCCACCATGAATTACAATTGTCGGTCACAAGGACAAGGGTACATACCGTATCAGTCTTCTCGAACATGTTACTGCCCTAATGGACTGCTGCCGCGTAGGAGACTCCCACGTCTCGTCAGCTGGGTATTGCGTATTGCCCGACGGGTTGAGCCATCCCAGGTGCACGATCACGCAGAAATCACTCAACGCTCAACGCAGAAGCACGGCGAGTCTAAATGGGACACATGAGGTGAACGTTCGACGAACGTTGCGTACATACGCACTGTTATAGATGCTGCAGACCTAAAGCATCACAGAATCCTTCGAGGACTAGATAGGATGCTTGTGCGCGATAAGGACGAAGGTCAGTCAGTTGATCATGGCATGATACTACTGACGCACGTTTGTAACGACATCGACGTGACGCTTGCCTCTCCATTCTCAGCTTTCACATAATTTAGTATGCGTGCAGCGAGCTACCGTAGCGACGTCAGTGAATCCGGGTGACTTCCAGAGACAAGAGACCTCGCCCATCAAGCATTCAGCAAACTGGAGCAGCACCTTCCGAAGTTGACGAGCAAGTACAATCGAGCCTCAGCGAGAGGTGGGCACTTTAGAAAAGCGGAGGACACGTACCGCACTGGTTGTCTCTGCTAAGATGAGAGAAACAGCCGTTGCGAGAGATCCGGCGTCCCGAGGCCCGAAGTTGAAGTGGATTGCACTTCAAGTGAGAGTCGCGTCGCGTCGGATTGTTCTGAAACTCCTCAGAGCGCAGATACCCGTCAATCCGCTCGCCCGGCCTCGGACAATAAACTCTGACGCATCGCTCATCTCCGCGCACCCGCCACCAAGTGCGCAACCACCCGCGTCCCTCCGGATCCACGGCATGCTCGTCATGATCATGTGTTGCGGTGGGTATGTACTGCGGCGAAAAGCGAGTGCGAGCGAGTCTTTGTCGGACCTCGTCCACCGCATCCGTGCGGATCGCTCCCAGGGATGCATCGAAGGCAGCGAGCTCGGAGTTGAGCCCAGTGCAGACCGCTGGGACTCTGACACGGAGACGAGCCGTCTCTGGAGCATGAAATCAGCAGATGCAGGAGACGTGTCTCATGCTCTGACGCACCACCCATTTCTCTGCGAGGTCACGTTGCGGCTCGCACTCGACGGGGAGTTATAGATATTGGAGCCGCCCGCTGGACTATACCGTCCTTCATGAAGGCGGCTGTGATGGTACTGACCGAGCCGGCTGAGCTCGAAGTCGAAGTCCGAAGGACTTTCGAACGGAAGTGGTCCGAGCGAAGGTCACGCAGGCGCACTGTACACGCGTTGCTGAGCAAGGGTAGATAGCCGAGCGAGATGTTCAGTGAGAAGAGCGAGGGAAAGTCACCTCCAAAGGACAACTCACTATGTTGCTGGCAACCTCCAGCTCGTGCGAGGACAGGCATGCGCAGCAGAGATCCACGCAGCAGAGTCGCTCTACTGAGCGTGGTGCCGATGCTCGGTTTCGCCTCGAGCTCCTCCTCCACGCGCGGCAGGGCTAGCACGCAATGATGTCGTGCATTTTGCTGGTAGAACGGGCAGCGAAGGACCTCCCTTCCCTCGTACCGCTCATGGGATGGGTCGCCCGCGGAGCTCGGGCAGCTGACAGGCGCGATGACGGGGTCCTTCTAGCATGTAGGAATACTGTGTATGCCTACACAACCTGCGTGGGTCCGAGTGTCTCCACGCGCGAGCGGACAATACGCTGGGCAACGGTATGGAGGGCTCCGAGGGAGAGACTGCGCGCGTCGTCGAGGTGGACGAGCGTCATTCAGCGCATGGTGTTTTGCGGGCTGCATATCTGGTGGTCGTAGGCAGTCTGTCACAGTCGGCGGAGGAGTGATGGTCTATCCAAGACAAGATGAGCATGTACCGATGTAGTAGTGACATTTAGTGCAAACCTCAGACTCTGCAGCTGGCAGTGGCAGGACGAAACATGGGCGCGCAAGCGCTCATTGGCAGCTACCACAGCTTACGTAATCACTGTATCATCATCGCTGCCATTGCCAAACGCAGCAATAATGATCCTGCAGCTGTCATCCACCAGGACTTACTGAGTTTCGGCTGCCCGCCACTTACTTCTACCACTCACGCCCGACAACATTACGGCGCCGCATGATTGGCGAAAGCAGTCGGAATAAAGTCATCGGCGAACGACGAGTCGAACCGACGTCTGCGAGAGCATCCTCGGCGGGCCCCAGGGCATAGTGCTTGCATAGCGTTCTGCAAGAGGCTCACTTTTGAGCCGAGCGTAATAGTCTAGAGGCCGTCATCCTATACTACTTGTGTCACATCCCTGGAGGTGAGGTACACCAGTTTCCTCTTCTGCGGAACACGTCTCTCGTCACGCTCAAGTTCGCATTCAAGTTTGCAAGTCCATGTTGCCGCTACGGTCTTCGAGGTCACAAACGCCGGTTGCCCAGTGGTTAAGTGCGCACTGTACATCTCCAGCTGGACCCCGAGATCGAGGAAAGCAGATGGTAGCGGGAGGTGCTGTGCTCTGCGGTGCCCTAGCTCCTTGAACACACAGTCCCGTCCCTCTGTGCAACATGGCCGTATCATCCGGGTACACGACCAGGGATTCCACGCTACCCACGTACAAGGACTCATACAGCCAAGTTACCACAGATCATACACGGCACAGTACACCGGCAGACGGATATGTGGCACCTGGAGCTAACAACAGTACATCTGAAACCCAGACATCCTGTGATTGGCACCGTATCTGGAGGCAGAGTACCGCGTTCGCCCGTCTCCCCGTCCTGCGGAACGCATCTCTCATCACGCTGTGCGACTTCCCAGGACCAGCGTACACACGCTACACGTCCAGACTATTGATCCACTAGCTGTCATTCATTGCACTATGACCGAACCTCACATGCCTGTGGCGTTCGTGAGCGAGAGGAACCCGGGACTTTACCCGGCGGACCGTCTCTACGGCTTTAACACATCCGGCGCCTGGGTCGCAGGTCGTCTGCGCGTCCTCGACATCTTACATGGTCATGTCGATCTTAAGCACACGCCCGACGAGACCACCATCAATACCGACGTACGCGCTACCTTCCCCGCTGTGCTATCCGTGCAGTTCCACTATGACGACCCAGAGCTATTCGCGCGGCTCGCGGAGCTGTTCGAGCACGCCCGCGCGCGGTTGCGCTGCCTCGACGTGTTGATGCACGATGACATCGAGGATGCGCAGATGTGGCTGGTACGTCCGCTCGCCCATCCCAAATCCTTCTTGTTCCGCCCATCTGACCAATGGCTGCCGCCGCAGGACGACTGTCTCCCCTCCTTTACTCCAGCCCCATCATCTGCATATGACTTAAGCCTGTTCAAATGCAAGTTCGCCGAGATCGACGCAGACGACGAGGGCGAGGTCAAGCAGCGAACTGTATGTATCTGGGGAGACTGAGATCGTCCATCATGCACCAGGACGATGGAGCCACGGCAATAGGCAGACCGAGGAGCTGCCGGTCCGCGGCGAAGTGTAGGCCAGCGAAGCCGCGCCAGCGCGCACCAGCCACGTCCGGGGAAAATGCGGTGCACGACCGGGCGTGCGTCCTCCACAACGAGTCCACGAAGCCTTGGACGCATGTCGCACCGTCCGGCCTCCGCTGGCGAGAACGGCGAGTAACGTCTGGTGTGCGATCACTCGGCTCACGTCGGAGCCACGCCAGAACGTCCGCACGCGTGCGCCTGCAGCGTGTGAGGTGCCCACATGTGAGCAACAGTCTCTTGCTCTCTCGGAAGGACTACGCTTACGTTACGGTCACTCTCGCCCACCCGTCTTGCTCACTGGCTGATCATCCATCGTGTTTGCCCCGGTCAGAGGGTTACGCTCACGCACAGGCTGCCTTCCGGGTCCCACCGTCGTGAATCGCGTCGGGAGTCTGGGACTCGACGCGACGGACTCGTCGACGACTAGAGCCGGAGGTGGGAAGGCGGTCTTTCTCCGCGATGTACACAACGCACCATACAAAGACCCGCATCTCGTGCCTCCGACGGCACTCTCGACGCGATTTGCTCGCGGGGTGACTGACTGGTCGACGGCCCCGCCGGCGCCTGCATTCTCGCCGGACCATCAGACGGCGATCGTAAGCACGCGTCGTCTGCGGCCGACGGCGGGATGGACTCTGGGAAGGCGACTCTTGTGCGCACCAGGTGCTCAACTCAGGGGAGAACGACTCGCGAGAGACGTGACCGGGTGTGAGTGAGTCTACGAAGCTTCGGAGGTACATAGTACGTCGGACCGTTGGGCTTCTGATAGCGAGAAGGGCGAGTGACGGCGACATGATCTGGCATACGGTTTCGACGCTGACGTTGGAGCATCGATTCCAAACTAACAACCATGTCCAGTGTGACTGGAAGATGGCGGTCGACCACAGGCCGGGATTTGACCACGCGGGCCTTTTGTGGGCCTTTGAGCTATGCTACGAGCGGTCCCGACTAAGGCAATAGGTTGTGCAGTCCCAACGAGACACTCGTCAAAGGAGAAATAATCACTGTCCATACCGTCATTCGTTGTTGGACATGCTATATATGGGTTCTAGGATACTAGCACCGGCAATCTTGACACAGAATCAGTCACATATTGAAAGCTACGGAACCGGTCCACGTACACCTGATATGCTCCCAAAAGATTCAACTATCCACGACTGTTAGGCCGGCAGTGAGTAATGCAGAATGCAGGATACGATATGACACAACTTGCATTCTGAGCGAGAATCACGGCCACATTGGGGCATTCCAAGGATTCGAACGCTATCGACGGACGTACACGGGTCCCCGTTCCGCCCTCAAGCTGCCAGGGCCTAACTCAGATTAGCTCACAGTTGCCGCACTCAAGTAATACTCACCAGCTCACGTCATCAACACAAGGTCGTCTTCGAGCGCAGAGATCACACAAGTGGGATGCCACCTCCCTTCGTCGACCTCCCATCAGTCGTTGCAAGTATGTCGCTTGTCCTCTCTGGTTCAGACGAGCCTGAGTTCCTCCGAGCCATTCAGCCATGCCCTTGGTGTCAGAGAAGCGGCCCCGTGCCCATGCTCACGTATTCATCCCCTCCATTTCCGACTTCAATACGCTCACGAAAGTCGATGACCCCGACGGCTGTGCTCTCGAGGTCTCAGCACTTACAGATTCAACCAATGTACCCACTGGCGTGCAGTTGGTCCACTGGGCAACAGGCGAGCGTACGCGCACGGTCTGTCGTGTCCTCATGCAACACCCAGCCTACAATGGGGAGATCATCAATCGCAGGACCGTCATCTGCAAAGTGATTTACGGTGGCAAGCGACAGCGATCGGCACTGCACCATGAGAAGCAAGTCTACGACGCACTGGAAGAACTTCAAGGGAATATTATACCCCGTTGCTATGGACTGTTCGAGGGAGAACTAGGCGGCGAGCTAGCTACCTGTTTAGTGCTTGAAGATTTCGGGGAACCTCTGACTCGCAACAAGTCGGCACACGAGGACGAGGCATTCAGGTGCGTTGAACCATGCCTGGATAGTTCGCGAGATAGATCTCATCAGGAAGGCGTTGTCTATGACAGGATTCACTTGATGTCTGCCGTTCTCGAATCTCATAAAAGAGGCGTACAACACAAAGACTTGAGGCCAGGTAACTTTCGCAAGAAGAGCGACGGAGGTGCCGGTATCATCGACTTTGAGACCGCTGTGATGAACCACAATTGTCCTGTGGTCCACGTTGAGAACAGCGCAGCGGTATTCGAGTTCGGCAAGCTGGCACTTGAAGAACCCGATGTCGATTGTAGAGAATTGTGGGAGACCGCGTGTCGCGTTGCGGCAATCTGGAAACCAAGTAAGCCCTGCTGCTGCACCTATCGTAACCCCACAGGCTCACGGATCTCATAGGCAGAACGGGCTATAATTCCCAAATAATTCGCCTGAAACAGATACCCAGAATAACCAATCCCAATGCCCGTCGAATCGCTGAGATATGCTACGCGTACACAGTCGAGTGCTGGGAGCACAAAGTAGACTTCGATGAAATGGAGTTGTGGCGAAGGTGGGAAGCCGCCGGGCTGGAGGACCATTGAACGCGTAACGCGAGATAATCGAAACAGCATCGGAGACATGGTTGTGTATTCGGGGAATAGGATGGCCTAGTCTTAGTATCATGTGTCCACATCACTGTACATGGTAGCCCCGGTCTTGCTAGAACGAAGGGGTATCGAGTCAGGTTATGTGTTCGTCAAGCTAACGTTTTTTTGAATTCTTTTATTGTCCGCGAGGGCAGGGCCCTATGTAGACAAAACTCTGGCACTACGAGTGGGTACGTGTAGGTGGTCTGTCGGAGTCAGGCTGAGCATGCGCTCGTCGCCAGAGCGAGAGCCTAGGTATGTACCTGACGATTCTTTCTGGCCAGTCAACTCGCGCGGCATAGAGGTATCAGACACTGGTGGCACTCACCATTTCCTAGCGTCGGGTTTGAAGTCTCATGTATGACGCGTGGATGTCCGAGTGGCCTCAGCTAACGGATCCTTATCCCGCGAGGAAGAATGAGCACGGGAAGAATGCACTAGCAAAGTGTGATGCCAGTGAATCACCGTCATATTCGGATATAGTACAACAGGCTACCAGTACTGTACCCACGCATCGCAGCGTCAGCGCCGCGCAACTCGAGCACTGCGTCACAGACTCACCCTAAAGCTGCAAAGTATCCGCGAAAGCCTCGCCACGCATATACTCATCCAGCCTCTGCCCCTCCTCTGCACTGATCTCTACTAAATCCACTGAGCGCTTCTCGGCCACCGCCTCGCCAGCATCGATACGCCACCACCGGTGCATTCGCCCACGGAATATTGAGCCCTGAGGAATATCCGAGTCGGCGTTCACGACCATGCGCCCAGAGGCCACGGCAACATAGCGGAGAGTGGGGATCTCTTCTGCGAGCAGCCTAGGAGCCGCATTGCCCAGCTTTTCCCACTTGCCATCATTGTCATATCCAGTGTCAGAGTGGGAGTCGAAGTCAGAAGAAACATTAAAATCGTTGGAGTCGAGGGCAAGTTTGAGCCGGACACAGAGGATGTTACTAGCGGAGAGGAGCGGGAGGTATTTGTCCTGCGACGGAACACGTGAGATCGGCATTGGACGGTGCGGACAGCAGCGAGGAGACTGACCATCCATTTCTGCGCATCGTCGACATCGCCATGCATCAGCACATCCAGGTATCGTAGCCGTGCAGCCGGGTGTTCGAATAACGCCGCGAGCTGCCCCCAAAACGCTGCGCCATCGTAGCACTCTACTGAGAAGACCACGGGCTGTGTCGCACGCACCGTGGCGACGACAGTCTCCCCGGGCATGGGCCCTCGGCCTTCAACGAAGACCTCGAGGACACGTAGGCGCGCGGAGACATCGTGCGCGAAGGAAGCGGTATAGGGGAAACGGTGGTCACCCGCAAAGAATACCAACCAGTCGTTCGCGAACGACTTGAAGGTGATATGGAGGCACGCGAGATTCGGGCAGAACCTCACGAGAACCAACGGATCCATGTTTCTGAGCCGCAAGGTATGTGTGCTAGGCCACAGATCGGCCGAGATTGGTAAGGGCAACGTTGACCATTCTGGGGCAGTTTTGTGAAGACCCAGGTCGGCTATGAGCACCTCCGCTGCGTTCCGCAGGAAGGGTATGTGGACGAGCCTATCATATTCCACTGTCTGCATACGCTTGGCTGAACCCCAGGCCCGAGACGGACTACCCTCGGCTTGCAGATCAACCTCTCGCAGAGCGCCATGCTGTCCTTGGTAACGCCGCACAGCGCGAACTCGCGCAGATCACGGAGTGCGACGATTGCATCGCAGAGGCCGCCAGCCACAGTCGGAGCCCCGCGGTCCAACAACGTCATGTCAAGCGAACGCAGGTCTCGCGCTCGCGCCAAGACGGCAGCAAGTGGGGAGTAGTCGTCAGTTGAGTCGTGGCCGTGCCAGAGGAAAATCCGAGTTTACGCAGATACTGAAGGCGGTATCCGTCTTCCCAAAGTATGAATTCGTGGAAACTGAGGGTTTGGCGTGGCGTTGCGACTCGTAGGGAAGAGAGGACACGCGGCCGGGCGACGGCGCTCATCGTGCGCGATGTCAAGGCGAGCTGACCAGCGTCGCGTTGCGAGATGAACGCAACTATGATGTCAAGGACATCTTCGTTCAAGTGTTGGATGTTGGTGACCATCGTTCCGAGTGTGGATCTATGGGTGTTGTGGAAATGGTCACGCTGCGTGTACACCTGATACCTAACGAGCACGTACATGGGTGCAGGAGACAAGTCTCTGGCCGTTGGCGAGAGTCCAGCCTGCTAGGATGGAAGTATTGGCAGTCCAGGAAGTGCTCGTTCAAACCGCTGGGCACGTATCAATGACAGGTCACAGGGCACTGTGTTGGATGGCTGAGAGTGTTATACGCTCAGGACGACACTGACCTGTATTGCTACGACAAGTTGAGCAGATCATGGCGGAGAGAAACAGCATCCGGTGTCGGTCGCGCGCTGCGTCATCGGGCGTCTACTCGCCCGCCGTTGCCTGCCTCGGGCTCTCGCCCGGCCGCACTCGCTGCACTCCAGTCGTGCGCTCGTCGCTCGCCGTCGTCCGCAGTGACTCCTCCCCGTGCCCAGCCACGAGCGTCCGTGCCCGTGACCGCCCTGGTCGACCGTCGTCGCCTGCGTCATCACCCGCCCGCCGTCTCCGCTGCCATTGCCGCCGCGCTCCACGACGCCCTGCCCGTCCACCCCGCCGCGCTCTGCTCACTCGCGCCCGCCTCTCCGCCGTCTCCGCTCGCGCGACTCGACGTACGGTATGTACCCGCCCCCGACGCCCGTCTGCTCCCGCTCCCAATCCCCGTGGACACGAGCACGACTTGGACGGAATTGCTCGGTGGAGACGAGCAGGCGCGGGGCAGCATGCGGAGACGCATTCATCACTCAAAAACGGGCACAAGTGCGCGTGTCCGGGTGTCTCCTCGCACGTACGGAGGTCTCCCGCGAGACCGGACTGGCCCGCCCACTTCGTGCTCGAGCCGCAGCAGCCCGGCCACCGGCTGAGCAACGAGCATGGTCGTCGTAAGGCTCGAGAGGCCTCCCGGACAGGGCTCCCTGCGAACGGCGCTGTCCGTCTCACGTTTGGTGCGTTCTCTCTCCAGTCTGACGCGGCCTGCTGGCTTTGACTAGGACTGCGTCTCGCCAGTCGCTTTGAAGCGCGGATGGAACGAGGCGGCCGCCGCGCGCGTGGCTGGGACTAGCGACGCGACGAGACGAGTCTTGACCCAGAGACCAGACGGTCACCGCGTTCTGCCACCATGGCACACGACGACCCCGAGCCTGTCCCTGTCGTCCAGACGACGGAGAACGCGGCATGCCGAGCACACGTACAACGGTCTGCGGACGGTCTTCTATTCCGAGGCACAAAGCTCTGAAGGATTGTCTACGTCTGCTTGGGGAGACTAGGCAGCACGCGAGATCCTCTTCATTCCTGCCAGAGTACTGCGCCCGGGCTGCTCGCCACGTACTTGCGTCCACGCACGCCGGAAGACGGTGCAGAGCCGCATGAGCGGCAACAGCCGTCGGAATGGAGTCGTCGAACGACGAGCCGGGGCGACCCCCGAGAGCATGGTCGGTCACGCTGCGCATGCACTCATCGACCCTCTCCCCCTCTCCGTTCGGGCCCGGCCCCTCTGGTTCTCGGTGCACGGCACTCGTCCTCCGTGTGCAGATAGTCGTGCTCGACACGCCACCACTGCGTCCGTCTTCAAGGGTGTGGGGAGCGGGGAACGCCCGACTGTGTACCCGGACGATACGGCCATGTGCTAGAGGGACCGACGTGGATTTGACACCGTTCTCAGGCGCTGAATAGACTCTATACGCATCGTCTCGCAGGACAAGCATTTCCATTCATACCAATACCACGTCTCTGCTCGACATGGTGTATCGCGAGTCATTCAATCACTGTTAAGAACGAATGTCCGCCGCGCATTCGATCACAACACGCGCGCGACGACCGTGCACTACTCAACCTACCCCACGCAGAGATTCTCACCGACCTCCAAGTCTACAAGGCGCCTTGTCAGCGCCATCGGGTCTGCAGAGCGATGTGTGGGACACGTACCACAGGCGGAGTCGAGCCACGGGTTCAGCGCATACAGCTGTGCGGCAGTGAGCCCGTAGTCGGACTCGATCTCGGCACAGTAGTCACCGCTGGCAACCGTGTAGACCTTGCTGCACGCGGGCGAGCCCTTGACGCAGTACGCCTCCTAGAAAGGCATTATTCAGTGAGAACGCGAGGGTGAAATGTTCAATACGTACGTTCACCTCGAGATCTGAGATGTGCCGCGAGTGAGTCGTGAGCGAGGACCGCGGATGGTGGAAAGACGTACCATCGCAATTCGACGAAACCTCGGGGTTCCAGCGCAGGAAGTCGCTGAAGGCGATCTTGTAGCTACATCACGTGTCAGCTCGCCGGGACACACGCGTCCTTGTCGGTGGGCACTGACCTCGTATCAATGCTGGTGCACGAATCGCCGGTCTGCACCGTGTCTGGGGAAGCGCTGAGAGGGTGGAGTCGAGGATGGACGAGATGAGTACCTACAGTACGTAGTGCAGCTGGCAGCAGAGAGTCGGTGAGCGAACCGCGCGGAGACAGGGGGTCGACTCACTTGGTCCAGCTGCCGCCCGCGATGTTCGTAGGCATCGGGGACGCTGTCGCCGAGGACGAGGACGGGGGCGCTATCGCCGAGGACGAGGACGGGGGCGCTATCGCCGAGGACGAGGACGGGGGCGCTATCGCCGAGGACGAGGAGGGGGACACTATCGCCGAGGAGGACGCTACTGCCGAGGACGAGGACGGGGACGCTATCGCCGAGGACGAGGCCGTGACCGTGAACGTCGACGTCAGTGTCACCGAGCTCGTGCCAGAGGCGACGGTCGACGTCGGCGCCGCGCCAACACACAGCACCTCGCCGGTCTCGAGGTCGCAGCTCGAATCTAGCCACGGGTTGAGGGCCAGCAGTTGCGCCGCGGTGAGCCCCTCGGTAGTTTCCACGGAGAAGCAGGTGTCCCCTGAGACGACGGTGTAGAGGCTGGAGCACGCGTCGCCTGGGGTCGGATGTCAGGTTGATGCGACAAGGGAACAGCGGGAGACTGTACCTCCGCCACCGACGCAGTACGCTTCTTGAGCCGCAAGGTTCGTGCAGCCAGTATTGAGCTTGGAGGCATCTGTGAGCACGAGGAACGAACATCCATACGGGAGCGCATACCTCCGGGTTCCATCGAAGCAGGTCGCTGAAGGAGATGTTGGCCGCGGCCTCCAGCATCGAGCACGTGTCGCCCGACACCACCGTCGTGTACGACGTGCAGTTCGTGAACGAGCCGGGTGCGAGGTTATTCGGGGCGTCGCGCGTCGAGAGAGCCGGCGTGCGTCGGAGGGGCAGCCAGTTCGCCGTGGCGCTGGACGCGAGCGCGACGGCGAACACTAGAGACTGTACGCGTATCGCAAAGACCATCCTGAGGTAGAGGTAGAGGTATGGTGAGTGCGGGTAGCAGCTCTGCCTGAGCATGGACGTATACCTGGCTTATATACTGCGCGGGGTACGTGCGCGGGCGAAAAAAGGCGCAGACTTCATCACTTCAGAAGATTGGTGTGACTGCATGCTGAGAGTCATTCCGCACCACTTCGAGCACTGACAGAAACGTTCGTACTGGGAACGTGACACTGCCAGACATTTCTGACCCGATCGGACTTACATCTAAAAACGAATCACCCAGCGCAGACGTATGAATCCCTAACCTGATCAAAATTGGGGACAATAAAACGCAGAACGTACCGCTGCATTGCCAGTTTGCAAGTGATTGACTGGACTCTAAGGCAACATGTTGATCCCTGCGACCGCACCTGGGACTGGCAGTGGACGGTGACAGCTAATTCCATATCGCCAGACCCCCGCCTGACTGAGGATGCGTGCACAAACGGAGAGAGTCGTACCTTCTTGAGCTTTGTTCACAGGTGACTCGGAGCCGCGCGCCCTGTCGGTCGACTTCGGCTTCGACCCTCGAGCTGGTTCGCCCTCGACACTATTCGTTGTGTCGGAGTGTTGACGTGAGCGCAGAAGGAATACCAAGGCCAATGTACCACACACGTACACGCTTCCGAGAGGGGTTAAAGAAGTTGGAATGACGCGGATTGAGAACCGCGCGGTCCACTTGTCTGCGATGGGCCGGCTTCGAGGCGTCGAAGCTTTAGGATTTGACGCTTCAACGTCAACCACACGAAGGCTCTGACCGCTGAGATTGCCGCTAACGTGTCTCCGATGGCAATAACCTGCTGCATACGTATGGCACAGATGTGGCATTAGCCTGACTCGGACGTTCGTGGCGTTTCGCAAATGGAAATCTCACCTACTACAGTCATTCGGCGAATCGGAAATGACCGCCTTCCCTCGCTCGCTCGCTGGTATGGGCACGAACCCTGCGTGTCGTGGTCAGAGATTCAGAAAATTCGGCGAACCTACCAGGTGCGGGAGCGGGCCTCACATGCACAATCCACGTCGACTGCTTTGCTGGAAGTTCGGATCAATGAGTGCGTTTCTACTTCGACTGCATCCTGTCTCAGTTTCTCATCGCCGGCAACTTCAGGCTGGATCACTGAGGGCTCGTGAACGAGCATCTCGGGGAAGCTTGGCCAGCCATTTCAAGCATGACCGACTTTACGTTCCACCGCGCGATGGCTTCCCTACCGGTTCTTGACGCACTAACGTAAGTAGCAAATTCCTGACGGTATGCAGCCAGTGAGAAACTGATAAGAGAGGACTGCAATGTTGCGACAATGCATCTAGTGGCAGAAGGAGGAGGAGGAGGAGGAAGTTGTACTCTTACGTAATCGGTGGCGGTGGCGTTGACAATGATATCCGCCTCTCCGTTGTCGTTGACCATTGCGTAACTTATGTAAGTACGATCTCAACCTTCTAGTCAAGTCCATCGCTGCACAGCTACATGACTTGCCGCACTTTTTATATCGCCCGTCTCTGTCTCTGTGACCCAAGGCCGACGTGCAGCTAGTAGTAGTAGGTACTTATGTATGCTGCCATACAGCCTTGGCACGGCGCCTGGCAGCAGGCGGCACCGGAGACTGTCCTTCCATCTCAGTCACGGTCTCGTCAAGATATCATAGCGAAGGAAATACTCTGATTGGCATATTGCGTCGATGTTTGTGAGCACTTGGCGTGGTCTGTGGCATGCAACGTGACTCTGATCACGCAGAGCCATGGCATTTGCGAGGTCCTGGACTAGTTCCTCAGGAGCTGATAGAGATATGGCCGTATCGCCACTTCAAATGCGTTGGTATGTGGTAATGCTAGGAGTGAGGAAACCATGCATGAGTTTTCTGAGCGAACAGAGAAGCAAATACAACGACAACTGACCGAACTGCGACGAAGTAATAGTACACCCTGAGTACATGAATACAGAATACCCTCCCATGACTAGCCGGTGCCTGTACTCACCGCCGCCGGGTCGACTGCTGTGCCATTTGTGGGAGCAGGCCCAGGAGGCTTTGACCTCGATCTGGCTCGGGCAGCGACGCTGGTCTGTCCAACGGAAGAATCGTCATCGATGTCCATGTCGGACTGCCCAGACGACCCGACGGTCATGCTTGGAGGCGGGGCACTGGCAACGGGCGCCGCCGCGCTAGGTCCCACGCCGTGGGTCGTGCCGGTAGTCATAATGCCTACTGCTGCACGACGACCGTCCCAGTGGCCACGTTATCGCGCTCGGCATGACTGGCACGGTCGCGTCTGCCGCCTTCCCCCTCGTCGTCGGAATCAGACAATTCGCCATCGGCTTGACGCCTTGCATCTAACAAACGCCGCGGACGCCGCTCGTCTCGAGAGATCATGTCTTCGTCCTCGTCTAGATCATCTACGAGGTCGTCCAAGGGCATCCGGGGTACATCTAATCTCCTGTCAACTTGATTATTAGAACTCGAGGATGTCTCGCCGACCTTGCATCTGAACACTCGGTGGCCCGCCAACATGTCTGAGATGTTCCAGTACGATGCCTTTGACACGGTCCAGATAGCCAGGACTATTCATGTCCTCCATGCTGGACGGCTTCACGTCGAGTTCATAGTCCGGTCCAAAATACTCGTAGTATTCGTTCATCGGTATTTCTGGCGTATACATTGATGTAAAACCCGCGGCAACAGGACACAGCACTCACCTGAACCGAGTTCGACGCCAGCGGCGAGACCGGTTTCGTATGCCCAGCACCGACTGACATTACGCATAGTGTAACCGCCACCCCCGAGGATGAGTAATGGCTTGTTGAAGGACTTCACGAATTGCACACAGCTGGCGTGGCCTTCATGACCTCAATATCGCAATGTAGTACGAGGCAGGCATGCATCACGTACCTTTCATGGACAGGTTGAGACTGCCTATTCTGTCACCGGAGAGCGAGTCGGTACCGCACTGCAAAACGATAGCGCCTGGGTCGAAGTGTTCCATGACAGATCGGATTACCTGAAAACGCTGTCAGTGAGACACGGGGATCATTCCCGCCGTCAATCACAGTACCGGTTCAAATACACTCTTGTAGCTCTCATCGGTGACACCGTCCCGAAGGGGAAAGTTGAGAGCGTAGTGCTTGCCCTTACCAACGCCCACATCCTGTATTAAGATGTATGTCATTGAGACAAATCAGTGAGACGTAGTGACAGATGCACGCACCCGCAGTCCGCCGGTTCCCGGGAAGAACTCTCCGTACTTGTGAAAACTGCAGGTCATCACACGATCTGTGGTGTAAAAGGCTTCCTCGACACCATCTCCATGGTGCACATCGATGTCGATGTACAGGACACGCGTGTGGTATCTGAATAACGATGCTTGAGATTCTTGTGTGAGATCAGTCGAAGGAGAACTAACCGCAGCAGCTCAAGTATGCCTAGCACAATATCTAAAACCGTTTTAGAGTCATCAATGTAAAGAGACGTGCCGCACATACGAACCATTGACGTAGCAGAAGCCACTGGCTTCACTTTTCTTTGCATGATGGAGCCCGCCCGCCCAATTGACTGCAATGTCGCATTTGTCGCGACTCAATCGAGCAGCGCCCTCTTGAATGATAATGGTGAGTCGATGAAAATGGGCTGTGGCGTCATGCCGCACCCATAGAGCCTCCCGCTGATATTGCGCAGTACTCGAACAAGCCGTCGAAAACCGGACAGTCCTCGCCGACATTGTCTGTACAAAAGGTGAATAAATCCTCTTAGTATGTACGCGAGTAAGCAGGATAGGCACGAACACTTGTGCTGTTCCTTCGTATAATTGCCCATGCTGCTGGGCGAGACTCGACTGAGGAATTCGACATAGTCGTCGGAGTGAAACTGCATCATCTCGCGTTTCGTCGCAGGTTTGGCACGCTATACTTCCGTTTCAGCTAGGCAGTGCGAATCAAAAGCCTTTATGTACGCACGAAGATCTCCATTTTCTTGTAGAGGCCATAGTTCATTACCAGTGAATGGCACATCCGGATCCGTGTAGGCTTCATCCTATAGTTATAAACGACAACGCAGGTATATTGAAGACCAGCAAATACATATAAATAGGACGCGACTCACGGATGACCGGGCCCATAATGGAATCCACTCACGTCCGAATCGAAGAAGTAGCACTAGCGGGGAACAGCCGTTAGCCTCGGAGTGTAAGCCAGGCAAAAGAAATACACACGACACGCTTCTTGGGTTCTCCGTCTATAGGCTTCATAACCGGTGCCATTCTGCCAGCCATAGGACGGAAGACTGTCGAAGCTGCCGGTGCCGCACTGTAGTAGCCTGAAGGCGCCGAGCGCCACGGCAACGGCTTGTTTGGCAAAGGCCTTTGATCCTAACAAATGACGTAACACACTACAAGCATATCTTTCGCACAATATAAGTACGCTCGCCGTTGCATTGGCTCACAAGGCTCTGTACAGATCATAGTATCGCTTCACGCTACAAGCGGACATGCTAGCTAGGACTAGGATAGCATCGACAGTATGACTGAATTATCTTCCAATAGTTTCCATGTCCTCGGCAAGCGTGATCGCGAGGTCCCGCATCCCACTGTGGCAGTAAGCCGTCAAGTTATCCTAAAACTGTCGGTCTATCGAGTATCATGTAAGCGACTGACTGTGCTATGCGAACCCGTGACGCTCGTCGATCGTCGTAGTCATGAAGCTGTGAGCGAAATACGAGACGCAACACACATCCTGAGCGATGTTCGCCTTGACAGGGAAATTTCGAGGCTCTGAACGACAACGATGTAAGACGGGCATACGTACATCACGATGAGGCCACATTGGAGTTTGTCACCTTCGAGCTGCTACTATCTGACCGCGGAGTGCAGCAAAACTACCTGCGTAACACAACATTAGCACCGCGCAACTCAGAGAGTGTGTACTCGACTCACTCTAAAGCTGCAAAGTGTCCGCGAAAGCCTCGCTGCGCATATACTCATCTAGCCTCTGCCCTTCTTCCGCACCGATCTCAATCAGCTCTACTGCGCGCGTCTTGGTCATCACATCCGACACAACTCGCCACCACCGCGGCGATCCGCGGAAGCTCGAGCATCCAGGATCATCGGTGTCCTGGGCCATGTACCCACTGGACGACACGGCGACGTAGCGGAGGGTTGGGATCCCCTCCGCAAGTAGCCTAGGAGCTGCATCGCGCAGCGGCTCCCACTTCCAGTTTCTGCTGTTGAAACTGGGGCCGGCTTCGGGCGACAGGCGGGGAGCGGGGACCCGACTCGGATGCGCTCGACTCTATCCACGAGCCTGAGCCGGACGCAGAGGATGTTGCTAGCGGAGAGGAGCGGGAGGCATTCGTCCTGCAGCGGAACACGTGGGATTGACGGTGGACGGCACAGAGCGCAACGACGGGACTCACCAGCCATCCATGCGCGAGCGCGACCGTGTTATGCATCAGCAGATCGAGGTAGCGCAGCCGCGCGTCTGAACGCTCGAATAACTCGGCAAGCCGCCCCCAAAACTCTCTGTCGCCCTCGTAGTACTGTGTCGAGAAGACCACGGGATGTGTCGCGCGCACCGTGGTGATGAGGGGCTCCTTGAGCGTGGACCATTGGTGGTTGACGAAGACCTCCAGGACACGTAGGCGTGCGGTGACGTCGTGCGCGAAGGAAGTGGTGTAGCGGAAAAGTCGGTCATCCGGAATGAATCCCGAATTGTCCACCATCGGCGTGAAGGCTATGTGGAGGCACGCGAGATTCGGGCACAGCCTTACGAGCGCCAGCGGATCCATGTTTCTGAGCCGCAAGGTGCGTGTGCTAGGCCACAGCGCTGACCAGTCTGGGGCAGGTTTGGGAAGAAGCGCGAGGTAGGCCATGAACACCTCCGCTGCGTGCTGTAGGAAGGGTATGCGGATGAGCGTGGCATAATCCACGTCCTGCAGCGGCTCGGCAGTCCACTCCTGAGCCTCTAAACGGACGACCTTCGGCTTGCAGGCCAGCTTCTTGCAGAGCGCCATGGTGTCCTCGGTAACACCGCACAGCGCGAACTCGCGCAGATCATGGAGGAGGACGATGGCATCGCAGAGTGCACGCCCACCCTCAGTCGCCAGAGCCCCGCGGTCCGAATGATATACCACGTCAAGCGAACGCAGATTTCGCGCTCGCACGAGGACAGCAGCAAGCAGGGAGAACTCGTCGCCTGAGTCGTGGATGTGCGGGAGTGGGATCGCGAGTTTACGCATATACTGAAGGCGGTATCCGTCTTCCCCGAGTATGAAGTCGTGGAAATCGAGGCTCCGGGATGGCGTTGCGACTCGTAGGGAAGAGAGGACGCGTGGCGGGCGACGGCACCCATCGCGCGCGATGTCAAGGCGAGCCGACCAGCGTCGCGTTGCGAGAGGAACGCAACGTATCACGCTGAGGACGTCTTCGTTCAAGAGTTGAATGTTGGCGACCATCGTTCCGAATGCAGATCTATAAGTGTCACAGAAATGGTCAAGTGGCGTGTGCGCCTGATACCTATCGAGCACGTACGTGGGTGTAGACGACAAGTCAGGCAACCTGTAATTTGGAAGAGTCAAGCCTACGAGAATGGAAGTATCGTCAGTTGACCGTGCTTGTTCAGATCCCTGGCCATGATAGGTCACAGAGCATGTTATGGAACACTGTGAGAGTTGTACGCTAGGAATGACTTACCATCGTCACTGACCCAGCGGAATGCCATGTACAGTGAGTATATCGTGGCGGAAAGAAGGCTGGAATGATCGGCACTGCCAGTGAGATACGATTACGTAACAATAGGCTCAGTGGCGTGGCGTGACTATGACTGGCAGTAGTGTGTCGAGTGCTTAACAGAGTTAACAGCCATTGACGCTAGCATGCTGCGTACTAGGCCACCTACTGAAGCTGCAGCATGCATATGATAGCCTATAAGTGGCGAATGACGAAGACATCCATACATCTCGCCAGCGTCTCCGGTCTCGCATCTACAACCTGCCGCGTTTCGATGACGATCAATATATCGACCTCGGCCCTTCACCCATGCTCCAGAGTCTCGAACCGCTGAAACTTGAAGCGGACGTAGACAAGGCCGCAATAGGTGAGCAGCGAGAGACAGGCGACCTGCGGAGCGAAAAGTGTGAGATATCATGGCAGGGAAGTAGGGGACATATGTACCAACCATGCCGACGACGACCATGCAGACAGTGTTGGAATGCAAGGTACGTACCACAACCTCGGGTACGTGCAGTGCGCTCGAGTGACAAACCAAGTCAGAAAAACAGTATACAGCTCACGCTCGTATGGAACGCCGCATCTGGACCCCCCATCGGTGACAGCGGCGGTGTAGTGCGTACGGTCGCTGTCAATACTGCTGTAATACGCAGTGAGATACCTCGTGAGCACAGTGGATAAGCCGGTCGTGTGTGACACTCGTACCAGTAGACATTCTGTGGGTAAAAGTTCCAGGCAGCGCGGACCCGGATGAGTCGGACAGGGAGTTCGGGGTTGCGACCGCGGCGCTGATGCCTGTCAGACGTCCAGTTAACGTGCGCCGTAGTAAGTATGCGTCGTCGAGACGCGTCAGTGACAAGCTACGTTAGTGCGTCTGCGTCAAGAAGTAGGGCTTGAAGCCATCCGAGTCGTGCCAGTGCGTTTGGAATGTAGCATTTACGGTGATCCTGCCTGAGGTTGCCAGCGATGAGAAACCGAGACAGGACGCAGTTGAAAGAAAACAGTACTGGTTGGCACTATGTAACTAGTATGTAAACGGTACGTACGGTGCGGGTGATGGCCAGTGACAGGCCGATGGGACTCGAAGCCTATCCAAAAGCGGAGCTTCTTCATATGACTTGCGGACATTAGAACGGAGATAAACGCATTGATTGATCCGAGCTTCCAGCAAAGCAGTTGTCATTGAACTCAGTTGTGCATGTGAGGGCTCCCGCAACTCTCCCGCAACTGGTAAGTGCGCTTTCTTTGAATGACTGACCACGATACGCAGGGTTCGTGCCCATACCACCGGACGAACGAAGGCGGTCATTTCCGAATGGCTGTATGTAGTGAGTGATCCTCCCATCTGCGGAACGCCACGAACATCAGGCTGATGTGTGCCGTACGTATGCAGCAGCTATTGTCATCGGAGACACTGCCCCGTTAGCGGCAATCTCAGAGGCCAGGGGTTGACGTTGAAGCGTCAAATCCTAAAGCCTCGACGTCTCGAAGCCGGCCCATCGCAGACAAGTGGACCACACGGTTCTCAATCCGAGTCATTCTAACTTCCCTAGACCCCTCACGGAAGTGTGTGCGTGCGTGGTACGTTGGCCTTGGTATCCCTTCTACGCTCCCGTCAACATCCTGACACAACGAGCAGTGTCGAGGGCGAGCTAGCCCGAGAGTTTAAGCCGAGGTCGACCGGCAGTGCGCGCGGCTCCGAGTCGCCTGTGAACAAAGCCAAACGAGAGCGCGACACCCTTCGCCTGTGCACGCATTTGGGTCTAGTAATATGGAATTGGCTGCCAGTGGGCGCGGTCGCACGGATCAACATCCTCCATCAGATCTTGCAAGTTGCCTGTGTCAGAGTCCAGTCATTTTCTTGCAAAGTGGCGATGCAGCGGTACGTTCTGCGGTTCATTGTTCCCAATTTTGATCAGGTCAATGATTCGTACGTCTGCGCTGGGTGGTTCGTTGTTAGATGGGTCCACTCGGGTCAGAAACATCTGGCAGTGTCACGGCATGTTCCCAGTACGTACGTTTCTCTCAGTGCTCGAAGTTATATGGAATGACTCTCAGCGTGCAGTCACATTAATCTTCTGAAGTGATGAAGCCTGCGCCTATCTCGGTCGCGCACGTTCTCCGCGCAGTATATAAGCCAGACGTACGTCCACAGTCAGGCAGAGCTGCTACCCGCACTCACCATACCTCTACCTCTCTACTTCAGGATGGTCTTTGCTATACGCGTGCAGTCTCTAGTCATCGCCGTCGCACTCGCGTCCAGCGCCACGGCTAACTGGCTGCCCGTCCGACGCACGCCGGCTCTGTCGGCACGCGACGCCCCGGGCAACCTCGCGCCCGGCTCGTTCTCCAACTGCACGTCGTACACGACGGCGGTGTCGGGCGACACGTGCTCGATGCTGGAGGCCGCGGCGAACATCTCCTTCAGCGACCTGCTTCGATGGAACCCGGAGGTATGCCCCTCCAGCATGGTTGTTCGTTCCTCGTCCTCACAGATGCCTCCAAGCTCAATACGGGGTGCACGAACCTTGCGGCTCAAGAAGCGTACTGCGTCGGCGGCGGAGGTACGACTTCCTACTGTTCCCTGGTCGCATCAACTGACATCCGGCTCCCAGGCGACGCGTGCCCCAGCCTCTACACTGTCGTCTCTGGGGACACCTGCCCCTCCGTGGAAGCCAACGAGGGACTCACCGCGGCGCAACTGCTGGCCCTCAACCCTTGGTTGGATTCGAGCTGTGATCTCGAGATCGGCGAGGTGCTGTGTGTTGGCCCGGACTCGGCGCCGACGTCGACTGTCACCATTGGCACGAGCTCGGTGACACCGACGTCGACGGTCACGGCCACGGTGACTACCTCGACGGTGCTCCCGACGACGACCACGGCGACGGCGACGACGTCGACAGCGTCCCCGACGCATACGAACATCGCGAGCGGCAGCTGGACCAAGTGAGTCCCGCCCTTGTCTCCGCGCGGTTCGATCACTGACTCTGCTGATAGCTGTACTACGTACTGTGAGTGCTCATCTCGGCTATTCATGGATAAACCATCTCAGAGCTCCCCCAGACACGGTGCAGACCGGCGATTCGTGCATCAGCATTGATACGAGGTCAGTGCCCAGCGAAACGGATGTGTATGATCCAGCAAGCTGACGTGTGATGTAGCTACGGCATCGCCTTCAGCGACTTCCTGCGCTGGAACCCTGAGATTTCGTCGACTTGCGATGGTATGTCTCTCCACCCCGTACGGTCCTTACTCACAACTCACCTTGCGGCATGTCTAAGATCTCGAGGCGCAGGTATGTATTGGTCAATTCACCTCGTATTCTTGCTTAACCGTCCCCATCTAGGAGGCGTACTGCGTCAAGGGCTCTCCCGCGTGCAACAAGATCTACACGGTTGCCAGCAGTGACTACTGCGCCGAGATTGAGTCCGACTACGGGCTCACCGCCGCGCAGCTCTATGCGCTGAACCCGTGGCTCGACTCCGCCTGTGGTACGTGTCCCACACATCGATCTGCAGACCCGATGTCCCTGACAAGGTGCCCTGCAGACTTGGAGGTCGGTGAGAATCTCTGCGTGGGGTAGGTCGAGTAGTGCACCGGGACAGCAGGTCGTCACGCGCATATTACGATCGGATGCGCGGCAGACATTCGTTCTTGTCATTGATTGAATGACTCGCGATACACCATGTCGAGCAGAGACGTGGTATTGGTATGAATGGAAATGCTTGTCCTGCGAGACGATACGTATGGAGTCTATTCAGTGCTTGAGAGCGGTGTCGAACCCACGTCCTCCTGCCACATGGCCGTATCGTCCGGGTACACAGTCGGGCGTTCCCCGCTCCCCACACACATGAAGACGGACGCAGTGGTGGCGTGTCGGGCGCGACTATCTGCACACGGAGGACGAGTGCCGTGCATCGAGAACCAGAGGCGCCGTGCCCGAACGGAGAGGGGGAGAGGCGATGAGTACATGCGCAGCGTGACCGACCATGCTCTCGGGGGTCGCCCCGGCTCGTCGTTCGACGACTCCATTCCGACGGCTTTTGCCGCTCATGCGGCTCTGCAACGTCTTCCAGCGTGAGTGGACGCGAGTGCGTGGCGAGCAGCCAGGGCGCAGTACTCTGGCAAGCGCGTCCTGGTCGTACTCGGCGCTGCCATACGGCGTGTCCGTGCCGAGCGGGAGCCTGGCAAGCGCGGCGCGTCAGCTTTCGAACGCACCACGCTCGTCGTTGCTTGTCGCCGCGAGCGACCTTCGCCCTTCTCTGCCTCCAGTTACGTCCACCGCTCGTCCGTCTGCGGCGCCCGCCACTGGCCCCGGTCGTACCAGCCCGCCACGCTGGTCGCGTCAGTCGCCTCGTGGCACGTCTGTCCACTCGACCCGCTGCGCCGCCGTTCACCGCGCGAACCAGTGCGCGTCACTGCGTGCGCTGCTCCGCACGAGACCCGGCCATGCATTTGCGTCCGCCGTCCGTTCGTCTACGCCGACTCCACCTCGTCATCGCCCATCCCTCAGGCTCCCTGTCCCCTTCAGCGAACGCGCACTACTAGCACCCATGCCGTCCGCGTCTCCCTCGACACTCTGCCCCCTCCGTCCCTCAAAGCCCGTCCTCTCAGATCGACATCCGTCCACCGCGGTCGCCTGGAGAAGAGAAGCCGCGGTTGGCGTGCGCTCCCGTGGTGAGCAGGTCCCTCGCCTCTCGTCCGCACGCTGCTCACGCGGACGCGGAGCCGTGTTCAACGACACTCGTCTGCTCGTCGTGGCGGGTGGTGGTCGGTACGCGCCGCTGGTGAGTACTCACGCGCGTTCGTGCTGTGCTCCGCTGACGGACGGTGCTTCGTCCGTCCAGCAGACTGCTGGTGTTGGGCCCCGGCGAGTGGGATGCGCTCTGCAGAGAAGATCGTCCATTGCGAGTCGCGCTCCTTGCGTCTTGTGCGCTCGAAACGCGTGTGACGTGCACGTCGCGGCGGTTGCGCTGCGTGCGGTTTGTTGGCCACGGGCACCGGGGATGCGGTCGTGCGCGAAGGGCTGGCAGTGCTCTGCACGTCGAGAGACGTTCTGGAGTGTGCGGGTGATGACGCAGGCGACGCACGACACTTGTGAGCCTGTCCGTCGCAAGTCGTCTGCTGGCCGACGGTCGACTAGGGCAGTCACGAGCACGGACGCTCGTGGCTGGGCACGGTGCGGAAGATGGCGAGAGTGGGATGCCTCCACGACTGCAGTGCAGCGAGAGGTCGACGTGCGGCGGGGCGAGAGCCCGAGGCAGGCAACGGCGGGCGAGTAGACGCCCCTTGACAGGCCGGACACAGCGCACGGAAGTCAAGCTTCATGCACACTGACGCACGCGGTGAGTGCTTGCCTCCCTTGATGATATGCCAGCTATACCATTCTGACCAGTTTCGGCACCGCGAACGCACGAACCGTTCTGGCTTATTCCGGTGCGGGCAAGCCTCTGACCACTAACCATCGCAGGCAACGACCTGCCGCCAAGAGGCTGAGAGCCCAATTGTCCCTCAATCCTGTCCGACAGCGGACACGTCAGGCAGTAATTGACGTCTGCTGTGGCCAGTCGCGGTTCGCCCTGCACTACATAGGTCCGCTGCTAGCGCTCATCTTCGCTTATGTAGTCCCTCACTCGTACGCTGATAGCAATCATCAGAGATGCAGGCGACGAACCATCATGCATCATGCGCTGAGCGACGACATATGGTCCATGATCCTCGCCCTCGTCCGCGTCAACGGCGCGCGCAGGCTTTCCCTCGCACCTCGACACATTCGTCCCGCAGCTTTAGAGTGACTCGACCACACTGTCTCTGAGTTGCGCGGTGCTGATGTTGTATTGCGTAGGTATTTGCGTATCCTTGTGAACTAGCCTCTTGCTCGTGCATTCTGCCTGGGCTCATTTTGGTGCGCGGGGTCATGGTCACAGTGTAGACCGCATTGCAACTGCTCACGTCGGTTGCGTCCTTCAAGACTGCAGAAATGGCTCGTAAACGTGAGTTCAAGCCAGCCTGCATGAGACTCAACTTTGAGCTTCTTCGTTTCGTTTCGAGCCGTCGTTGTTAGTGGCCCGCGCAACCATGGTAGAAATGGCGCAAGAAATGTCCCTTCACTGCTGTGTATATGCGCTGATGTAGGGAGATGCAATCACAACGGACGGTCCGTCTGGGGGTGCAATTGGCGGTGGGTACGGTGTCTACGGCCAATACATTGCGCTGCACAAATTCTATACGAACGTTATGCGGAGATTTTGTACTCATATTCAATTAATATCATTCGACTCTGCATCAGTTGGCGCATATAAGGTGTTGCACATGTCCAACACACCGTGACCAGTATATCATCTCGACCTCTTCTCGATCCCTTGCCAACGTTAACACTTGACGCGTCTCTCGGGATTCGGAGGTCTGAACTCTGCGCGTATGGCAACGACCGTCGACGAGAGCAGTGCCGCCATAGACACTGTGACCGCGTCAGCCACGTGCTCGCGACATTGATCGTAGCTTACCTAATCCAGACAGAGACCCAGTTCGACCACCACTGGCACTACAACCCCGAGCAACCTCTCAGCAACTGCAAAGTTACGACACTAGTGCCGATTTGGCACTGACTTAAAGGCTCTTCACTGTATGTATGTACGCTGTTCCTCCGGTGACGCGCTGTATGGGCGCTGGCGCCGCGTTGCCTCTCTAATATCTGATCGCATTCAAGTTAGTTGATTCAATATGTAGTTAAGCCGCAGCGACTGCTTGAAATCGAACGACCATCGTTCCCCGTTTTCACCTCTCAGTAGATCTTCCCAGTAAGATTCGTCTTATGCTGCATGGTCGCGTATGGCACACCGCTTACGCTTAGTATCAACAGATTCATTCGAGTCGGAACGGAAACATTGATTGCTATCCGCTAGTCGCCGTGGGTAGTTCTAGCCTGTCTTCGCGTTCATGACGCTGATTCCCTCTTAGAGAACCACACCTATCAAGATGTCAGCTACTACCAGTCTCGACACTTTAAATGACGACGTCCTCAGCATCATCGTTGCAACACTATCGCACCAAGATGCTGCCACGCTGGCCTTGGTATCCCGTGCCGTCAGCGCCATTCCTAGGCGACGTATACTCTCCTCCATCGTGCTAGGGGCGCCAGGTGCCGGCCTCCGCTTCCATAGTTTCATGCTCGAGGAGGACGATGGGTTGCGTCTTCAGTGTCTAAGAAGGCTCACCGTCTACTATGAGCCATTCGACAACTCACAGGACATTTCCGAGGCCGATGGGTACTCGCGAATCGCCAGCGTCTTGGAAAGGGCACGCAACCTGAGGGCGCTCCACGTGAAGGGCATAGAAACACTTCTGACGAGTCAGAACGGGCATATCCTCGGCAACGCCATCGCGTTACTAAATCATCTTCAAGAAGTCGTCCTATTCGACATCGGCGAAGAAAGCACAAAGCTCTGCGAGAGATTGACCTGTCATCCGGAAGTGGTCACCCTAGGAGGACTACGCATGGAGAACTCCATGTTCCCCGTTCTTCCCTTTCTACAGAACACGTCGACGATAATTCTCTATGGCGACATACATACGGCATACAGGGAAGCTGAAGTGCATCTACCTCTTCCTCCACCGACTACCCTGTGGCCCAACACACACGACCTACGTCTCAACAACATGGATCCGATGCAAATTGTCTCTCTCTGCCCTAATCTTGCATGTCTAGACGTGTCTTTTTGGTCCTCGTACACCCATAGCGCCGGTGTGTACGCAAGCTACAACCCAAGGGACGAAGACTACGCATACACCAGCAATACCGCCCTGATTCCTCCCATCACCGCGCGTCTGCGTGTCCTCAATGTTTATACGGACAGTTTTACGTCGTTCGATTTAAGCAGGACCGTCATCATGACAGTCCGTCTGACATATCCCGTGGTGCTCTCGATGCAGGTCAATTTCGGCAATATGGCGTTCTGGACGCAGCTCGCGGTGCTGGCCAAGCATCCAAACTCAAGGCTGCGATACCTCGATGTGCTGCTAGATGAGAGCAGTCCACTTGTGCAGAGTTGGCTGGTATGCCGTCTGAGACTCTCCTCTTTGACGACGTGTCTCACACTGCTGCCTTTCCTGCAGGACGAATGCCTCCCGCTGTTAGCTGACTGCGGGATTTTATGCGTGCACCTCAAATTCGTCAGATATGAGCACTATGTCCATTGGGGTGAAGGCTCCAGAGCCTCCAAGCCGCCAATCCGGGGGACTAGTTCATACTCGTTCAACAAGGCGTGGAAGAATCTGCGTGACGTGGCCTCGACCATACTCGTGGAGGCGATTCCCGACCTACGCTACGCTTTCGTGACATCTGGATACACAGTATTCCACCGCAATGGTCACGAAAACAAGCCAGTTGTTTGGCAGCCAGAGTGGGGACTCTACTGGCGTGTTGTGCGTCACAGCTTGGGGAAAGCTTCCGATTCCGAGTCGGCGGACGGTGATGAAGGACTCGACGGGTCGCGATTGGTAGGGATCAGCGACGAGGAGGGGCGGAGGATCGACGCGCTCATGCGTAGCGAGGACTTTGCGAGGACTCTGAGGTTCTAAAAGTGAGTACTTGCCATATAACATGCAGGTTGCGCAGTTGCAGATCACGCGGTGCGCAGGTGTATGTCTGTTATGCTATGGGCGCGATGCGCGCTGATGATCTGGTGATATTGGTAGAGTCATTCACAGTCCTCGTCTTAGTGTTGATTTGACGAAGTCCGTCTTTCTGTTGTAGCAACTCTGATGCAGGGAGCGTGACACCGAAATACTGTTCACTCGTTTGTAACACTCGTTGCTATATCCCATCGTGTAGACTTGTTACCTTTCTCCACAAGGCCGTTGATGGGCACAGCATCCCTTTAATCGTCGATACTGTGCGCTCCCCAAACTTATCGCGAGGCTGCATTCATCATCGTCCAGAAATCACATCGCTCGCTGGTCCGTCCCCTGAGCACCAGGTGTCGGCGTAGGAGAGACTGTGCTCGCCATCAAGCCGGGTGTTCCGAATCCGGGATGGTCTCGAGCTCGGTGCCAACACCAAGCCCATGCAAGCGTCTGTATATAAGTAAGTGGCCCACGACTTTTCAGCCTGAGCCAGATCGGCACCGCGTGAACGAAGTACTTATGTATGTACATCGACGGGACCGACAGATCGCTGTCAGGCCGACCAACCGCCAGTCTTGGGCCGCGCCACCGCCATCACACGAATTGATTACGTAATTGCACAACTCTTCCGAATGCGGCTATTGACAACATGCGGCTAAGCCGTCTTCTCTTGTCAGCTTCCCACTGGTTGCGTACCCTCAGACATATTGGACTTTCCTATTGTATGTATACCTCTTTATATGCGCTCCATGCGAAGTTGTGTCCAGTGAATGTTGAACACCACTGGCACTGGCAGAGCGGCCGACGCTGATCGATCATCGCCGCGGTTGCTTCAAGGCCTCTCCGGAAACCCCTGCCCAACCCACTCTAGCGACTCAACAAGATAACGGTGAGTACCAGTGTGTTCGTTCTGTCACACTCGTCATGACAATCATGCAGGTATCGTCTCAACAACTGGCCCATCAAGCATTGTCACCGAGCGAGCTGCGATAGCCAGTAAACTTGAACGGCAGGACTGCAATCACGACCAACTAGACAATTGAAGATCAATTCTGGCAAGTCTTACGGACAGGTTTCTCATTATCCGCTGAGAGGAGATCAATCTTTCACATCCCTGTAAGTGCTCGTTCGTTGAGCGGTGCATATGCAAGGCTAAAATTTGATGTCTTTCACCTTTCCTGAGGTTCGCACATTGGATGATGGTCGCTAGTATTCAAAATTTGAATGACGACATCCTCTTCATCATAGTCAAATTCCTCTCGCAGCGCGACGTCGGTCGGCTCGCATTGGCATCACGTACGATGAGTGCCGTCGCCCGGCGGCGCGTCCGCGAACAGACTCTTCCCAGAGCGTCGAATTCCACAACTTCATCCTCGGGGAAGACGGATACCGCCTTTGGTATCTGCGCAAGCTCACGATCCGCTTCTGCAACCGCCAGCATCGCAATCCAGCCGATGAGTACTCCCTGCTTGCTGCCGTCCTTGTACAAGCGCGAAACCTGCGTTCGCTTGTCGTGGCCTTTGATTTGCGGGACCCGATTATGGAGACTGAGTGCGGGCGTGTGCTCTGCGATGCCATTGATGCACTCCGTGACCTGCGCCGGTTCGTGCTGTACGGTATTACTGAGGACACTGTTGCGCTCTGCGAGAGGCTAACCTGCAAGCCGAAAGTAGTGCATCTGGAGGCTTGGGAGCCACTGCAGGAAGTGGAATATGATACGCTCGCCCACATACCCTTCCTGCGGAACACAGCGGAAGTGTACATGATCGACCTCGTGCTTCTGAACAAACCTGCCCCAGAACTACCTTCACCAATCTCGGCTGATCTGTGGCCTAGCACACACACCTTGCGGCTCAGCAACACAGATCCGTTGGCCTTCGTGAGGTTGTGCCCGAATCTTGCATGCCTCCATATAGCCTTCCTGTTGGTAACGCACGACAGCTCGGTGTTCCGCCCGGCCTACTACAGCTATACCCTTTCCTTCCCGGACAACGTCTCCGCACGCCTACGTGTACTCGAGGTCTTTGTCGAGCACGGTCGGTCCTGGCTCTATAATATCGTTATCGCCACAGTGTGCGCGACACATCCCGTGGTCTTCTCGATTCGGTTCCACTACGGCGACAGGGCACTTTGGAGGCGGCTTGCGGAGTTATTTGAGCGCCCAGGTGCGCGTCTACGATACCTCGACGTGCTGATGCATGACCTTGCCGACAAGGCGCAGAGATGGCTGGAGAGTTCTCACTGATTACCGTACCCTCCATCCCCATTCTGATACATTCCGCCACAGGACAAATGCCTCCCGCTCCTCTCCGCGAGTAACATAATCTGTGTCAGGCTCAAGCTTGTCGAGCAACTCAAGAGTGTCCGAGACGAGTTCCCCGGTCCTCAGGCTGACTCTGAATCCGAGTACGGAGACAGCGAGTGGGAGGCGCTGTGCGATGCGGCTCCTAGGCTGCTTGCGGAACGGATCCCGACTCTCCGCTACGCCGCCGTGTCGTGTGGGTACATGGTCGAGGACTTCGATGCTCCTAGATGCTCGAGCTACCGCGGACGGGCGCGGTGGTGGCGAGTTGTGTCGGAGTCCGGTGATGGGGCGGCCGAGGAGCGCGCATTGGAGTTGGTTGAGGTTAGTATGGAAGAGGGGCAGAGGCTGGATGAGTACATGCGCAGCGAGGCTTTCGCGGATACTTTGCAGCTTTAAAGTGAGTTAGTAACGCAGTGTTCAAGCTGTGCAGTGCTGACACTGTGATGCGTAGGTACCGTGATTGTACAATATCCGAATATGACCGCGATTCACTGGCACTCTACTTTGGTCGTGCATTCTGCCCAGGCTCATTCTGCGATGCGGGATAAGGATCCGTCAGCTGAGGCTACTCAGACGTCCACGCGTCACACATGAGGCCTCAAAACCGACGCTAGGACATGGTGAGTGCTACAGTCTGATACCTCTGTGCCGTGTGAGTGGACTGACCGGAACGAATTGTCAGCTTGACGAGGGCGTCGTCTGACGTCGACGAAGGGAGGTGCCATCTAACTTGTGTGATAGCTTTGCCCTCGAAGACGACCTTGTGTCGGAGACATGAGCGGGTGAGTATTATTTGAATGCGGCGGCTTCGCTCTACTGCAATCGACAGTCAGGCCGCGGCAGCTTGATAGAAGCATACTCCAAAGGGGCTTCCTGTACGTCTGCCCGAGTCGTTAGCGTTCGGACCCTTGGAATGTCCCAAATGCGACCGTGATTCTCGCTCGGAATGTAAGTTGCGCCTCGTATCGTATCCTGCACCCTGGATTGCTCACTGCCAGCCTAATAGTCGTGGATACGCGATGTCTCCAACCGTAGTCAGTGACGAGGAATGATGTTTTACCTTCGGAGCATATCAGCTGTACGTGTGTTATTTGAATAGTTCACAGTACGTGACTGATTCTGTGTGAAGAATGCCGGTGCTATCCTACATAGCATGAACGACAACGAATGACGGAGTGGACGGTAGTTCTTTCTCCTTTGGCGAGCGTCTCGTCAAGACTGCGCAATCTACAGCTTCAGTTGAGATTGCTCGCAGCTTAGCTGAAGGGCTCATGTCGCCAAAGCAACTTGAAACCGCTCGTTGCGGAGCCTGATCCCCCAGTTAATTCGAATTCAATGCAGCAGTAGCTGCACGAGCTTGCGGTTGCTGTCCAATGATGGCGAACGGAATGTTTCGACAGATTTACATGCTCAAAGTTCAGCGTTCATAGTCGGCCGCCCGTCACCATCTTCAAGTCGCAAGCCTGTGACGGTACGTTCCCATCGACTCCGCAACGTCACTTACTAACGTCGAAAACGTGAGGAGGAGCGTCTGTGGCTCGGCCGATGCGATCTGTTACATAATACAATGTGGCGTGCTGGGATAGGCAGATGCTCAGGAAGGTCACGACTTCTTGATACATACGGCGACCTACGTTACCGTAGCACAGAGTCTCAACATCGCCACGGTGAGTTCTTAAGTACTTGATTCTGAACCGACTTGTCGCTGATCTGACTGATATCTGTACAAGCCTGTGTGACGGACCCAGCATGGATGGAACAGGCTATGAGCACCTACCCACGCGGCACGACGTGCTGAACGCGGACATATGGTCCATGATCCTCTCCTTCGTCGATCTCGCCGACGCGCCGAGCCTCTCCCTCGTCTCCCGAGCTATTCACCCCCATGCTCGGCGTATTGTGCTCTCGTGCGCAGACATATTCCAGCAAGACCAGCTTACCAGGGCCTGCGCATTCCTGCTAGATGACCCGCATCATCGAGCATGTTGGTTGCGTGAGCTCCACATAGACGGTGACGCTCTGCAGGACCTGGAGGACCGCTGGGAGAGCGCGGAGGGGTTGGCGATCGCTGCACAGCTCGCAGAGCTCCTGCATGCGGCGCAGAACATCCACACTCTCGCGCTGCCCCACGTGGAATCGTTGTTGGAGGTGGACGCAGGCGTCGGTGCGGCTCTGATCTCGCTCAAACAACTCCAGGTCGTCAGTCTCTCTGGCATACTCACTGGCGCACTGGATGTCGCGAACAAAATGGCTAGCCGCCCTACGGAAGTGTATCTCAACTTCGCCTCGCCTTCATCATCATATGACATGGCCGAATATTTTATGCTGCTCAGCCACCTGACCCTATTCAGCAACGCACACACGGTGGAGGTCGTCTTCTTCGACATATCCCGCCCAGACAGGTTCGAAAAACCTTCAGACTTCAGCTTCGAGATCCCTCAGCTCGGCCAACACTCGACCGTACGCGAAGTCGGCCTCAGGTACAGCGGCCCCCTCCCGCTGTTCCACATCTTCCCGAACATGGAGGTCCTGCGCATGCGTTGCATGGACGAGACCTTCGAGAACTTCGACTGGCAGGACTGGGCGTGGACAGAGTCCGTCCCGCTTGTCGACGTCACGGCGGACGACGACGACCAGCTCGTGTGCCTGGCGGGCGCACGTCCGCCGACCCTCCGCCAGCTGCACCTCCACGCGCCTCCCTTACGCAGCCCTGAGGGCGACTTCAGCGTCGACGATCTCCGCCCCGTCTGCTTGGCGTTTCCCCTCCAGGAGTGGCAGGCACCGTGGAACTACGACATCCCCATCTGGGCCGGCCATCTCGAGGCAACTCCGAGCCCGGAATTCGGGAGCCGGCTACGCTACCTGGAGGTCACCCCCGACTGCCACACGCAAGAGGACATGCCCGCCTCGTGGGTGGTGCGTCGGCGCCCGTCTTGCCCGGTCCTCGCAGTGCTAACCCCTTCGTTTCCAGGAATGGCTCCTCCCCGCGCTCCGCGAATCCACCCTCGTCTGCGTGCGTCTCAACTTCAACGTCGACACCCCATCCGGGACGGTGACGAAGCTCGACGAGGTCCGGCGCACGCTCGTCGAGAACGTCGCCTCGCTCCGTTACATCTGCATCGCCGTCGGACGAATCCCGCAGTCCGATCTGCTCTGGGCGTACGACTCGCGTGTCGAAGGCGAGTGCACTTGGTGGCGCGTGCGCGGAAAGCGCGCATCGACTCAGAGCGCATCTCGCCCGAGGCCGGTGAGCGCGTCGAGGAGTATCTACGCTCGGCGGAGTTCGAACGGACGTTGAGTCTGGATGGACTTGTGTTGGACGATGGGTAGGCCTGGTCTTTCCTTTGGGGAGCATACTTATGTCGCTTGCTCTCTTGCTTCGATGGGATGTGTTGGCCCTTTGTTGTACCGAATGAAGATGCGTGCAAACACGAGTTCTCAACAGCCAACAAAATATCGTATTCGGCTTGCAGGTCCGTGCTCCATCAGTCAATCCGACGGACATATCTCTGCCACTCGAAGCTTGTGATTTAATTATGAGATGCTAAGCCTCGAGATACGGACGGGAGTGGGGGCTCACCATTCTCGCCTCTGATGAAGTTCGACGATAGAATAGCGGCCTGTGCTCAGTGCCTGACAACCACACCAACAAGCAACGACCCTGTCCAAGTCAACGCGTCAATTGTGGGCATTGCATGCTCGTGAACCTACGGCAGACATCTCGTGGACGGTGGACCCAGATCTATTCTATTTGGGCCTCGTTACGCTTCTGCCCACTCACTCGATTCGTTCTACGCAATCGCGGCTCCCTGAATCCGCGGACTCGGTGGCACCTCCGGTGCTCCTTGCAATCACTGTCCGTTACAATCGTGACTGAGTAGTAGTCTGAACGTTTCATGGATACTAGCTTTTCCACTTCACGCTGAACGATTATTCCCGTTGCGACCGACGTGTCATAAATTCTTGTCAATATGTAGTCCTTCTGGCTATGAATGTGGCACGCTCGTGTCGTGCTCCGAGCGGCGTATCCATGACTTCATCGAGTGTCCTCAATTGAGCATACCCACTGATCGTACTTGAACGCAAATCGGGATCACTTATCTTGAACACGTGCCCCTGCTAAGTTCTTCTTGTTGATGCAGCAGTACATCTTGACGCATACGGCGACATACTCGTACGTAGCACCGAGTCGCAACATCGTCACGGTGAGTAAAGAACGTCTGTACCATGTACTTGCTGTGATTTGTCGCTGATCTGATTGATGGATCTGCCCATATCAGCCTGGTGCGACCAGTATGGATCGAGTGGGCCACGGGTACCCATCAGTGAGGGCCGACGTGCTGAACGAGGATGTATGGTTCACTGTCCTCTCCTTCATCGATCCCACCGATGCGCCTAATCTCTCCCTTGTCTCTCGAACCATTCACCGCCTGCTCGCCGTATCATCCTCTCTCGTGCCGACATCTCCCAGAAAAGCCAGCTTTCCAAGGCCTGCGCCTTCCTGCTAGACGATCCGCGTCATCGCGCCTGCTGGCTACGTGAACTCCACGTACACCACAACGTCCTTCAGGACGTTATTGGTTGCTGGCGCAGCACGGAGGGTTCGTCGTTCGCTGGGAAGCTTGCCGGGCTCCTGCATGCTGCGCAGAATCTACGCACTCTCGCGCTGCCCGACGTAGAGTCGTTGCTGGTGGCTGACCCGTGCGTCGGTGAGGCTCTGATCTCCCTCAAGCAGCTCCACGTTGTCAGGCTTTGTGGCGTACTCATTCGGGCGCTGGACGTCGCCAACCAGATGGTGAGCCGCCCTTCGGACGTGTCTCTGGACTTCGACAAGCGCAGGCGGTGGGGCATCTTGCACAGCGTCAACGAGTATATCATGCTGCTCAGCCACCTAGCCTTGTTCAGCAACGCGCATGTGGTCGAGATCTCCTCCCTCGACATGCCCCCCCATGGCAGGTGCAAGCAACCGTCAGACTTCGACTTCGGGCTCCCACAGCTCGGCCAGCACTCGACCGTGCGCGAAGTCCGGCTCAGGCGCAGCGGCCCCCTCCCGTTCTTCCACATCTTCCCGAGCATGGAGGTCCTGCGCATGCACAGCATGCACACGTCCTTCGAAAAATTTGACTGGCGGCAGTGGGCGTGCACCGAGTCAGTCCCTCTGGTCGACGTCACGGCCGACAATGACGACCAGCTTGTGTGCCTTGCGGGTATGCGCGCCCCGACCGTCCGCCGGCTGCACCTCCACGCGGGGCCCTCACGCGGCCTCGGGGACGACTTTAACGCCGCTTGTTTACGCCCCATTTGCTTCGTGTTCGCCATCGAATGGTGGGACGCCCCTTGGAACACGGACCTCCCCATCTGGTCCGGTCCTCTTGAGGCTATCGCAAGCCCGGCATTCGGAGGGCGGCTGCGCTATTTGGAGGTGACCGCCAAGTGTCACCCGCGAGAGGAAACACCTGACTTAGGGGTGGTGCGTCGGGCCGTCGACGCTCATGGTGCACTGTCCTCGCGGAGCTGACCGCCTCGTTTCCAGGATTTGCGCCTCCCCGCGCTCCGCGAATCCACCCTTGTCTGCATGCGCCTCAACGTCGAAGTCGGCACACTGTCCAGGGACGTGTCCGAGTTCGACGGTTTCCGAATGACGCTCGCCAAGGCAGTCCCCTCGCTCCGCTACGTCTGCATCTCAGTCGACCACAACCCGCAGACCAATCCGTTCTGCGCACACTACACGGACGTTCATGGCGAATGCGCTTGGTGGCGCGTCCGTGGCCGAGCAGGCGTCGACTCGGAGCGCATCTCGTGCGAGGCCGGCGAGCGCGTCGAGGAGTACCTGCATTCGGCGGAGTTCGAGAGGACCATGAGTCTGGAGGGGCTTAGGCTGGACGATGGGTGAAGCTGGTCTTTCCTTTGTTGCGCATACGTCGCGTGCTCCAGTTCTCGTCATAGTCGTGAGTAACAGTTCCCTGCGATTGTGATCTAGGAATTGAACGGCAGGTTCTGTTCGACGTTCATGAATGAACGATGATTCCCCTCACTGGCAACAGTTCCTCTGGATACGAACTTGGCACCGCAACTCGTGTTGCGCTCCGGCAAGCGGCGAAATCACCGTTCACTTTCATCTACAGAAGTTCGTAGGACAGCTACGAATGGGCGACGTTCGCTGTTCCCGCATCATTTCAAAGACGGCCGCTGGCATCGCAGCGTCGGAGTCTGTCACGGACACTGCTGGGCGGTTGATTGCCTCTGACTCTGGTCGCCAGGAATGGCAAATGGAATGCCAGATCGACCGAAATGTGACGAGCAGGTTGAAATTAGACCCTCACTATGAAGCGGTGTCTTGAGCACCACGCTGCGTCGGACTCAAGGCTTAGACTTTGATCTATGCGAGGTCAAATCGTGACCTGAAGGTGTAGCAGCACCTGGTCGTCTTCCCCCTCGCTCAAGCCAACCGGACTACCCCTGTTCAGGCGACAGACGTTGCATCTCACGTCTGTGTTCGAAGCGACAGATGCGCTGTCCGTCACCGCACCATTGTGCGTTATCATTTGTCTGAACTCTAAGCAACGTTGGCTGTGCCGGCGTGCAATTGGACCACCCTGGGATTATATAGCCGCGACACCCTCGGAAGAGGGACGTGCTCAGTACTCGTCACACTAAGTATGTCTGATCTGCAATATGGATTGAACACATCTGTGGGTTTCATCTTCGATGGGGTTGCACTCTCCGTCATGTACGTAGGCAGCTCGCTACGTCCTCGTGACCCTCCTGACGGAATAACAGGCTTTACGGGATCACATTGGGTCAGGTCACGTACTACTTCAAGACTTACCAAGAAGACCCGCCACAAATGCGGCTCATGGTGCGTGCTCCGAGCCACCTTATTTTGCGTATGAACGTGCTAACGTACGAGTAGGTGGCCATACTGCTGTAAGTCGCTCACCGAGTCATCAAGGTCTGCCCGTACCGACACCAAGTTTCCACTGGCAGTGGGTGCGAGACGGTCAAAGTTGCGATGAATGTCAAGGTGCACTCCCTTCCTGTGCGCATGCTGCGCTTGAGGTCTGACGCGTAACACGCAGCTCTTCTGGTTGTCTTTGATTCTGCACCGCGCCGACAACTTTTCCTTCATTCGGTACCCGGTGTATGATCTCGTCGTCTCCACGTGGTGACTGGCGACTTACTGCTTGCGTCTTCCACATTCAGCACCCTTACCGTGAGTGTTCCATGCATCGACTTTTCTGTAGCAGCTCACCATACTTACCGCGGCGTAGATTCAGACCGTCTTTTCTGTGAGTGAGTCATTCGGCTGAGTAGATGTATGCTAATCATCATACTCCTAGTACGTCGTCATGTTCATCGTTCAATGGTATGTCCCGCCCTCTCTATGTCTAGATTTTGTCGCATATGCAGAACAGTTTCTACATTTTCAATATCAAAATAAGTGAGCGCCGTCAATGGTGCTCGGTGCCACTGCTCATCCACTTACCCGTAGTTCTCGCCCGCAAATGGTACTGTCGACCGGTCATCTACTTCGCGGTACGCCTTGCCGTGCTAACCCGAGCATACACCGTGCTGACGGTTTCTCCGGGGCAGGTATTGCTCTCTGTGGGGTCGCTCGGTGCGCTACTGCTCATCTTCCGCATTCAAGACCCTGAGCTGACCGACGTATGTCGTGTAGTGATCGGATGTACAAGTACCTTAGCTATATTCATATCTTGTCCCGTGAACCATCCGTTGACTGACGACGGTGTATGCTAGTGGTCAACTATGAAGCGTGCGTCTTCTCGTGTCCTTTCTCGAACATCGCACCGACTGAATATGCGCAGATATAACCATCCGGTCAACGCCTTTGACGTCGCTGGCCAAACACAGGTAAGTACATTCCCAGTAGACGTCCATACGCCCGAGGCTCAACTCGAGCATAGATGTTCGCGCTGTCGTCCCCGATTGTCACGCAGGCTGCGGACGTCTGGATCGCTGCATCCCTGTGCTACGGACTATACGGCGCGAGAAGCGGGTACGATGCGTGCGTCACGGTGTCGATGTATAACGTCCCGTTGTCCTGTTAATTCACGGCTCCCGACAGCACACGGAACATCTTGGTCCGACTGATCATGTACACCGCGAATCGCAGTCTTCTACTATGGTGAGTGCAAGAATAGTCATGTAAACGACGCTGGTGTTGACTGCGGACTTGAACATTATCCGCGGCAGTCTCCTCCAAGCCATCCAGGTCGTCATCGTGCGTGATAGCCGTTCGATACGTCAACCCCTACTTTTTCTCACGCACATACCACAATTGACAGTGGTCGCTGCCCGTCAGCTCCGTCCACGGAGCGACCTCGCTCATCTACTTTCCCCAGAGTGCCGGTGAGGCTTGAACGCTTGAATCTGTCGCTTTCAGCGCGGAGGACCATGTTGTCACTGACCTCCGTTCACCACTGTCTAGTCTATCTCAGTAGTGCACTGGCCATGTAAGTAAGCCCGGGCCGTTCTGCTGATCGCCGTCGCTCACCTCCCGTTGGCAGGCTGAACGTGCGCCGACATATTCGGTCTCGGAAGACGTTCGAGAGGACTGTTACGAGGCGAGTGGTCGGTACGCGTGCAGGCTGCGGATGTTCACGTCGATTGTTTTCAGGGCCCAGGTGGCGTTGCGACTTACCTGCGAGGAACCGTCCGCGGCCAATAACCTCACGGGTATCGGTGAGGTCTAGGGCTCGAATGAAGTAGCTACCCAGAACGTAAGAGTAGGCGATGATTGTACAAGTAAAACACGCCCGCTAAACTCGCGGCCTGACGAGCGAGCAAATTTGATGCTAGATGGTTCAGTACGTGCGATGCAGGGGTCACAATAGGGCCGATACAAAGGCTACGTGGCCCACGCCGCCGCCAGCGTGAGTAGGCGTGTTCGCGGGTCGTCGGATGATTCCATCCACGGGAACGTCACCCTTAAATTCCGTAGTACGGCCGTGACCCATTCGCGTGAAGCGAAGCACTTGAGCGGGATTGTGTTGCCATTGATCTGCTCCGCAATACCGGATCACTGACGATTTCAGTAGACCGCAGCGAATACGGTCAGACATGTACAACTGACAGCGTGTCGTTCAGTGCAAGCCCATCCAGGTTCAACTGACTCTCGAATTCATCATGGCCTGGATAGTGGCCGAGTCGGAAGCTGATACCACGAACCAAACTCATCCCGCGCCCTCATCAAGCCTGTGTCAGGTACCACTTGTAGGTTAATGGCTGCATTGACCATTCATCCTTCAGAGCCCGCCGCCGCCACGGTTGCAACAGAGACGGACAGGCGCACCACATGCCGCCAACCCTACTCATCGTCCAACCGAAGCCCATCCAGACTCAGCGACCTCTCGAAGTCCGCCGAGTGCAGATACTCCTCGACGCGCGCGCCGGCCTCGCACGAGATACGCTCCGAGTCCGACCCGCGCATGGTACGCCCACATCCGGACCTCGTCTGGAGAGTAGCATGACCGTTAAATTGTTAAGGTATTGACACGCTTACACGACGCACTCCTACGCACCTTCTGCACCCCCTCCGTCGCACCCTCCTTCGCCTGCTCCGCCACGCCCTTCAGCTGTCCGCCCGCCTCCGCCGCGGCCTTCTCCAGTAATCCCACCCTACGTACCACTGAGAACGAACCCGTCCAATGATAGCTTCCGCTCGAAGTCTGCAGAGCGCATGTATTGCTCCACCCGCTCGCCAGCCTCGTTCGATATACTCTCCACGCTTCGTTGGCCTGCATCCATATGCACGCGCCACCAAGTGAACTCCTTGAGTTCCTGTTCTGCAGAGGATGTGGGCTCCATGGTAATGCATATGAACTGGACCGAAGATACATGTTGTGCCACTCGTTGAGCGGCATCATGCATGGTCAAAGGTCGTTCGGATCGCAGAGTTGCTGACGCCCGGTCGACTCTGAAGTTGAGTCGCATACATAGGAGGCTGGAGTCGCGGTTGGACCGGCCGGTGGCCGGGAGAAACCATTCCTAACAGGGGAATCCTTGTGTGAGCGGGTGAGATGGTTCACTGTACTCGGACGCACCGTCCACAGCAATGGGCACTGGTTGTCACATGTACAATCAAACGTGACTTCGAAGTACCGCAGGCGCCCCTGGGGGCAAAGGACGGTTTGGAACAAACCAGCCCAGTTACTGAGGCTGCCTGGGCTTTGCATGTCGCGGAAAAAGGTGCATGATAGACAAATGGGTCTTGTAGATTGCAAGGTGCTGGCGAGTCGATCAAGGATATGATCAGATGAAGCATAGCAATACAGGTAGAGTCGACGAATCAGCGCCGTCGTGAAATGGACCAGCTCCTGAAATGAGACAGTAACGTCCAGAAGGGGCACAGATGCTGGCCACATCCATTTTTGCGGAGTGAACTTGAAGGCATGCGCGCGCAGTGTATGCATGTTGGGGAAGACATGGAACACGGGCAATGCCTCGCGACTAGTCAGACGGACCTCACGCACAGCAGGCAGCTGTCCAAGCTGCCCAAGGGGAAACTGGGCAGATGAATCCCTATCCAAGTCTGGATGGCTATTCAGCTCCACGGTGTGCACGTCGCGGAATAAGTCGAAGTGGCTCAGAGCGACGAGGTTGCCAAGCACCGAGGATCGTAGGTCAAACGAGAGCACCACTGTTGTTGGTCGGCTCTTCATCTGGCTTACTACATGGAGTGCACGAGATGGTATGTTTTGAGTTGAATAACCTTCAGGCCCTCCAACGATACGAGAGCGTCGCCGATGCGTGGTTCCACTTCGAGCAAATCATGCGTGAGAGTAAGAGCTAGGACACGAAGGTTTCGTGCCGAACCAAGGAGACCTGCCAACTGTTCACACAGCGGCTTGGACAGGCTTTTGGGCCGCGCATCCACGCGCTCATTTCTCAGGGCTCTATAGTGTATGTGGAGTTCACGAAGCCAGGAGGCACGAGACCGAGGATTGCCTAGCATGAAGGCGCAGATCTTCGCGAAATGGCCTGGTCGAGACGTCTCAGCACGCGACAGGATGACGCATCTGGCGATGGGGTGGATATGTCGAGACGTGAGGGAAAGACTGCGAGCGTCGTCCAGATGGACGAGCGATAGGATGATGGACCATACGTCTTGGTTCAACCGCGATGCCTGAGATTGCATTCTGATGCTACGCGCGATTAGTACAGAGGCGGGACAACAGAACGCAGGTACGACTGACGTGTGTGGCGACAACCCAGTGGTCGTCGTGAGTGGCTGTATAGGACCTTGTGTGCTGGATCGGCCGCGTGGTGGCAGTACTTACAAGTAAGGTAGCGGCGGTGGCTGAGCCACACCGATTCGGATCGACCGGCGATCACGCTGCGAGCGAGAGCACAATAGACGTTTGTCGTCTCTTAAGGGTAGAGATCACTTGCGCAATGCGCATGCAGATTCAAGTTCAAGAAGACGTGTGAACACAGGCCGAGATTCGAGTGATTCCGGTAGAATTGAGCTGCAACTAAGTTGACCAACGACGGCGGTACTTATGCTACGCTACACCGCTACCGCCGCCAACGGATCCGCACAAAAATGCACTACCTTCCCCATCCTTTTGCACACGCACACGCAGACACGTCAAACAACCAAGCTCTGGGACTCCCACTGGGAGGCTGTTCCGGAAATGATACCCCCTCCACATTCAGCACTCCTTCAAACCACTGAACGCCTCGCGAAGGTAAGCTGAGTGGACAATGCGATCTCAACGAACCCCATGAAACAGCGCCCAGTACCGGGAGCGAGGACAACTTCTCTTTTACACGACAGCCGCCGACCGCACGAGCCCAGCCCGTCGTCGTCTCGCATTAATCCGACACCGAAGTAACATATTCGACTCTTGCGAGGTCCGCCGCGACGAAGAGGAGGCCGAGGATCGCACATGATCGGTGGAGAACAGCTTGACAGGATACGACGCTGACCGCGGAAGCGGTTGCTCTTCACAGGGATTTCGATCCGGAAGCCCTCGACATGACCATGTATGCTCCATCACTTTATATGATATTGCGACGACGGCGCGTCGTCTGTCTCTGATATTATAAGATGCTCACCGACGAGACGAGACCGCGGTACGGGACACATGAGAGGGCAGTGAAGCACAGACCATCTAGGACTCAGCCAAGACGAACCCATCCAGGCTTAACGTCTCCTCAAACTCGGCCGAGCGCATGTAGCGATCGACCCGCGCCCCAGCCTCGTCCGAGATCCACTCCGCGCATCGCTCGCCTGTGTCTGCGGACGTGGTTATCCGCCACCAGGTGCACTCCCCGAGGACACGAATCCGGAGACTAGACTCGGTAGACGCGTCATGGGCCTGTACCCGGCAACGGTGCAGATGTATCGAAGCGAAGGGACGAAATGGATCAGCCTGCAGCGGGCTGCGTCCACCTCGTCCCGCTGCGCCTGGGGCGGCAACCCCGGGGAGCCGAAGCGGGGTGCGCGGTCGAAGTTGAAGTGCACTTTGACGCACACGATAGCAGCCGGCGCGAGGAGGGGAATGAGCCACTTCTATGATCGTGGTCAGCGAGGCGAGAGTGAAGGATGAGTAGATGCACCACGAACGGCAGCGGCTTCTCCGCACGCCGGAAAGACAACACCTCGAGCTCGAGGCATCGCAGCCTCCCTTCGGGGCCCAGGTTCACTGTCAAGAACGACGCCCAGTGTTTCAGCGAGGCGGGCTCTCGAGGCCGACGCACACCAGTGCCGACGGACAGGTAGACGGGTCTCATCGCACGCAGGGGGCCGAATCCATCTCGCCGTGTCCCCGTGTTAACGTCCTGCCGATCCTGGAGTGCAGCCAGCGGACGGACGCGCTCGTAAAGCCACGTAGCACTGCCACTGTCGCATTGACCTCGACCAGAGGCATGTGCTGCGGCCACACGCATTGGTCCCATAACGGGTCATTGATGTCCGTCAAATACAGCGACTGCATACTAGGGAACAGCCGGTGCAAGGGGAGGATACTGCCCCCGTTGCCAAGGCGGACTATACGTACGCTCGGATGGCTGCTAAGATGCATATCAGAGCGGTACAGATCACCTGCGAGGGGCCCGAGGCAATCAATCTGCATGGCGTATGCCTTGTCGAACAAAGGCAGGTTGCTCAGCGAGATGAAATCCAGGTAATTCGGTACCCAGGAGGAGAAGGGCCTCACGAACTCGAGGGTCACATCCGAGGGGCGACTCGTCATCTTTCTGGCGAACTCCAAGGTGGGACGAGACACACCGGCGAGCTTGATGGTGTGGAGGTGCGCCAAAGAACTGAGAGCGCGGCCGAAGCGCGGCTCGACTTGGAGAGCCCTGTCCATGTCGCCGAGCGACAGAACACGGAGGTTCGGGGCTGCCTCGAGTAGGTTGGCCAGGAAGGTGTGCACCTGCAACGGTTCACGTTCAGGCTCCTCTGCGGCACGCTCGTAGTCTGTCGCAGGGATGGAGACGCAGAGCTCGTGCAACCACCAAGCGCGATCGCGGGGGTCGGCGAGCATGTAGGAGCACACCGTCTGTACTTGAGAAAATGTGGACGGTTCCGCGCGAGACAGGACGACGCATCGAGAGAGCGGACATATGTCGCGAGACGTGAGGACGGAGTGGCGGCAGCGGTGACTATCATTAAGCCACCCGAATTCGGAATGACCGATCACGCTGCGAGTGCGTAGTACACTGTAGTACATTTGCAAAAGTGCAGAGTCAAGTCCGAGAAGACATGAGAACACAGGTCGCCAACGGAGAATATCTCGCGATCCAAATGTAGAGGTTCGAGTAACATCTCGCGAGTGACCTGTGCAGACAAACCGCTCTCAAGGAACCCTGGCACGAAACAACGACCAGCGCCGAGCCCACGCGTCCATACGACACCTCGAGCGATAGCATAGCGTTGAATAACTAAACCAGGAGCGAGGACGACTTCTCTTTTACACGACCGCCGCCGACCGCACGGTGCCCAGCCCGTCGTCTCGCATTAATCCGACACCGAAGTAACATATAACTCTTACGGGCCAGACCCAGATCCGCTCGTCCGTGTCCCTCTGCAGCCAGACAGCCCAACGCGCACCGCTCACAGCAGGTCGCCCAGCGCTGCCATCTCCGGACCGCCGGCCTCCTGCGCAGCGAACGGACACCGTCAGATATACACAAAGAGAGGGAGAGGAGAGAAGCACGCACCCGCATGCCGATCTCCCAGTAGCTGTAAATGATCGTGACGGCCATGAGGATACCCGTGCCGCTGCCGATGGCGCCCATGAGGTCCGCCGCGACGGAGAGGAGGCCGAGGATCGCGCCGCCGAGCGCGGCCGCGGTGGGCACGACGCGCTTGAGCTCCTTGTACATCGAGCCCTCACGGTGGCCCGCCATCACCTGCGCAGTCGTCAGTCAGAAGGCTGGGCGAACGGAACGAGAACAGGAGGAACGCACCATCTGCTGGTCCTTGAGCTGCTTCGCGATGTCGCGCGGGCCGCTGCCGGAGACCTCGATCCACGTCTTGGAGAAGATCGCGCAGGCGGTGACGATGAAGCCGATATAGACCGCCGTGTGGATCGGGTCGAGGAAGGCCGCCTTGAGCGTGTGCGGCGGGGACATGTAGTACGCGATGCCCGACACGGCCGCGAGCTGGTGCGAGTCCTCCGTCGGCTGCCGATGCTTGTACGTCAGACGCGGTCAGAGGTGAAACAGCGGACACACGCACCTCCCAGATACCGAGCAGCTTGACGAGGAAGTTGTCCGGGAAGCGGCTGGCGAGCATCTGCGAGACGATGAACACGTTCGACGTGAGCGCACTCTCCAGCATGATCGGCATGTTGCTCGTGTAAAACAGCTTGACGGGGTACGAGCCGCGCTGGCCGCGGAAGCGGTTGCTCTTCACCGGGATCTCGATCCGGAAGCCCTGGAGGTAGATGACCACCACGAAGACGACCACGGTCGCGATGAGGTTCATGATGTTCGGCAGGCGCTCCCGCCAGAACGCCTCACGGAGCGCACGGCCCTTGTCGTTCCAGGTAAAGAGCAGGTGGAAGAGCGAGACGACCGCGCCCTCGAACTCGGGGCCGCGCCCGGTGTTGATCGTCGTCGGCGAGAACGCCTTCCAGACGATGGACTCGCAGATGTTGGTCGCGATGAACAGGGAGATGCCCGAGCCGAGCCCGTAGCCCTTCTGGAGGAGCTCGTCGAGGAGGATGACGATGAGCGAGGCGGAGATCAGCTGGATAATGAGGAGGAGGCAGATGCCGGCGCCGAGGTCATGGGGTTGGCCGTAGAGACCGGTGAGCACGTAGACGGTTGCTTGACCGAGGGAAATGATCAGGGCGAACACTGTGCAAAGCCCGTGAGCAGGTGGAAGCGGAAGACAGGAAAAGCGCGTTGTGCCGGAAGAGGCCCAATGAATTATCCAAAAAAATAAGGGAGCGTTTAGAAAGGCCCGATGCAGCACAGATGAGGTCCTTGTCCAGCTGATGACATGTGGCAAGACCGCACACGCAGAGATGAATTCTCCACAAAGCCTCGAAGCGCCGGAGTGGTGTAGTCCACCATCCGGGTCCATCGCATACTTTCTCGCCGTTAGTAATAGGAGCGGCATATCATTACAGCTAGGTCCATATCGTTGGGCCCCGCCCCGAAAGCGCGTATAGGAGTGGAGGTCGTCGCAAGTTGGTATTCAACAATCCGGGCACTGTGCCGCTCAATCTGGGCCACCGTAGCCACAGTCGCGGCGGCCTGGCTCAGCCTAGCCGTCGAAGTCCGCTGCGTCCAGCACGATCCCATATCAAACCCGCTGGACTCCGCCGATGTGTGTTTGAGAGGCGCGGAGCCCAACGATATGGACTTAGCTGTAAATCCTTTCCCTACAATCGTCGGCTGGCCGAATGGCAGAACCGGGTAGGTCATCCACATCCACTGTGGTACTGTCCTCCTGCAGCGGGACTACAGGCAGTGTGATGCGCGTCCGTCCGAAGACTGCGAGTCCACGCCAGTGCCAGTAGGCAGGCTACTAGATGCTCTGGTCGTGCCCGGCAAATGACTTCGCAGCGTGCTATGACCTGTCTCTGAGAGACCTAGCCACACGTCTGAAGCCGCAGCTGCCCACGCACCCTCAGACCGACACAAGTGGTGCAGTGTAAGGCTTCATCCCTCCATCCCGACGGGGATGCCCGCCGAATCCATGCTTGATCTCAAGTCCGAACAACGAATCACAGCATGCGCAGAGGCCTGATTTCATCGCGGATGAAAGCCCGAACCTGGCATTCGAGGCTCAAGCATCTCCGGGAGTCCTAGGACAGAAAATGCCAGGTTGTGTGTGCCTCCTCACCACCTCTCGCCCTCCCAAACCGCCGAGACAAAGTCAAGACTCACACTTTTGGGCGCCGCTGAACAGCGCGCGATCGTCCTTGAGGGAAAAGTCGACGTCGATGAGGTTTGCGCCTGCGAGGAGCTGCATGATCATCCCGGAGGTGACGATGGGGGTGATACCGAGCTCCATGAGGGTGCCGCGGTTGGAGGCGAGGATGACACGCATCCAGTAGAGGGGGTCAGCGGAGTCGGACGACATGATGCCGTAGAGGGGGACCTGGGAGCAGACCAAGAAGATGAGGAGCGTGACGGCCGTCCATAGTACTTTTTGGTTGAAGGGGACCTGCGGGTGGTCGCATCGTCAGTTCTCCAGGCTGAGGATGCGGGCGCACCTTGCGGTCGGGCGACGAGACCTCTGGAAGAATAGGGAGGAATGGCCGGACGAGGTTGAGGAACCGAACTATCGGCGGGTCAGCATTCGAGGAAGGTGAGTATTTCTGGGAGACTTACAACCGCTCATGGCTGGAAGAGTGAAGGGGAACCAACTCAAACGAGCGGCGGAGGTCAGAGAGTTGTATGCGTTGGCTCACAGGCGCCCACACGTAGCCACCGTCCCACTGACCTGGCACACAAATATGCCATAACACCTTCCCAGAGAGGTAACCCCGAGGCTGCCCGAGGTACTACCTTCCTGGCCTCTCGTTCTCGCGTCAGACAAGGATATCCTGAGGCACGAAGGTTGAAGGAATTGTCTACGTCTGCCTGGGGACACTAGTTCTTGCCACCCTACGTATGTACTTTACTCTGAACTGCCGTGCTCGCGGTACACGCACTAATCTTTCTATCTGTTTCATTAGCTGGAACGACTTGCAACTCCATGGCTTATCCCATTCAACAGTACAAATGGAACGATCTCGTATGGTCTGCCATCCTCTCTTTCACCCAACTCGACGACGCGCGCAGTCTGTCCCTTACGTGTCGCGATATATATCCGCTCTCTCGACGCGCCGTCCTGTCTCGCGCGGAGCCATCCACATTTTCTCAAGTACAGACAATATGCTCGTACAAGCTCGCCGACCCCCGCAATCGCGCCTGGTGGTTGCACGAGCTCTGCGTCTCCATCCCCGCGAAATACTGCTCGCGCGTCACAGAGGAGCCTGAGCCGTTGCCGGTGCACACCTCCCTCGCCAACCTACTCGAGGCGGCGCCGAACCTCCGTATTCTGTCTCTCTGCGACATGGACAGGTCCCTCCAAGTCGAGCCACGCTTCGGCCGCGCTCTCATCTCCTTGAGGTGTCTCCACACCCTCAAGCTAGGCGGCATGTCTCGCCCCACACTGGAGCTCGCCAGAAAGATGGCAAGTCGTCCCTCGGACGTGACCCTCGAGTTCGTGAGGCCGTTCTTCTACTGGACACCGGACTGCCGGGACATCGCCTCGCTGAGCAATCTGCCTCTGCTCGACAACGCACACACCGTGCACATTGATTGCCTCGGGCCCCTCGACGGCCGTCTGTACCGCTCTCGCATGGATCTTGGCAGCCATCCGAGCGTGCGCAAAGTCCGCCTCGGCAGCGGGGGCAGCGTCCTCCCCTTGCACCGCCTCTTCCCCAGCATGCAGTCGCTGTATTTGACGGACATCAACGTCCCGTTCTGGGAACAATGGGCGTGGCCGCAGAACGTGCCTCTGGTCGAGGTCAACGCGACAGTGGCAGCGCTCAAAGGTTTCACGAACGCGACCGTCCGCTCGTTGCACATCCAGGATCGGCTGGACGTTAACACGGGGACACGGCGAGATGGATTCGGCCCCCTGCGTGCGATGAGACCCGTCTGCCTGTCCGTCGGCTCTGGTGTGCGTCGCCCTCGAGAGCCCGCCTCGCTGAAACACTGGGCATCGTTCTTGACAGCGAACCTGGGCCCCGAAGGGAGGCTGCGATGCCTCGAGCTCGAGGCACTGTCTTTCCGGCGTGCAGAGAGGCCTCTGCCGTTCGTGGTGCGTCTACTTATTCTACTTCACTCTCGCCTCGCTCTCCCACGCTGACCGTGATCCTAGAAGTGGCTCCTTCCTTTCCTCGTGCCGTCCGCTCTCGTCTGCGTCAAACTGCACTTCAACTTCAACCGCGCACCCCGCTCCGGCGCCCCTGAGCTACCGCACCGTGCCCAGCAGGAGGTGGACGCGGCTCGCCGCATGCTCGTAGACTCCGTCCCCTCGCTCCAGTACATCTGCATCGTCGCCGGGTACAGACACCCCGACGCGCCCTCCGAGTCTGGTCTCCTTATTCGTGTCCTCGGGGAGTGCACCTGGTGGCGGATATCCACGTCCACAGACACGGGCGAGCGACGCGTGGAGCGGATCTCGGACGAGGCTGGGGCGCTGGTCGATCGCTACATGCGCTCGGCCGAGTTTGAGGAGACGTTGACCCTCGATCGGTTCGTCTTGGCTGAGTCCTAGATGGTATGTGTTTAGCCATCTCGTGACGCACCCTACTCGCTGAGCGACATGAAGACAGCGCCAACGCAGTGTTACTTGGCGCGAGCGAGGCTTGGAAACCTGTCGAGCCGCGCAATCGCGTGGGAGGTACACGGCGCGGAGAACTGGCATCGTGAGGCTTGGAGGCGTATATCAGTTGAACTAGGTGATTGAGATGCAATGCGACTCACTTGTGCGCTGTCGGAAGGTAGCAAGACAGTGCGTTGGTGGGTGTCTCGAGAGTTGAGAGACAGACGACGCGCATCGTTAATTCATGGTACTTAAACCGTGCGTAGTGTACTTCAATCCAGTTCATGTCTGGAGCAGTCCTAGTCATCGCCGACACACTTGCCCGGATACTGAACACTACTGATGCGAGTCGTGTTGAAAAGTCCAAGCCCCCAGTCGAGCGACGACTCGGAGCAGCCGACCCATGATCCTGTTGAAATCGCGAGACGGTCTACATTGACGACTTGTGCTCACATGCATCATGATGTCTCGAAATTGAATGCGCAAGTCACGATCTCACTCGTGATCGACGGTCGTTGCGAATCCCGGTGGCTCAGCCACTGCTGCCATAGTAGTGCACGACTATCACGCGACTGGTACGTTACACAAGGTACTACACATCCACGACGACCACGGGATTGTCGCTGTGCACGTCAGTCGTAGCTGCGTTCTGCTGCCTCGCGTCTGTACTAATCGCTCGCAGCTTATTATTGATAACAGAATGCAATCTCAGGCATCGCGGTTGAACGAAGACGTATGGTCCATCATCCTATCGCTCGTCCAGCTGGACGACGCTCGCAGTCTTTCCCTCACATCTCGAGCTATCCATCCCATCGCCAGGTGTATCGTCCTGTCGCATGTTGAGACGTCTCGATCAGGCCATCTCGCGAAAATCTGCGCATTTATGTCAGGCGATCCTCGTTCTCGTGCCTCCTGGCTTCGTGAACTCCACATACACTATGAAGCCCTAGCAAGGGCCTTAGCGCTGCCCAAGCTATTGTTCGAACAGTTGGCAGGTCTCCTTGCTGAGACACGCAACCTCCGCGTGCTAGTTCTCCCCCTCGTGGACCGTTTGCTCGAAGTGGAACCACGCATCGGCGACGCTCTCGTATCGCTAGAAGGCCTGCAAATTGTCACACTCACACACGTGGAATCTCGTACGCTCGACGTAGCCTCGCGGATGCAGAGCCGACCAAGGACAGTAACGCTCGCGTTCGGTTTCGACACCTCGGTCGTCAAGAACCTCGTTGCACTGAGCCATCTCGCCTTGTTCCGCAGTGCGCACACACTGCATCTAAAGGGTTATAAACCCCAGATGTCCGAAATACTAGGCCAGGATCCGTTCATCCAGCTTGTGCTCGGACAGCTCGGACAGCTTCCTACCGTACGCGAGGTCCACCTATCCGATTGTGAGGCATGTCCGTTGTTCTACGTATTTCCCAACTTGCAGAGACTGGAAATGCTTGGCATATGTCAACCCCTCGAATTCTCTCTCCGTAATTGGATGTGGCCGGCATCTGTCCCTCTGGCGGATGTAGCCATTTCGTTCGAGGATCTGATCCATTTCACAAGAGCGCCAATTCGTCGACTCCTCCTGCATCGTACCCACGATTCCTCCAATCCGATCGTTGGTCGACTCGCCGACGCCTTGCAGTTTGCAAGACCCGTTTGTCTATCATTCGACTTCTCCTACAAGGACCACCCGCACAGCCCCAGCAACCTGAGGTGGATCGATTTCTTCCGAATGATCCTTCGCCCCAGTGTGGGGCGCCTACGGTGCCTCGAACTTACGTTCGATTGCAGACAGCCTGAGGATGACCAATCCTTATGGATGGTGCGTCTGAATGCAGGGAATGATCTCGCACGCTCACACTGACTGTCTCCCCTGATAGGACTGGCTCCTCCCAGCCGTCACCCAGTCCAGCCTCCTATGTATGCGACTCAACTTCAAAGTCGGCAAGACACCAGAGCCATCCAGCTGGCAGCGGAGTATGCAAAATACCGCTCGACGAGTTGCTGAAAATGTGCCTTTGGCCCAGTTCATATGCACTGGCATCAAGCCCGGGTGGCCCCGGGCCAACGTGCGCGAGACATGCACTTGGTGGCGCGTACGTGGGGAAAATGCGAGCCAGCGATGCGTGGAGAGCATGTCAAACGAGGCGGGTGAGCAGGTGGAGCGCTACATGCGCTCTGCGGCCTTTGAGCAGAAGTTATCGTTGGACGGGTTCGTTTTCACCGGTGCGTAGGGTACAACGATCCGGATCCGCGCGTTTCGCAGTCTTCTAGTGTATTTCCATAGAATGGCTCTGTTTACGTGCGTGTACCACCCGAGGATATCGACAACGCACATATATCACGACTCACAACGACCGGTGAACATCACATCAATCCCGCGCCAGCGTAGCAAAGTCATAGCTGCGCAGAATACACATGCTGCTCCGAAAACAACCAAGCATCCAATTATAGTGGGCAACACACGCTCACCGCGAAATATATGCTACTTGAGAGATCACCGCTACCTCGCATCGCGCCACGCTGCTTGACCATCACGAAACCTTCGTCCCCGACGGACTACCGCTCTTCTGAGCTTCTACGATCTCGCCGTCCTCCATGTCCTCCGACGTGCTGTGTACACTCTCATAGTCGATTCGCACGTAGTGCGGGTGGCCTAGGGAGGAAACGTCCGATCGGTCAGCACACGCGCAAGGAAAAGAAGATACCCGACGTACATTCTTCCGGACGCAGGTCGCAATGCGTCCAGAACTGCCTCCAGAACTCGCCGACGTCCGCCTTCTTCACCAGCTCGTCCTTCACTCGCCTCGTCATATTACTCCGTCCCTCGTGCTTCATATCGCTGTAAAACAAAGCAGCCGTGGTCACGACATTGCAGGCCCAGACGCAGAACACAGATACTCACAAATGGCCGAGGAACCCCACCATGCTGAACCACCGACAGTCGATCGGGCACTGGAAGTCGTTGCCCTCCCGCCGGAGCGGGAGACTCACCTTCGGCGGCGGCAGCTTGATCCCCTGCTTCGCCGCCTCCTTCTTGAACTCCCTCTTCTTCTCCCGCTCCCGCTCCCGCTTGCGCCTCCGTCTCTCTGCCCTCATGCGGTCCTTCTGGAGCTCCTCGTCAGTGAGCGCAGCGCCCTGCGGCGTCAAGCGTGAGCTTGGGCCGGCCACTCCCACGCTCGAGGGCGGTAACAGAGACGTTTCCGGCGGAGGCGGTAGGATAGGCAGCGGCGGCGGTGGATGCGACGGCTCCGGTGGGCTGGCGCTCATGCGACCGTGCGTCGCACTGAAGCCCGACACTGTATGCGCAATAGCTCCTGTCCCAAGCCCCGGGCTACGAAACTTGCGCGTCACCGAGATATCGCCTCCCGGGGGTACACCCTGCCACGGCGAATAGCTATGCGACACCGCACTTGAAGAACCGATCACTGTCTTCGGTGGCTGCGCTGGAAGGGGCGGCGGAGGCAGAACGGGTTCACTGGGCTGTGATGCCGCTGGCCGTGGACTGTACGACGCACTAGCTAGAGGTACATGCCAAGCCTGCTTCGCTGGAGGGGCCTGCGACGGGAGAGGAGGCGGTGGAGCAGCCGGCTCTGGTGGATGCGCACCGCAAGTCACGCCATTCGGTATCGTATCGCCGGGCGGAAGCGGCGGCGGTTCGCTCTTGGGTTGTGGGGGCCCGACCACGTCTATCTTAGCGGGACCAGTATGGTAAGTTTTCAAAGAACCCGAGTGAGCGGAGGTAACTGGTTTAAAGGACGAGCCCGTACTGGCGCGAACACCTGAAGGAGGTGATGGGCAAGCCGTCAGAGTCCCAAGGACGGGGGCTTGTGAAGTAGTTTGCGCTGAGTCCAGGGCTTCACCCTTTCTTGCGGCTGCAGAGGCTGAGCGCAGAGGCGTTTCTGATGAGCGCGGAGAGGCCGTCTGTAACGAAGTCAACGCCCGAGGTCCTTTAGGGACCGGGCGGCCCAAAACAGAGTCGAGCGAGGGGGAGGGTAGACCGGGATGTCTTTCCTGATCGCACGGAAAGAAAGAGCCTCGGATGCCCTGTGTAGATGCACCCGCCGCCTGCGACGCGGGCAAGCGCATAGCCCCACTTTTGCCTCTGTCCGGTGCCGTCGGCGAGGAGCTTACGGGTTGCGTATCTGTTCGTTCTTTGAGACGCGGTCCCGCTGGGAGCACAGATGCTGGTTCCGCGCTTGTCGACCTCGACGCTTTGCAAGCGAGAGTGGCGGAGTTACTCGGTGGTGGATTACAACTTTGCACTATCCACGGAGAGGGCGGTCTCGTGGTCAAGTCCATGGACTCATCTTCCTCTAGATCCATGTCGACGTCGTCGTCCACGGCCGAAGACACCATGACGGGCGGCGGAGAAGGATGGGAAGAAGGGACATGCGTGCTCATTGCACTCGAGAGCTGCGTGCTACTAGTCTTGGACATCGTGAGCATAACTCTGACGGAAAGGGCCTAAAGACTTCGCCGTCCTCGCGCAGACAGTCAGGCTCACCTCGTTCTCGACCTCTTCCGCCTGTATCCCGATCTCGCACATCACCCTCACCACCCTAATTCCGCACATGGCACAACAGAGCACGGGGTGCGCGCAGCTGACCACTGGTACGCTGACAGCAGCCCGCCTTCTGGGTACGGTATATCCCCGGCCGTGCTTGCGCGAGAAAGTGAAGCCAAACTGGCCTGCGTGTGTCGGAGGAGTCGCGGGTGGTGGTGAGGAAGACGGAGACGACTCGGGATCCATGTCGGCATCGCCGCCATGCTCGGGTTCAGAGTCGAGGTCGCTCTCTGCGTCTGAGTCCTCCCAGCGCGCGGGGAGCAGGCGGCTCGTAGCCGTCCGCATGAAAGGGAACGGTGTGAAGCTATCATACGCGTCCATTCGTTAGCACAGCACCACCAGCGCGTCCAAGAAAATAGCGACGCACCTCGAAGTCCCTACGTCTCCCACTGCCACGTCAGTCGCCCATCCGAGGCCGGCCTTTGTGTCTCCAGGGCTCGCGTGCACGATGTCCGGATGCGGGAGGTCGTGCGCATCGGTGTCACTTTCGAGGGCAGCGTCGAAGGGGTACGAAGGGACGAACCGCTTCTCGTACCGCTGGCCGAGGGCGGACTGGAGCTGCCGAAGCCGTTTGCAGGGGAAGACGTTCGTGTCGCGCTCGTCGTCGCGGGCCAGTTCGAGCACTCGCTTCATGTCTGCTTTTGTTTCCTGGCTCACTGAGACATAGGGAGTCAGTAGAAACGTTTTTACGCGCGAGGGCGCGGTATGCGATGAACGATGGTGGTGGTGGTGGACAAAGCTGCGCGTCTCCGCTGTGAACGCGTCCGGGTCACGCCACAGACGCGTCTCTGTCTCAACCTTTTGCCGGCTATGTATCTACGCCAATATTGTAGGACTGTCGTACACAATTACGCTGCCTCGAGACTACTACGTGGCAATACAATCCATGTTCCTCCGCGTCTCAAAGGTGCAAGGTCGACACGCATCTGCTAATTCTCGGACGCCCAACCCCTTGATCGTCTTGTTGGTCCATAACACTTGCAGAATATCTAACATACTCGTATTTTGTACTCGAGCACCCAGACAAGCTGCTTCTATAAGGTCGCCAGCACCGACTACTGCAGTCATCCAGTCGGCGAAGCGAAGTCGATTGAACCACATTCTAAGTGACTACGTACGGTCTAAGTACCACCATTGCGTCTCACACGGCGAGAACGCGGCGGCGCATGTTGTTCTGTCTCTCGTAACCATCCGTTCAGTAGCTCGGTGGCTCGGTACACCGTCGTCTCACGCGCCGAGCACCTGTCGCGCCTGGAGAGTAGCATGACAATGAAAACATTAAGTCAATGACACGCCTGCACGGCACGCTCAGATGGGACGTAACAGCTCACATACTTGAGATCGTGGTCGCGCCGCCCGTCCCTCCCGCCCTCTTCCTCCGTCTTCCGCCCAATCACCTCTCCAAACCCACGCACCTTCTGCACGCCCTCCTTCGCAGCCTCCTTCGGATGCTCCGCCACGCTCTCCAACTGCCCGCCCGCCTCCGCCGCCGCCTTCTCTCCAATGCCGCACTACGTACCGGGGAGAATGAACCCATCCAACGATAACTTCCGCTCGAAGTCCGCAGAGCGCATGTAGCTCTCCACCCGCTCACCCGACTCGTTCGACATGCTCTCCACGCACCTCTGGCCCGCGTCGCCGCGCACTCGCCACCACGTACATCCCTCGAGGACCCGTCTATGGTACTGACGCGGATCGTACGAGCGCGGACCCATGGCGACGCACACGTATTGGAGCGACGCAACACGAGCCGCGACCTGTCGAGCGATATCCGGTGCGCTCTTCTGCATTTCGTCCAGCTCGGACGTCGTCGTACTGCCGACGGCGAAACCGAGCCTCACGCCGACGAGGCTAGACTGCGCGATCACCGGAAGGAGCCACTCCTGGCAGGAAAGAACGGTCAGCGAGAGCGGGCGGTACGGTACGTACACGCTCTCGGCGGACGCACCATCCATGTGCAGGGCATCAAGCGTCCCCTTTTGCTAGTGTTGCACTGAAAAGTGACCTCCAGATGGCGCAGACGCCCTACCGGACCAACGATATCACAGAGTAGACCTGCCCAAACGCTCAGGCCCTCTAGTTTGTCAAATTGACTGAGCTGGACGGACAAGAGAAGGGGTCGGATGGACAGAAGAGCGCTCGATAAGCCAACGACCTTGCACGCGCGTTGCCAATGAAGGTACAGACGACGGACGGACACACCTGCGAAGCACTGGAGCTGGTCGAGTGAAGCCGTAAGATTGACCAGCGGCATGGACACCGGCCACGCCCACTTCTGCGGAGTAAAGTCGCGAGGATTATGTTCGTCGTGAAAGTGAAGTTTTTCGATGTTGGGAAAGAGGTGGGTATCGGAGGCGCGCCGCAACGGTAGAGGCAGACCTCGCGCACAGTTGGATGTTGGCCGAGGTCGCCGAGCTGAAGCTTGAAGTCCGAGAGACCCAAACGGAGGTCCAACCATTCTACCGTGCGCGCGTTCCGGAGCAAAGGAAGATGACTGAGAGTGACGAAGTCCGGCTCTGGCATGAATGAGAGGACGACTTCTGACGGACAACTCTTCAGTCTTCTTGCCACTTCCATAGTGCGAGACCCGATGTATTCGAGGTTGACGGATTTGAGGCTCTCCAATGCGACGAGGGCGTCGCCGAGACGTGGTTCTAGTGCGAGCAACAATTCCATGAAAGGGAGGGCTAGGACGCGGAGGTCCTGTGCTGCAGCGAGGAGACTCGGCAGCTGGGCAATGAGCGACCTATGTACACGCCGCTCCATCTCCCACGAAGAGTTATTCGGAATCTGCAAGGCACACTCGTGTATGTGCAGTTCACGTAGCCAGCAGGCGCGATGACAAGGGTTGCCTAGTAGCATGTAGGAGCATACCTTGTCCAGTTGACCCGGTCGAGTCGTCTCAGCACGCGACAGGACGATACGCCTGGAAATGGAGTGGATAGCTCTAGATGTGAGGGAAAGACTGCGAGCATCGTCCAGCTGGACGAACGATAGGATGATGGTCCATACGTCTTCGTTCAACTGTAACCCCGATGCGTCACGGTGGGATTGCATTCTATCGTCGAGAATGAGCTGCGCCTCGTGATCAGAACAGACACAGCGATCCCTAGAAAAGATAGCAGAGTGCAGCTATGATGGACGAGGTACACCGCCAGTTCGAAACACTTGGGGTTAATATCCCAGCGGGTTTGCAGGGCATTTCAAGCCCCGCTGTGGCGGCTGTGGCGCGATCGCCCCGAACGTCTCTAAGTCGCGTCGCGCCCCGTTACAGCGCGAATAGTAGACTGCGTTTATACGGATACTTATGTACATTACAACTGTTTTGTACCGACTCATTACTATGCAATATACTGATTACTAGAGTCACGCCACAGTTAAGGACTCCGAGTAGTAAGGACGAGTAAGTAGGAAGATAAGCATAACATACTAACAAACAAGCTAGTACGACTTTCAATTCAGCGCCGTGCGATATACTTGTAACCTATAACGTTTGAAGGAGCCGCCTGCCCGCGTTCGCGGGTATTCGTGATGGGCATGGTTCGTCTGCGCTCATGCTTCTCGATGTCTCGGACCCAACGCACGGCTGGGCGGGTCGCGCGAAGGGCGTTTTGGACGAAGCGGCCCTCTGCACCGGCGTCGCATTGTTCTTCAATGATATCAGCGGCGCGGTGTAACAGGCGGAGATGTTCGTCCACGTCCACGTCGTCTTCGTCATCAAGCTGACACGGACGTTGTCGATCGTGTTAGTGTTGGCGCACCATTGCAATTGGGTGGCATTGCTTACTGTAAAGCCTGCACTTCCACCCGCCCGCGCGCGCAACAACCCGTCACGTCCGGTAGGCGGTGGTTTGTTAGGTGACGAATCTATCTGTAGGTGTGCCCGGCAATGAATACGAGTCATGTAATCCCGAAGTGCACATTGATACTCACCGGTGATGACCTACTAGTGACTGCCAAGGCGGGCAGCACTGAATCTTCCTCTCCCGATTCCTCTGAAGTATCCGCCACCGGCACCTGCGCCTGAGATGCGCGGGACATATTCACCGAACCGGGAGGCGCCGCCGCACGCTTGCCATGACCACTGCCAGTGACAATCGCCGAGTCCGAGTCATCCGAGTCCGACGTACTGGTATCCACCCTGGGCATTCGACTGAGCCATGCGTGCTTCGTCGTCAGTTCTGGGGGTGGCGCGATCTTGCCGTCGATGGGGACTGTGTAGAAGGGTGGAATATGAAACCACTGGCATCAGCAAACTGGGCAATTTCTGAGCATCTGAGAGGCTGATGGAGACCCCTTAGAGTGACTAGAGCATCAGATAGCTCAGATTCCTCATCTTGTCAGACAGCTCAATGAACCAACGAGGTCGTAGTACTGTCTGCATCTCAAAACTCATCTATTCAATTCCTAATAATTGCAGTAGCCATAGAATCACCACTGGTATATTGACAACTCGAGAGCATTGTACACAGAGAATACATAGTGGGGAACTACACTAAAGTAGATAGTTGCTGTCGACGCAGGCTCATGGATCGCACCGTCTGCCGTCTCGCCCGTGTTGTCTAACAGGGCCTCGCTCGTGTCTCTGCCATCTCGACCGTGTCATCTGCCGACTCGCCCGCCCCGTGTACCCTCTCTCGACCCATGTGCCGTCTCGTCTGCGCCGTGTGCCGTCTTGTTTGCCCCGTCTGTCGTCTTTCCCGCCCCATGTACTCACCCTCTCGCGCTGTCTGCCGTCTCGTCTGCCATCCCACTTGCGCCGTTTGTTATCCCACTCGTATGGGCCGGGCGACAGCAGGCTCATCTTGCTTGCCGGGCTCATCCTCGGCCGGCTCTCGCTCATTCCGCTGGAGCTCGTTGAACACGTGTTCGGCGGGCTGGTACACATTGCGCTCGTCGGCGCTGGGTTGTTGTTGGTAGGCTCTGCGCGGAACTGACGAGGTCGACTCACCTACCGCGCAGCCATGGTGACCCTCTTGACGCGTCACCAGTGCCCTACTTGGACTGTCGTAGGGCCGAGCATGGGTATACCGAGCTCAGCTCGTACCCATAACACGCCCGGGTACAGATTTCGCGCGGGTGAAGGCGGGTTTGTGGTTTCACGGGTAAGCGGGCGGGAAGGAGCGTGGGCAAGAGCAAGCGAGAGCGGGGCGAATGGGCGAATGGTTGGCAAGCGAGCAGGCGGGCGGGCGAGATTGCGGGCGAAAGGGATGAATTGTCAGCGACGTTCCCGGAATATACAAAAACGTGGGTCAGATGAAAGCGCGCTCAGCAGCAGGACGTAGTGGTCGTTGGGGAGAGCCGAGCATGAGAATATGCCTCGCCCTAGTAATCTATCCGTTTATGTCCGCGAAACGGTACATTCAGGATCGAGGGCACATGCAAATGCTATTGCACCATATTTGCCATACCACGACATGTCGAGCGTGAAAGTGCGGTCAGATCTATCGTCAGTCCTCGTACGCACTTTGTTCCCCGACCATGAAGATGGTGGCCAAGTCTACGTCCATCGAAGAACTGTGAGCTGTCATCCCTGGTGTCTAACCTCGATATTCATCCGGTTCTCTCAGTGCTGCACCAGATGTTCGTTTATTGATTGCCTCCGTGTCTGTGGGTCGTCTGGGTCTAAGTCGTCCGGGGCTCCAGTAGCAGCGGAAGCACGTCCGCGAAGGCATCGGGGACCGCGTCAGCATCCGCACCTGCTGCGAGTAGTTCGGGCACGGCGTCGTCATCGCCGTGGAAGTTGAAGCAGAGCTACGTGCGTATTGTACTGACAGCACTGATGGGTGGGCAGGCGAGCGTGCGAGCAAGTATGCGGGTAAGCGTGCGAGCGAGTAGGTTAACAGGCGAGGCTGCGAGCTAGTGCGCAAGAGGGTGGAGTCGAGTCGACGCCGACGTGGAGGAGGCAAGGAGGAGGCGTGAAAACTTCAAGTGCTAAGCGCCTCAAAGCGCCTCAGCCACGACGCGTCACGCGCGCTCGCCGCTCCTCTCGACTCAGAGCGTCGAGTCTCCTGCCTCCTGCCTCTCTGTCACAACTTCGCCCTCGCTTGCTCGCCGCCGACCTCCAGTACACACGGGCAGGCGCGTCCGCAAGAGACGGCGCGTGCACCGGACCACGGCCCAAGATCACGCTGTACGCGACCGGGGCCAACGAGCTCCAGCGACGCGCCAAGAGCATCGCTGGAGGCTCGCGAAGGGATGCACACGTAGGGAGGAGGGATTACGACCAGGTGAGTCCGCCGCTTTGTACCTCGACCCCATAGCCAACCCCGGCAAGCAAATGCCCAGCAAGGACGACCGGACGGAGACGAACACAACGGAGGCGCCCCAAGATCGCAGGGCCCCATGGTCCTCGGGAGCCAGTCGCCCAACCAGCTCGCCTCGCTCCTCTTCGACGTCCTCCGCAACACCGACGTCCTCGACTCAGCCACATCCCGAATCCCAACACCCTCGACATCCGCGCTGCCGACGCCCGCATGTCCTTTTCCCGCATAGGCGCAGACGGCGGCGGCCAGCCTGTCCTCATCCCCGTCCACTACGCAGCCGCAAGACCCGTGACAAGCTCCGGTGACGTCCCAAGATCAGACTTGGAGGCTCGCGGAGGTCCTGCAGACCCCGCCCTGATGCGCGCTGTCTAGTTCCCTCTCGAACACCCAACGGCGTCTGTGTCTCAGGACGCCCAGAGCCCCAGCAACCCGCCTCTCCCCGCTTTCCCGTGCCCTCGACGTGCGCATGGACCCTCCATACCGAGCTAACACCACCCGACATGCCGAGAACGACGGAGGGCAGCTCGTGGTGCCGCGGAGTCGACGTGTCCGGTGACGACGCCAGGACTGGACGTGGCCGCCCCGTCTCGCGTCGGGAAACACCGTCGTGTGCTGCGAAGGGACGGATGACGCTGCGGATTGCAGAGGCTCTCGCGCACGCAGAGCGTTCGTGAGTGGAGGAGATGCAGCACGACGAGGTACGTACATTCCGTGCCTGTACCCGCTGCTGTATCTCACGACTCGTAGCTCCATTACGCCGCAAGGCGGTGCTCCGTGCTGACCGGTTCGTCCTCGCTTGCAGGACGCGGGAGAACAAAGTCAGCTGCGTATGCGAGAGCAGCAAGGAAGGACACTCACCGGCACACTGAAGACGCGTCCGGTATCGACGCACAATCGAGTCGCTCGGGGCCGACGATACACGCAAGACGCAGGGCCGCACACGACGTTGTGAGCTGCGTCTTGGAAGAGGACGAGACACGTACTAGTACCACGAGGAGTGCAGACGACCGCGAGTACGCGTCAGAACCTGCAGCGAAGACGTCTGCGTACTAGGGATTGCGGCAGAGGTGGACGCAGTAGGTAGACAAGCGAGAGTACATGGATGGCAAGCGTGACCGATGTCGACCGGTTTGCTGTGCATTGACTCCAGTGATGCACATGGGTGAACGAGGCAGCATTCGCGTCAGTGGTACACCGAGTACTGTATGGGCACGAGACTCACCACGTCTAGAAACCACCACTCTGACTGTGTTTCACCCATCCAGTGCGTCACGATTCAAGATGGGGATGGATGAGGGAAAGGGGTGAGACGTGGTTCGGAGTTCAGGAACCGAATGGATCAATGATTAGTAGGGCTCGAAAACCAGGTGAGTACGCCTTGTGGCCTCTACTCGTAGACGACACTGGTGAGTTGGTGTTCACAAAGATCGGCCCAACGAAGACGGCCCCGGCGTGCATGCGCACAACAAGCGCAAGCGCAACGAAGACAACGCCGACGTGCGTGTGCCCGAGTGACACCAGCCCACCAGCAGGAACATACACATGCACCGGACGAGCTCCAATACACCGTGCATAGGCAGCTAGCAAGAATCGGTTTCACATGGCCAAAAGGGCATCACGCACCGATACGTATTGACACGACGAGGGCCGACCCTCCACGCATCGGACGAACAGAAGCTTCGACGTGCATGTAAGTAGCTCGCACGAACATAGTGTAGTGTCTGTGTAGTATTACAGTGATCAGTATAACAATATATCTTTTAGCTCGTTTATTAATGTCCTGGCTGAGATGTCTGCTGAGCTGAGATGTCTGAGAGGCTTTCTGACGTGTCTGAGGATCGTGTCTGACGAAGTTACGTTGCAAAAATCCGAGGTCATGAGGGCTGATTATCTGGAGCGATCTGGAGCGATCTGAAGCGATCTGAGCGCCTCTGAAGTCCCTGAGAGCGCCGTCAGACGGATTTCATGTTTTACTGATGTGTACCTGCACCCACCATAAGGCAGGTGGGTTTCCCGCGGCCCGAACAAGGTGCTTGCAGAGAAGGTAGGCATGGTACTTCTGAGCGCCGCAGTCGCATGTCCAGCGGTGGACATCCGTCGTGTACGCGCCTTTGATCGGGACCTTCATGAGTCGCTCCCACGAGTGCTTGAAGTGCTCTTGCATGGTCGTGAGTGCCTGTGCGCGGCCTTCGCGGTCGCTTCGCAGGAGACGTCGGAGAGTGAGACGGTAGGGTGGAAGCGCCTTCGTGATGATCACGTGAACAGCGAGGTCAACAGGCGGGCGGTTGTACATGTGAAGTACGAGCTGTTTCAAGTTTCGCCAGAGAGCCTCGACCATCATGGTCGTACGCTTGCAAGGAATGCTCGCGGAGTACGCACCGCGTGCCCACAGTGGCCATCGCTTCCGTGAATACCACGAATTCCACAGGTAAGCCCACACCTCGCAGAGATGATTGACTTCGCAATGCCGGTACATCTCCTCGACGGCATCACGGCGGATATCATCCTTTGTTCGCTTCTCGCCATGCCGCTCGGGAAGGAGTGAGTGCTGCGATGCATGCTTCGCAAAGAGCCGCAGGATTATAGGGGCTTTTTGACCAATCCTTAGGGTGAGGATGGGGTGAGGATGGGTGAGGAAGGCATTTTCACGTTCTGAGCATTAAACGTCTCACCCTCGCAGCATGAATCTCAGCGTGCATAACCCGCGTTCGCGCCATGACGCGAACGCGGGTAACATGCAGTCTCCATTTGAGTCTGCGACTGCCTTCTGCCAGTCACCCTTACCCGCAATCGCGCTATGGCGCGATTGCGGATGAGTCCGCACATCCATTGCCTTGTTTGGCAAGTCCGAGCGCCCGCCCGATCTCACAGGCACCCACCGACTTGCTCGTGTGCCACAGAGGGCATGCATCTGTGGTGTACCACATCATCCATTACACCCTCCGCATGCGGCGTCCATTCCGTGTTGTGCGTCAGTGATGTGCAGTGACAGGGGAGGCGAGATCACGTCAGCCACCTGCTCAGCCACCGACGGGCGCTCACACGATCTCCTGCCCACAACCACGATCTCCCGCCTCTCCTGCCTCCTGCCTCCCTCTCTTTTACATCCAGCAAGCCCACCACGCCCTGGGGTGATGTGCGTACCTGCGCATTATAGTGACTTTCGATAAACATGGCAGGCTTAGGGTGGGGTTATGGTGCCCAATATAGTAATTACTATATATGGGCATAACCATATAAGGAAAGTGTTGACATTTCTCCCCTGTGTGTATGGTGCATGTGCACAAAAATGTGCCTCCAAGGTGATCGCGCGCGGTCGCGCGCGATCACCTAAACCCTATGCTGGAGGTGTCTTGACAAAGTACCCTCAAGGTGATCGCGCGCGATCACCTAAACACTACTATTGTGTACCCGGTATACATACCATTTAGGTGATCGCGCGCGATCACCTTGACGCACCTATATCGGCGTCTGTTTAAGTGGACCTGTACTGCACATGTCAGTTCAAATTGTGCCATTTAGGTGATCGCGCGCGACCACGCGCGATCACCTTGAGATCGGTGTTTGGACATGACTGACCGGGGTGCGTGCACATATGATGGTCAAGGTGATCGCGCGCGATCACCTAAATGGTATGTAGGCCAGCGTCTATTCTCTCGACGTGCAACATGTATGTCCACTCAAGAGATGCCATTTAGGTGATCGCGCGCGATAGCGCGCGATCACCTTGTGAGTGGTGTTTGGACGTGCATGACATGGTGCGCGCACCCCAGACCCATGGTCAAGGTGTGAACGTGCACGACCGCGCGCGTCCACCTTGTCACGTGCAATATTATTTGACACATGTGACTGGTGTGGCTGCACGATGGCGTGACCAGTCCCTTCCCTTCGATCCTCAGGCCATCAGTGTGTGCCAGGTACGTTGTCTCTCCCACCATGTCCCCGCCCGCAGCACTCAGTGCTAGCGCAGCACACCAGTCGCCATGGACCGTCCAGCATGGTCTGACCGCATTCGGGTGATCCTCGAGGCTGCCGCGCTCATCCGACTGATCCCCAAACACACGGAGAAGTTCCTACAGGAACTCACTCCCATCGGTTCAGCATATGGCCCGCTCACCATTAATGAGACCTATCAAAGATGGCACGAGCACATGAAGGACTGGCTCCGTATCATACACGTCCGCACGATCACCGACCCACAACCCCTGAACATGCTCTTTGTCCGCTCAGAGATTGATCGACTCGAATCGGTCATGATCGCATTGGCCAACGTCATCACCCCCTTGTACAGGAACTGGAGCGTCCGCACATTGCCCGAATCATTGCGCATCCACACTCATGATCGTGATGAATGGACGCACATCGCGCGGTCCACTATCAGTCTCATGCACTTGGTGAGGGAGACTGTTGATTACTGGCACAGTATGTTCTCTGCATCACAATTAGTCTATTCAGCATACTGACTCATCACACAGAAATCCTGGACAAGAATTATGGCATGTACCATGCCACTGTTACATCAGTACTACTAGCCACTCACCTTACATTGGTACAGTCGATGCAGGCATAGTCTGGCAGGATCCACCGATCAAGCGGATCCTGTACGACCATCATGCCAAACACGCCATTGACCTCGATACCGCCGCGAAAGAGCGCAACGCACTTGTTGGTTATTCCGGGCGGTTTGTGGACCCATGCCCTCAGTGGTTTGTCCCCTATGGGCACATCAACTGCACAAACGAGTACGAGTTCTTTGAGCGCATCTGCGCGCACATTGCTCTTCTTCTCCAAGAGCGGCAATTGCGCATTGATCGTGAAATCGAATTCGATGAAGAAATTGACGTTTGGGTTGACCGCTGGCTCGGTCATCTTCGCGCACTACTACCCATGATCCACGGTGCGCGCACCCCTCTCTCTCTCTAGTATTATGGGACCTATCTGAAAAGTTGCAGAGAAACTCCATATCCGCTGTGAGCGCCCGCCACCCATCTGGCTCGAAATCGATCTCCCAAGGGATAGAGCGATTCCGGACGCTCCATACACGCTCCCCATCGGGCAACTTACATCGCTCTTTGCGCACCCCGAGGAGATTGAATTTTGGGACAAGCAATCTGGGTCGCAGAAGCCTGTCGCGATGCCCGAGCCACCTGGTGTTGTCCGTGACAGCATTGCTCAACGGGTATGGCGTGCGCGCCAGGCCCTTCACTGTCAGCACGTATATCTCCGTCTACAGTCGGAGCGTGTGACATTGAACGGGGTCAATGACCACACATACCGGGGAGGTGGGCCGTCACCCGAGGACGTCTCGAAGAGCGTCGACATTCTCACGAGACGCCTTGCGTGGTTCAATGCGCAGGTCGAATTTTACCAGC